CAAGTTGTTGAGCCACCACAAACATGTTTCAGGGCTCATTTTGTCCTCTTATTTTGACCACAACTCCAAATACCATAATAGCACCAGCTGGGCTCTCTGATTATTAAAGTTATCGGTCACTTTTCCGATGGTCACGTTTACATTTTTCGGCTTGTCGTATGGCATGAAAATAGTTGGGACAACCAGTGCCGCGTGTGCCGCTGGCCGGGAGGTGATGGGCGGGGCTTGCCAACGACTTCGTAGGCATACCCTTAGTTCTTTCGGTAAAGTCACGTAGGTAAAAAATGAAATTAATAAAAATAACAATAAAAATCACGACGTTTCGGAGGCAACACAAGTCTGGCTGTGACGGTCCCACCTGATGACGGAGACTTGTGTTGCCTCTGAAACGTGATTTTTATTGTTTTATTTTTATTAATTTCATTTTTTACCTACGTGACTTTACCGAAAGAACTAACAGTATGAATCCTTGCAGTCACGAAAGCTTCAAATCTAGACTTCGTAGGCATCGTCAGCCGCGTCACGCTGGCCGTGGGCGCGTGGGGGTTTCCCACCTTCAAGAGGCAGGCATCTGGGAAGCTGCCAATTTTAAGTGGGCCCAAGTAATGGGCAAAAACAGAGCAGTCGGATGACAACGGTTAGTCAAGTGATGAACTTATCCGACTCGTCGTTTCGCGTGTTGATTATTTCCTCGAATGCCAACCGGGGTGACGTGGAGCCGGGTGAATATGGTATGGTTGTGCACATGCTTTGCGTTTGATTTTCAACTCGACGTAAGCAGTTTTACGCGGTACATTAAAAAAAATAGTTCCTTCAAATTCCACAAATGCCCATCGGCAGCCCTGAGGCTGTTGTGGAATTTCCACCTTTCGAAGTAAATTTACCACCATTGCAAAACTCCATGACTTCTAAAAATAAAAGATACCGCGGACTCATTTGCCACTAAATAGACCACGCTTCAAAGTTTGTTTCCTCGGCGGTCAGTGACCCCAGCGTGACGCGTCATCCATCATGTGCGGGGCAGCAAATGGACACGCGAAGGGGACAGTTAACGCTGCCGAGTGGCCTTGGCAGCGACACTTTCGCAGCGAATTCGAGTGTTTTCGCACGCCAAGCAGAAAGTCGATTCGTCAAAATGTCAAGCGCCTTGCAGACGGAAACTGCGACCATCGACGAGGACATTCCCCGTCGGGTAGCGGAGATCCCGACGGGACGACGAGTCGTTCACGGAGAGCCACGCCACGAATCCCCCCATAGTGCAGTGCGTTCCATCAATTCGACGGTTCGTCTGCCCGACTCGCGTGATTGACAGCTCGCGTCGTGGTGCATCTCCGCAGCGTCATCAACGCGCCGCCGTGGCTAGGAGATGTTAACTACCTCGCCTGGTACGCAGGAGGTCGTGGGTTCCATCCTGACCCTGATGCCCGCTGCTGTATATTTGGAGTTTGAGTGTCTCTCTCCACGTGGTCGCGTGGACTTTTCTCCGGTCCCTCCGTTTTTTCCTTCCACGTTTTAGAATCAACGTGCGTTTAGAGTATTTAACTGCTATAAATGTCCACGTGATAAGCCACTTCATTGAGCTGTCATTTGTGATAGCCCGGTCACCTGTGAAAAAGAGCTTAATAGCTCCGTGGGCCTTACCTGTTAAGATAAAAGTAGTAAAATAGTAATAAAAACAGGCGGTCGTCACACCAAGCCTCACTTGGCGAAAGGACACTTTGAAGAGTGCTCCGTGCAATGGGAAACGAGTGATCTTGGCAGCTATTCGCTTTAGGAGTTAATGAAGTTTTGCGCTGGCGGTGAATTGACCGAAGCCCTTGGGGATGACATTCGCCACGGAGAAACCGCCGTCGTTGCCCTCTCGCACGGGAGAACCTATTTCGTCAGCTCGGCCGAGTCGACACCCGATGCCTCCGCGTGTGTTGGGGACCTTCTGATCGCGAGTCACGGCATCCTGCCACATTGTCACACGGTCAGATCGAGTTTCTGGAAGGCAGTTTTACGTTTCCCGAAACAAAACCAAAGAAACGCCCAATTCCCTCCGATCGTGTTGCAGAGCTGCCTGCGAGCAGGTTGTGGGATTGCCGAGGTGCGTTTTGTGCGCGTTTAATGTCGCAGGTAAATATCGGTGTACGTATGAAGTGGCTTTTTTACATGGGGCATAATTGATGTAGAATTTTGTCCGTAACTCTTGGTAAGGGACGAATATCCGTAAAATATTGCGGTGGCGGTGCGTGCGCAGAGGAACTAACTCGCCCACGCTGGGATGGTGACGCTTCATTCTGGTTCTTATCTCTGTGTGTGTGGACGTTCCCCCCCCCCCCCCCCCCCCCGCAAATAAGACTTTGAAGAAGAAAACAAATTAATCTTACGGGTTTCGATTTAAAGCTTTCGTGACTGCAGGGATTCATCTTCTTGGTTCTTTCGGTAAAGTCACGTAGAAGGGAAATAATAAAATAATAAAATTAAAACATAATAAAATACAATTCTCACAAACAGAAAATAATAAAATTAAAACATAATTAAATACAATTGTATTTTATAATGTTTTATTTTTTTTATTTTATTATTTCCCTTCTACGTGACTTTACCGAAAGAACCAAGAAAGATTAATCTTACGGGTACTTGAAAAAAACGAGACCCCGTGTGAATTTGCTGTATTCGGATAATTGTGAGAAATGAGGTCCTGAGAGGGTCGCCTAATTTTTGGAACTCTCTGCCCCCCTCGTAATGCTCGTGCTGTCGAAATGCAGCACGGAATTGTGGTATTTAAGCAGTCGACGCTTGTGACATTTTCTGGAACCTTTCTCTTTCACACTCCTGCATTGTGTGCAGACAGAGCCAAGTGTTCTGATTCGCCACCGAATTGCCACCGCGAGAATAAACGTTTACTGACCTTTTACTGGATCAGGGCGGTTTGTGGTGGCACCGCAGTTACATAAACAATGACCTTTTGACGCCTTCCCGTATTGCTGTGTGGGAGAAACACTGCGCTGTAAACGGGCGAAAACAAATTGGACCGAACTCAATCGGGTGAGACGGCGCGTGAGACTATTTCACCACGTTTTATTTATCTGTCTTATCTGGCCGGCAGCCTGGGTGCGGTCTTGCGGGGAACAATGACTCGCTGTGAAAGCGTAGACTGTGTACACGGACGCGTTCGGTGCGGTGTGACCCGACGCGTCGTCGATACGCGATTCGGTTTCAGCGTCGTCGCTCGCCGCGCCGTCTCTGGCAGGGCTCGTGCGAAAGTGTTCCCAGGCTACGCCTGCGCAGGCCGTCGCAGTTGGTGCTTCACGGCTCTCCGATGCGTTTCTCGCGCCGCGGCGCGTGTTGCTGTTCCGGGCACCGTGTCCCCGACGTTTCGCTCCGCTTGCCGGGAGCTGCGGGAACTACATTTGAGACTTTCTGGAGAAGCTGCCGGCATTGGGAGCGAAACGTCGGACGTCGCGCGGGGAAAAACACGCGGCCACGATCCGCAAACACGTCGGAGAGGGTCCGGACCGTTGCACTTTGCGAGCTGACACAACGTCGCACGTGACGACGGTTTTTGTCCGTTTGTATACGCCGCACTGTGGGGTACTGCCACCTCTTCCAAGACGTCTGGCCACCGTGGAAGAGTAGGCCAAAGTACCCTTCATAAGAGCTCTCCTGAGCTCACTTCAGCACTTCCGATTCGCATGGTTGGCCACGTACGGTGCGAAAGGCGTTCAACGTACGTATATACAGCACCGGCGGGAGCAAGTAATTTCGGAGACGCACTTTTACTTGCACCGCCTCTTGTAAACCTACCGTTTGGTGGTTGGGCAGTCTTGGCCTGCCTATCTGGACCTTGCCACAACTGCACACGCCGGCTGTGGCCTCATTAGATAAAGAGAAAAGCATTCAGGGGCTGAGGATTGGAAGCCGAGAGCGGCTGCCACGTTCAGATTTTTTCATCTCCGGGCTGAACTTTCTCCGCTACTCTCGAGGCGAGGAGTGCTAGAGCGACGCGCGTGGCCGTCGGTTTGGCAAGCGTGGAGGCAGCCGGAATTGAGGATGGATTTGCCAAGACCCGGAGTTCATCCTTCGATCCATTCGATCAAACGATTGGTCAATTGGACGCCTTGCTTGTAGTCGCGCGAGGGCGACGGCCGAGTTGCAGCGTGTGTCCATTTCATGCTTGTTCTGTTTTGCAGGCGACAGCCATGGAGCACTGAGAAGCGTGGCACCGCATCACCCGGCCTGCAATTATTCCAGAAAACGATTTTGTTCAATTGCCACGTGTGGCGCGGCGCCGGGGGTTAAGGGCACGCAGCTCGCAGCTGCACCGCTGTTGGTTCAGACCCCTGGCTTACGGACAAACTCAGAACCCCACCACCACCACCCACCATCCCTCGATAAGATAACAACAACAACCGCTTTGTGCGAAACCGACAGTAGTCAGCGGCTTATGGATGGACTTGTCCCTGCCATAGTAATTTGGAATGTCCGCCACTGACCCAGGAATGAGCGCCGCTTGTCCACTTATTTGAGCAGCGAGACGATTAAATTTTGGTAGTAACGGTAAAAAGGTAAAGGTGCAGCCCTGCAGTCTCTCGCCCACGCCACTGTTGGCGGAGGGGCCTCCAATGCGAGAGACCCCTCTAGAGGATATTTTAACCTCTTGCACCCTGTGGGCACGGTACCCACACTTGATGACCCCGTCACACATGACCGGCCGATCTACCCACTGTGGTGCACCCACTCACACTTTGCTCGGTGGACAGAGGCGAGAGATCAGTGTGGGGGAGGGGGGGGGTGGGGGAGAATTTAAGAACCTTGCACCGCTATTTAACTTGCCGCGCCGGGCGGTCGAACCGTCGACTTCTTCCTGTGTCGCCATGACGCTCGGGCAGCGTCTGTGCCGACGACGACGACGACGGTGGCAGCGCTGTCGAATTGACGGTACAGCAACGTGCAACCCCATCCCCTCCACCGCCCTCTTCCCCGTGTCTCCCCCCCCCCCGCCTGCCCGACAGTGCTCCAACGGACACCTGATGTGCGCCGGCTGCTTCATCCACCTGCTGGCCGACGCGCGGCTCAAGGAGGAGCAGGCCACGTGCCCCAACTGCCGCTGCGAGATCAGCAAGAGCCTGTGCTGCCGCAACCTGGCGGTGGAGAAGGCGGTGAGCGAGCTGCCGGCCGAGTGCGGCTTCTGCCTCCACCAATTCCCCCGCTCCTGCCTGGAGCACCACCAGAAGGAGCTCTGCCAGGACCGGTACGTGTGTGTGCGTGTGTGCGTGGGGTGTGATGCGCGTGTGTGTGTGTGTGTGTAAGTGCGGTGTGAGGAGTGGTGGTGTGGCGGTCTAGCGCGCCGTGCTACGAACCCGGCCACCCGAGTTCGATTCTCGCTCACGGCCATCAAAACCGGTGACGGGTCCTGGACCTCCCCTAGGTCGACTCGGCCTCAAATGAGGACCTGGTGCGATGCGTAATCATCGCCACTAGGGAGACAAAGGTGCCCGTGCCAGCCTTCATAGGTGCTCGCTAACAGCACTTGCGCCAAATTTATGGTAAGGCTATATGGGGGATCTTTGTGTGAGAGTGTGGTGTGGTATGTGCATGCGTGTGTGAGTGTTTGTCTTTGTTTGGTGAGTGGTAGTGGAGTGGTTAGCACACTGCGCTACGAACCCTGGCGACCAGGGTGCGATTCTATTTCTATTTGGACCGGTCTTAGGTCGACTCGGATGTAAAGAGCATCTGATGTGGTGTGTAAACACCAGCACTGGGCATAGCGAAGGCCACAGCATCCCCTCGTGCTCGTCTTCTTAGGTGCTTGCTAACAGCACTTGCCTCAACAGCATTTGTCGGCTATTTGGGGGATCGTTATCTTGATTGTGTAGCTACCATAGCTGGCATAGGCGGCAGGTGAAAATGTTGAAATGTTTATTTGGTTGGGGTTGAATTTGTTAATTTAAATAAAATAAAAAGTAAATCTCATTTCACTACATTTTGTTTACAATGCCAGGAGCAGAAGCACATGGCACAGAGCGAGTCCAGCGTGCGCTCCGCTCGTGGTGACCTTGGTGGACAAAAGCGTTGAGTTGCTTTACACCGTGGGCTGTGTTTGAACGCAAACTGGTGAACGGCTAAGCCCTGGCCTCTCCACCGCCTGCGATGGATGGCCTGGAAACACTAAATACTTTTTTTTAAAGTCAGATTTGCTCAAACGAGCCGTTGGGTGACGGCACCCAACTGCGGCGGTGTTCCGGAGCCGCTGGTGGAAATTCCACAAATGTCGCACGGCAGAGCCGGTCATTTTAAGAGATGTGCGTTACTTACTCATTTCCGAGTTACGACACGGCATCTTATAACGGCCACCCACAGTAATGCACCCGCAGTAGTTAACCAGGGTGGCTGTGGGGCTCAAACCGCGAACCTCTGCAACGAGCGTCAGTCGCGCGACCCGCCAGGGCGGTGCATTTCACCTATTTCGTTTAAGGTGTGAATGCCAGTCCTTTTGACAACTGACTGGTCGTTTCTAATCAGTAGACCTGTGCAAGTAGTAGGTCTACTGATGAATGGGTACGATGTGAGAAACCTTCAACACTGTGCTGTTCGTGCATAGCAGTGCCGTCCATGGCCTGTACGGGCACATGCACGAACTGAGACTAAGCTAAATCTGACTCTGCCTAACCACTGGAACTCACCTTTCAGGGAAGGCAACTGCCTTGAGAGTGGTGTGCGCTGGGCAGCTGTGGCTCCAGTTTGAAAAGGCAAAGGGTTATATTCATCCCCGCATCATGACCAAATCGCCCAGAGTGCTCCCGGCTCTCATCAGATCTCGGAAGCTAAGCGGGACACGAGCCTGGCGGCACGTGCACGGGGCTGTCCCGTCGTGGGCGGTAGGGGGCACCGCAGCAAACCCCCATTGTTGTTCTGCACTTTGCTCACACGCGACTCTGCTCGCTGCCTTCACCGCCCGTCCACTGACCAGCGTGGTGAAGTGCGGTCAAAGAATCCCCACGGCGAGGGGGAGGGATGGCCCTGCAATTGCTCGCTCACGCTACTGCTTTGCGGGAAGGGGTCTCCACTAGAGGGAGCTCTAGGAGAGAGAGCGAGCCCCCTCCTTGGAGGGTAATTGGCAACATCTTCCATGCTGGTCAGACGCCTCGGAGGAGGCGAGAGTATACCCGCACTTTGCCCCCGCCACGTGCTCATCCACTAACTCTGGTGTAACCATTTTTTTTCTTATTTATGGGTGGACAGAGGCTGCGGGGGGGATTTAAGAGACTTGCCCATTGTTTCAACCGCCGTGCCAGGAGATCGAATCGAACCGTCGACCTCTGGATTGCAAGTCCAGTGTGCTAACCGTTACGCCGCAGCACCATCCCAAATATGGTAATAATGAGGAAATGGATCGTGTAGAACCCTTTGTCAACCCACTGCTGGATGAGGGGCCCCCACACGCAGCGTCGGTCACGGATGTTGTCAGTTTAACACGTAGGCTTTCGCGACCAATATTATTCGTAATAAAGGTTTTTGGGTCAGATCGCGTTATTCATAAATGTGTCGTAACCCTCCACCACCCGGCACGGCCAAACAGTAAAAAATGTGTCACGTTTACAAAGGACAAAATAATTCACTTCTTTAGCCCACCGGTGTATTGAAGAGCAAATCAACATCATTTAAAATTTGAGTAGTGCGACGTTTCGCTGGTAATTACATTCAGCTTCATCGGGCTGATTTGCTCTTCAACACACCGGTGGGCTAAAGAAGTGAATTATTTTGTCTTTTGTAAATGTGACACATTTTTCACTGTTTGGCCGTGTCGGGTGGTGGAGGGCTACGACACATTTATAAATAACGCGATCTAACCCAAACACCCTTATTATGCACGAATGTTGTGTTACCACACTTTAGTTTTGACCACACTGGTCAGTGCCGGTTGGCCAAGATCGTTGGGGACCCACGACCCGATTCGGATGCCACTCACCACTCGGAACAACCGTGGCCGAGGGATTGAACCCGGGCCATCGTGTTTATAGCAAGGGGCGCCACGGTGGCGAGATGTTAACTTCCTCGCCTGGGTTGCAGGAGGTCGTGGGTTCGATCCCGACAATATGATGCATGTATATTTGGAGTTTGCACGTTCTCCCCGTGGCCGCGTGGATTTTTGTCCGGGTCCTCTGGTTTTCCCCTCCACATTTCGAAACGTGCGTTTAGAATATTTAGCTGCGATACATTTCCACGTAATAAGCCACTTCGTTGAGTTATCATTGTGACCAGGTCGCTTCTGAAAAAGAGCTACAGAGCTCAGTGGAAAATAAAAAAAATAGTTTAGTTTTAGTTTACTGTGCCCACCAATGCCCTAACTCGGCTGGGGGAACAAACAATTGGGGATGTTGTTCCGATGGGCTGCATCGATTCCTGTCACCCGAGCACAGCCCAGTGGGAGGTCTGTTGCGTGGAACACCGCTACAGGTTTAGCCGTGGCCGGGTGGGTCAGGGGGTCAGAGGTCACAGCGCTGAGCTGGCACCGCTAAAACCTGGGTTCGAATCCGGGCGGTGGCCTGCGGTTTAACCGCCGAGGGTTTTCGAGTCTCGTGAGTCGACAGCATCAGCCTGGTCGCCGACGTAACCATCACCTGAAATATTTGGTTCTGAAATATTTGGTTCTGCACTTTCAATTTGGTTACATTCCAGCTCTGAAAACCAAAAAAATCGGTTTCACCGTCACGTGACGATCTTCACTCTCGTACGCAGAGTGGATGGGGAAGTGCTGCCACTCCGCTGTGTGTACCCAGAGGTCGCTTGAAGGGCTGTTGAGCGGTCGCTCGGCAATATTCGCTTCCGTGAGCCGTTCTCCGACATGGACACTAAAGCCGTGAGAGATCTGAAAGGCTACTCCGGCTCATGCTAGGATGCTGATAGAGCAATCGGATAAAACAATTATTTTAAGCCTCCGCCTGTACCGATTCGAAGTATAAACAAACTCCATTTGTTTTCACACAGCTAAATTAGTGGGGTGTCACGCAAAAATAGAACATTTGAAAGCGCAGTGTGCTAACACCTTACACCGACAGCAGCAACAATCATCCAACAGTGGAAAGGACTATCGGGGCTGTACGTGACACGCAACAACGAGGCACAGGACTGGCTCACCCCCGTGCCCCCCCCCCCCCCCTCTGTGCCCAGGCTGACGAACTGTCGGTACCAGCGCATCGGGTGCCCGTGGCAGGGCCCTTTCCATGAGATCAGCGCTCACGAGGCCGAGTGCTGCCACCCCAAGAAGACCGGCTCCGAGCTCATGGGTGTGCTCGACGAAATGGACCAGAACCACAAGAAGGAGATGCAGCTCTTCAATGACATCTTCACCCTGCTGAGCCTGGAGAAGATCGGATACACCGGTAACGTTGCTCCGATCCACGCGCACCGCTCCCTCCTTGACCACGGAGGTCGTCCCGTTATGAGCTTGTGTGCAGATCTTTATTGTCGTCGCCACTGTACTCCCTCTCTCCCTTCCTCCGTCATGACCAAGCTCTTGTCCATCTCTGCCTCCCATCCCTCCCTTCCCCCTTTTTGTCTTGACTTAAAAAAAAGTATTGTTACATCACGGTTGCAAGAATCACCAAAATCAGCTGTCTAAACATAGCTACTCAATTGCCAGACTAAGCCTTCACAGATGCCGATGGTGGTCTGCCTTGATTCGGTGTGTGCACACCATTCAGCAAACACTGCTGGCTCGTTGCATTCTCCCTCCCACCCCTTCGCATCCCTCCCCTCCCTCGCAGAGGTTCAGTTCCGACCCTACCGGACGGACGACTTCATCACGAGGCTGTACTACGAGACGCCGCGCTTCAACATCCTCAACCAGACGTGGGTGCTCAAGGGGCGCGTCAACGACTCGGAGCGCAACCCCAATCTGTCGTGCAAGCGAGCGCTCTCTTTCCAGCTGAACCTCAAGAGCAAGCTGAGCTCGCCCATGGAGTGCGCCTTCCTGCTGCTGCGCGGGCCGTACGACGACGCCCGCGTCACCCCCGTCGTGCACTACTTCACCTTCACCAACGAGGGCAACGAGACCGAGTACCTGCCCCTGCCCATCGTCTCCGCCGTCGAGTGCAACAAGCTGCTCGCCGCCAAGAACATCAACCTGCGCCTCTTCATGTTCCACGTGCAGAAGTAGTAGGGTGACGGCGGGGAGGAGCAGGAGGGTGGAGAAGACGAGGATGGAGGGAAGGGGGCGAAGAGGGGGAGATTAAAAACACGTGAATAACTGGAGCGATAAAGCGGCGAGAGCCGGCGAATGCACGGGCACGTTAAGTAAAATACGAGTTGTGTTTACGGCAAGTAAATACGGCGTTTTGGGAGAAAGCAAAATGAGATGTCCGCGACGCAGCGTGCCCTCCCGCCGCTGAAACGGAGCGTGTGGTGGCTCTCGCTCTCCAACGTCGACGTCGGGGAAGATTTCTCATCGCTCTCCGGCCCCTCCTCCGCATGGGATGACCACTGGGTCCGTGAAGGCTGGATGTTGCAGGCGGCCGTAGCTCGACCCGTTAATGTAAATGGAAGTGTTTGTTACGTCTGCGCTGTCCGGGTGCGGGGCGGGCGAGAGACGCCTACGGGGTGGGAAGCGTTGTGCGTGCGCGGCCGTCGGCCGTCGCCGGTAGCCGCCACTCGGAAACGTTCCCGAGCGCCGGACGTTGCGAGTGCTCGCTCAGCCGGGGGGGCACGCGGAGGAAAAGAGAAACGTTAAAAGCAACAGGATGAGAGCGGTGGGCAGGAAATTTAGGAAAAAAAAATCATATCTGAGTTACATCTACCGATTTAAACGGCGCCGCCGCTGTTCGCAAATCTTTTCTGCAGGGTTTAATTTTGTTTTATTCTGAACAGTCGTCGGGGGAGAGAGGGAAGCCCAAGGGAGGGGAGGAAGGGACGGCATGATGAGGGGGGCGGGTGGCGAGCTAGCGTGTTGCATGGCATGCGAGGTCCGCTTTACCGTCATCACGGTTGGCATAATTAAATATTCTAACTGCACATTAACGCGTCAAATGCTCGCATCCAAACGGTTCAACAAGAAGAGTTGTAGATGTCGTTTGCCCCATTTCATCTGTGACCTGTGTATTTTTCATGACGGACGATGGCCGTGCGAACGGTCGAGGCATAAACCACCCAACTGCACATCCGGCGAACTGCGCGTCACATCGGTTGCGTAGACACACATACCGCTCGTTTGGGACTAAGATGTAGAATTTCAAGTGAAATCTCGAGCTGTGTGTGACGTGACGGACGAGTATCGATGCGCTAAGCTTCAGGTTCTTCAACTCCAGTCCTTAGGCTGCGGTGCAGCTGCTATGTGGTGAACCGAGAACGAGGCAGCAGAGTGGGCGGGTGGTAGTACAGCAAATAGGCTGCTGCAATTCATGTTTTGTGCATGGGCACTCTGGTATTTTCCTCCACTCAAACTACAATTACTAAAGAATTCGTTTTACCCAGAATCCTCAAGCATTACTCTTCCCCCCCCTACCCCCCCAAAAAAAATATTTTTCCATGGGTAAATATTATTTAATTCAAATTGCCGATTTACAAAAATAAAGCGCTTGCTTAACGACTGGAGTTTGAGAACCCTCTGCTGTTTTTACGTGGTTATGTATTTTTTTTTATTTTAAGTACTTTGGTCTGAGATTTAGCGGAGTTTTTTTCTGTGTGTGTAATACTTTGTCATTGTTAGCTATGCAACAGATCAAACCCGCTAATTCTCCTGCTAAACTTTTTAAGCTTACGTGATTATCTTTGTTTTTCTTTGGATTTAACTTCATCAGTTCGTGACGTTTCGACGTCTCCTTCGCCCCCTTATACTTTGTTGTTGTGTATGGAACCCTCGCTCGGCATGCCTCGGTTTGGGTCACTGTAACGAGCGTAGTAGGTTTACTTTACGATGTTTAGTGGTGAAGAATAATGACAACATGCTATATTCCAGTTTTTCACGAGTACATATTGACACCTAACTAGTTGTGTACTCCGTGCCAAACATTTGAAGGTCTAATTTACAATGGAACCCCCCCCCCACCATTAAATACAATTAAAAAAATAGAGAGCGATCCAGTGGCATTGTCGTTTTTGTGAGAATATCTTCACGCAAACTTTTTTTCGGCTGGTTAAGGCCCATTGAGCCAACCGGCCCTGGCGATTGTTCGACCACAGCCCAAGGCTGTCGGCAGGGGTGGCGGCAGTCACAGGACACTGGCGGTCAAGAGCCGTCCCTAGGGAGCATGACGAATCGGGGTGACTGCCCCGGGCCCTGCGCTTGGGGGGGGGGGGGGGTTATCCCGCGTGCTTTGACGTCACTGTCAGATGTGATACTCCCGGTTCGTTGGACGTGCGATTTGCCCCGGGGGCCGCACCCCCGCTATGGACGGCCCTGACCGCGGTGACAAAGTTATGGCGAGATTTGTAGAGAGTGAAATAAGGCGCGCTATGTACCTCTAGATTTTAGACGATGTAAGATCTATGCTGGACAGATTCCAACCTTTGTGCATGAGCAACTGCTGGATACGAATATTTCCCGCGCCTTTCGTGAACCACTGCTGGACCACTCTCCTTTGCACGACTCTTTAAAGAGGTCAACAACTTTGTGAGCAAAGAATAGGCCACGCACATTAGTGAAATTAGTATACACGATTGAAGTTAATTTCACAAAGTGAATGCGCCGCCGCAATGCAATGTGCATGCATAAATAATAGGGCGTATATTTTGCAAATGAATAAACGATGGCACAAATGCATAACGGACAGCAAGAGTTTAATTTGCTACATATTGGTAAGATGCACTGGACATGACGTGAATTATTACATACAGTACAGTAGATGGCACAATGTGATTTCCCATCACACATTGCATCCCACAAACCCTCAACGTTAACGCGCAGCACACGCGGATCCTATTTAAATTCCTTCACCTCATCCGTATCCCGTTACTTATAAAGACGTGACTTTTTTGATTGGAGAGAAAAAATAATACATGATTTTACTTATAACAAAAAACCCCTCTGCATTGCAATGCACAGACTGCATGAAGGTAAACTGGATTCAACTCGAGTAGACGGAAAATTTTTATGCTTCCGTTTGGGAAATCTCTGCCAAGACCCGGCCGTTTCAAGAAGCTGTTGGGGGATTGTTTTTTTACAGCGCAGCTCCCCAGACTGTGGAACTCTTCTTCGCCTTTGGTTATCGGAGTCGTTGGTGTCACTTTTATTGAAGTCTTATCTTGAAAACGCAACTCTCTAAATTGACCTCTCGCCGTTTGCCCTGCAGGGTTGTTCGATATCCTATCCAAGATGATTGCAGGGACTCCTCTACTTACGAACATTCAACTTACGAACTTTCAATGATAGGAACAACCCTGGTCCGTATGTGGAGTTGCCTGTTCGGACCGAGAGTTGTAAGTTCAACTGACGCACAATCGATGGCGGTGGTAGCATCTACATCGACAGAACATGAAAAACCAGTGGCAATATCTACAGATTATACAACTTTTAAAGACATTCTCCGTGTTTATCGTGCATGCCCTCCGTACAAAATGTTTGGAATCGACAGGAGGAAAGTTGGACTTACGAACAAATCGATTTACAAACAGACCTCGTTCGTAAGTAGATGAGTCCCTGTATTTTATTTCCTGTCCGCAGCACACACCACATCGGGATCTACGGAGGAAAATGCGCCTTCCCGAATTCAAATTACTACCTCATCTCTGTAGTCTCTCTCCCCGGTTACTTCAATTATTTCCCTCCTTTAAATGCATGGCGCTCCGAGATACACCGTTTAAAGGGCGCCTTGTAAATCTAAATCACTCACAGATTGTATAACTTTCAGTGCAAAAACACCGACACATTACCATTCACAACCGTCGTTTAAGGAGCTCTCCACCGTTCAGCAGAAATATAAACGGGGGAACAAAAAAAATGGGACTTTAGGCTTTTTATGGGACCTTATTAGATAGAAAAACATCAAAGCTTAATTCTTAAGTCTGTCCGTTATTCACAAGCATTCTTTCAAGTTGGTCACACAAAAGACAAAGATCACCCCCCACCCGTATAGCCTGCAACAGACTGTTGGGGCAAGTACTGTTATCGAGCAGCACCTATGAAGCCTGGAACAGCACACCGAGAGGGGGTGGGTGGCCAGCACCACGGCCGGCCGCCTTTGTCTCCCCAGTGCTGGTGTTTTAACACACCACACCTGATGCTCATTTGAGGCTGAGTCAACCTAAGGGGAGGCCCATGACCGGTTCAGATAATTGTCACTGGTGTTGGCCGTGGGCCAGAGGTCGCAATCGGGTACCCGATACCCGTACCCTACCCGATACCCGGCTACCCGGTCGGGTACGGGTACCCATTTGCGACCCTGGTGTGGCCGGGTACGGGTAAGGAATCAAAACCCGTTTGCGACCCCGTGAGCGGGAATCGAACCCGGGTCGCCGGGTTCGTAGCGCAGCGCGGTAACCTCTACGCCACCGCTCTCCACAGACACACAAACGCAGCCGATTGACATTCCGGTCGAGTATTTGGCGACATTCTCTTCACTTACAGTTTGCAAAGCCGTGTGCCCGATTCACCACCCTCCCCCCCCGCGCCCAACCCTCCGCTGTTCCTGTGTAGCGGCTTCACTCTTCACATGGCCCGGTCGGGTCACAGCCTCGTCGTTTACGGCGGGTGTTGTGCGTGCAGCCGCAGGCCACCTGGCTGAGAGCACGAGGCCATGATAGCCGGGTGGCAGCAGTGGTGGTGGTGGTGGCTACGCCGCTGCATGTCGCCTGCAATCCAGCGCTGTGAAGGCAGCGAGGGTTGGTGTTGCAAAACTCCCTTTGCGTGGGCGTCCAGGAGGTGCAGTGCCGTGTCTTGCCAGGAGACGGCAGTACAGAAAGAAACGTGGACGCCACCCGTTCGCTCCCACATGCAAAAACACTCATTAATTGGTTGAAGACATCTTAACATGTAGAGGACTGCAGAGCTTTGACAAATGTTGGCACCGGCTCAGCGCGTGGCCGCCTTCCTGCTTGCCTGGGGCATCCTCGCGCATCCCGAGTCGTTCTCCCTTCAAAGGGCCGCGTCCCAAGTTGACCATTATTGTTATTGTTATAAACCGCAGGCGGCCAAGACATAGATTTGAACGCCGGATCTCAACGGTGCCAGCATCGGCGCTCTTGAACGTGCGACCTCCCAGCGGGCGCCCTGGCGCCAGCGGTGGGCGGCGGGGTAGCTGCGTCGTGCAAGCAACTGCGAGCGGCAGAACTTTTCCTTTACCACAATATTAGCGCATCGAAGAGGTCTGCGCCACTGCGCCACCCTGGAAAATTGCATTTCCACGCCTCGCTGCGCGCTCTGACAAAACAACTGGTGCATGGGGACCTGGGGGATGGGGACTCGGGGGGGGGGAAGGGGGGGGGGGGTCTGGGGGACAGGGGTCTGGGGGACAGGGGTCCGGGGGGGGGTGGGTGGGTCTATGGGTGCAATCGAGCTCAGCACGTCCAGAAGAGCACGTTCCACAGCATGAGCCAGCAGGGGTAGACGGCGAGTGCGGCGAGGGGGAACGCGAGGGCGCCGTACAGCTGGTGGTCCAGCACCGCCTCGGCCAGGGCCTGCAGCAGCGCGAGCCACGCGTCCAGCGGCTGCCACGGCACCTCCAGCAGCTCCCAGCGGAGCGCCAGCGCCACCAGCAGCAGCACAGCCGGGGACGCCAGCAGCAGGAGCGCCACTTGCAGGAGCCTGAGACGGCGGCGAGAGGGCGACAACAGGGTGAGCTGGTGAGAGGGTGACAACAGGGTGAGAGGATGAGCGGGTGAGCTGGTGAGAGGGTGAACGAGTGAAAGGGTGAGGGGGCGAGGGTGACAGGGTCGATGAGCGAGCGAGCGAGAGACTCGGGAGAAGGGGTAGAGAGGTAAGGTCAAAAGGAAGATGCTACAGAAACCAAGCAAAACTTGGATTTACGGTTGTGCTGTATTCCGCTGATGCGATTTCACACGGTTGGCTACGTACGGGGAAAGAAGTCCAACCAGAACACAACAGAGGAGCTGTTAATTACTCAAAACAGCACCAGCGCCGAGGGTGGTAAACGAAACGGGAGGGAAGTCACCAGCGACGGGACGGCGTGATGAAGGTGGCGATGGGCACCATGGCGACGGCGAGCAGGAAGCCCAGGGAGAAGTTGATAAGCGCGATGCTGGCGAGCAGCACCGACAGGTACATCAGGGTCACGCACTTGAGCGTCATCCAGCCTCGGCGCGTCCCCGAGCCCAGCAGAACCCTGCGCTTACACACAGAGGCAGGGATCGAACAGAGGCAGGGATCACGCAGAGAGAAGTGAAACTTCCGCGTGGGTCCTCGCGCTCGCACCGATTAGCGCGCCGCGCTACTGAACGCCGGTCCGTGCGCGTGCGTGAGGACACGGCATCACCCCCGTCATCCCCGACGCGCCTCTCGACTCGTTCGCGACGCGCGACGCCAAAGGCACGGCTCGGTTTCCCGCAGTGGAAAAACAACGCGGGCGCCTCCTGAACCGCGCCGTGCCACGGTGGCGCGCTGGAAGAACCGAGACGCGACGCGAGGTCACGCGTACCGGTGAGTCTGGTGGGGCAGGGCCATGCCGGCTAGGTAAATGGCGAGCGTGGTGAAGGTGACGGCCTCCGTCTCGGACACCCCGAAGTAGTCGGCCGCCTCGTGCTGAGCGAGCGTGGGCAAGTAGAGCAGCGCGAGGCCCGTGGCGTGGCAGATGGTGATGGGAGCCGCCAGGAACAGCAGCACCGACTGGCTCTCCTGGGGTGTGGTGTGCGTGCGGTGTGTGTGTGTGGCGTATGTGCCATGTGTGTATGTGTGGTGTGCGTGCGGTGTATGTGTGGTGTGCGTGTGATGGGGTATGTGTTGTGTGTGTGCGGTGTATGTGTGGTGTGGTGTGCGTGCGGTGTGTGTGTCATGTACATGCATGCGTGCAGCGTGTGTGTGGTGTATGTATGAGGTGTGTGTATGTGTGGTGTATGTATGTGCAGTGTGTGTGTGTGTGTGGTGTATGTGCGTGCATGGGGTACGTATTGTGTGTGTTGTGCATGTGCGGTGTGTGTGTGTGCGTGTGTATGCAAGCGTGTGCGTGTGTATGCAAGCGTGTGTGTGTGTGGTGTATGTGCGTGCATGGATTACGTATTGTGTGTGTGTGCGCGTGTATAGTTAAGCGAGTGTTAGCTCACTAGGCGAGACAGTCGATTGTAATCACCTCTTTTCATGCGGGACATCTGTGTACGTACGAGTTACGTATGTGGCCCATCCCGCAATCCTTGATTGAGGGCCTCCCCACACCACGTTGGTCACGTGGGCAATGTTTGCATACTTCGCCACAAATTTAAGGCGAAGCTTTAACTGCAGTTGCAGTCAATGCCGACTGGACTGGGAGCGTCCGCTCGCAACACTTGAAAATCCAGCATCAGAACATTTAATTGTACTGGAGGAATCCGATGAACTATAAAGCTCTTTCACGGATGCCCAGTGCGGGGCGGGTCAGAACGTTACAACGACAAACAGTACAAAAACACGATAAGCTATGTAAGTAAAGTATAATAACCACGAGCGCACCGAGACGTAGATTCGAACTCAGGGTCTCAAGAGGTGCTGGCGCTGCCACGGTGACCTCTGAGCCACCCAGACGCCAACCGTCAGGCACCTCCTCACCCCACCACGTGTCCCTTTGTTGGCGTGCGTGCCGTTGCGATGCCGGTGTGGGGTTCTTACCGCCGGCTCGGCGCGCCGCGCTGTCCCGTTCGACCCTTCCTCCTCCTGTCCCAGCTGGATCCACAGCTCCACCATGTGCCCAGGGGAGGGGGTCAAGGAAATAAAGATGCGAGTCCGGGCGAGCGCGCTGCCGCGTCCGGGCGAGCGCGCTGCCGCAGCCCGCCGTCGCGCGCCTACGCTCCACTCGGGACGTTCCGACGTCCTCCCCCAGCCGCCGACAAAACCGCCAATAGCCATCGTCCTCGTCGTCGTCCACGCGGGATAAACCGCGCGTCGAAATCGACGCGACGCCAACTCACGTTAGCTGCCCGAAGGCCTCGTAGCGGGCATGCGGTGACGCATTGTCGATCCAATCCGCTCGCGAAACACGCGCGTCAGAATTGTCCGCGTGAGTAATAGAAAGTTTATGGGAAAGCAACAGTTGCCACCTCCCCAATCGGTGCAATTCTAGCTCTGGGTTCCACGGATGCATTCCGCCAACGCCGATCGGGCTCTGCTCGCGACCGGTGGATCTCTGCCAACCGCGTCGCGGAACTTGACGAGCAGTCGCTGTAACCCGATGGGAAAGATTCAATTTTCTTTTTTCATGACATGACATGATTATTATTATTACTGATCCTCCCCGGAGTCACACGGCCACATCCCTTCGCTACCACGCTCCGTCCGGAGAGGCCTCTCTCTCTCTCTCGCCGCAGGATATCTTGAGCATGGGCGCGAGGATGATGAAGCCGAAGGCAGGCATGTAGTGCCCGATGGAGATGTAGCGGTGCAGGCAGGGCAGCAGGTAGAAGAAGAACGACTGGTGGAAGCGCTCGAGCAGATTGTTGAGGCTGCGGAAGATGCCCTCCAGCAACCTGCGACACATCAGCAGCAGTACGAGTGTGAGTACAAAAAAACTATTATCATATTTTTTACTGGCAAATGAGGTTCCAATGGTGTAAATGCTTACCCCGAGCTCTCATACTCTGATGGTGCATTGTCTTTGAGTTGTGCGCCTTTTGGCGTCATCTGGTCCAACCCATGTGAGACTAGGCTCTAAGGAAAGCTGTCTCGGGTGTGGACCAATCAACTTCAAGGACAGTGCATACATTATCAGAGTTCTTTTTTGTTTGCATTATGGCTGCAGGTATTGTGGTCTATGCAAACATGACTCCTCGTAAAAAAGGTGTCAGTTTTGTTGCCAGATAGAAGGGTAAAAAAACCAATTATCAACTTTAGTTTTGTTCCTACCAGAGATCACCTTGACGGGAGCCATCGTGGCCCCACGTTTCTAGCTGGGCAGACAGACCGCCATGTCTGATGGCCGGCGGGAAAGCGTTCAATACACACCGCCCACACTCAGCCCGGGCGGTGGCTCGGAGGGCGAAGGGGGTGGGGGGGGACGTGGAAAAGGGCATGACGAGGAGGCGGACGCGGGGGCCGTCCTCCGGCGGCGGCGAGCAACGCACCCGCCCACCGTGGTGGCGCCGATCTTGCGCGAGCGCAGGCTGTTGATGCCGCGCAGCGTGAGCGCCTCGATGCGGTAGCGCAGGAAGAGGCTGTGGTCGCCCGTGGGGCGGCTCGAGGCCTGGTTGAGCGCCATGAGCATCACGGTGCGCAGGCTCTGCACGTAGCCCTCCCACGACTCGCCGTCCTGGTGCATCAGCTGCGCACAAGTGGGGGGGGGGGGGGGGGGGAGGGGAGGGTGTCGGGGAGGGGAGGAAGACGTGAAGAGATTCGCGTTTAACCGCGGCTTCCGCTAGGCCTCCTAAGCCCGCGGTATTAACCGGGGCTACCGCTAGGCATTGTAAGCCCGCAGTATTAACCGGGGCTGCCGCTAGGCATTGTAAGTCCGCAGTATTAACCGGGGCTACCGCTAGGCATTGTAAGCCCGCAGTATTAACCGGGGCTGCCGCTAGGCATTGTAAGCCCGCGGTATTAACCGGGGTTACCGCTAGGCATTGTAAACCTGCGGTATTAACTGGGGCTGTCGCTAGGCATTGTAAGCCCGCGGTATTAACCGGGGCTGCTGCTGGGCATCGCTGCGCGAGCCTCTGCCGCGGGCGTTGTTCAAACGCCACGTCGGCGCTGCTGCGGTGCGGAGAGCGCGCTGACCTGGCCCTGGATGGTGCACAGCATGTCCTTCTTTCCGCAGATGACGTGGACGAGGTTGACGAGGTCCAGGTTGGGCAGCTGCCCGTTGAGGCCCTCCAGATGCAGGTCGAGGCTCGTGAGCACATCGCTGCTCATCTCCAGCGTGAGCGCCGCCTGGATGGAGCCCGCTCGGCCTCGCATCACCGACGATGAGATGCCTGCGACGACGACGATGACAACGACGATAAAACAATGACGACAATAACAACAACAACCACAGGTCTGCGTTTCGGGAGACGAAATTCACATGGCTTGCATTGATATTATCATCATCATCATCACTACCACCAGCCATGATCAATCATGGCTGGTCGTCAGATCAATGTCGACTATTTGTGGGCACAGGCCCGTGCACGGTCGGTACACTCGTTCATCTGAAGCTACATCATTTTCCCCACATTTGCTCACAAAGGGAGCCTTCTAAATTGGCATGGGGCTAAGCGTGCGGTGGTGGGTGGCGCATGCAAGTTGACCGCTTACCGGTGAGGTTGGTGTCGTGGATACGCCTCCAGCCACGCCTGCATGCCGATCTGATCATGTTCGTTGAAGAGGAAGATGATGTCCTTGGCCCAGTACACCTGCCCTGTGATGCACGCACACAAACGGCTTCTTGAACCGCTTGAGCTACGGACGGTGCGAAAGAAGTTCAACACACAGGGACTCCTTAACTTTTGAACATTCGACTGACGAACTGTCAGAGACACGAACAATCTGTCCGCATGTCCAGTTGCCTGTTCGGAACGAGAGTCGTAAGTTCAACTGCTGTGCAATAGATGGCGTTGGTGACATCTCCATCGGCAGAACATGAAGAACCAGTGGCCTCTACATCTACAGGAGATTATACAACTTTTAAAGCCATTCCCCGTGTTTAGTGGACACGCCGTACAACGCGTTTGGAATCGACGGGAGTAAAGTTTGACTTACGAACAAATCGACTGATGAACAGAACTCTGGAACCTAACTCGTTCGTAAGTAGAGGAGTCCCTGTACTTGCGTACAAATGCAATCGCATCTTGAGCTTTACTAAATGAAAAAGGCAAGAAATTTGAAAGGGCAGGGAAACGCAGGAGAGAGGCAAGAGAGCGAGAGACAGAGATGTCTAAGAAGTTAGAAGAGTAGCGGTCATTGTAGTGCAGGCACTGTGGTGGCGGGGTGGCTAAGCGTAGTGGTTAGCACCACTGTGCTACAAACACGACAACCGGAGTTCGATTCCTGGCCACGGCTAACATCAATGGCGAGAGTGATATGTGAACAAATCATTCTGGGCCCCCGTCCTTCATGAATCTGCGCTGACCAATGCAAAGAGTATGGGCTGGCGATAATTTATTTCAAAACTTTACGAGCAACCAAGGCTCGAACTGGAAACTTTCTACGCTTGAAATTTAAATGTAACCAGAGACACAGGACATGGGACGTTACACGCTGCTTGATGGCTCGAAGGGGCCCACATAGGAAAATGAAAAACAGTGCTCTGGGTCGGACAGGACCGGGGGAGAGGGGGGGCGGTGGCGTTTGAGACAAAGGCCTGCCGTCGGGCCGACGACGAAAAGAGATGGAGAGCGTCTCAGCGCTCCGACACGGCCATTAGGAACCGCCCCCCAAAACGGCGCGTCCGCCACGCACGCTCCGCGCGTGGCCGCGACACCTGACACGGCCGGCATACTGCGGAAGTGGGCGGCGAGCGACAGGGCGAGCCCCGTCGCCTGGTTGTTGTGCTCCCCGGGCTGGAAGGCGACGGTGAACACCAGCGCCTCGGTGCTGGCGGCGCGTGGCGCCCGCACGATGCCGTACACGTTGGTGCCGCGCACCATCTGCCAAGGGCACGGGCGAGGGTCAAGCATTGCGCAATCGCGGACTGACGACGACGCTCGTTTGAGGTCGGGCCAAGCGAACGCTCGGCCCGGTCGCATTGCGTGATCAAAGCAAAATAACGCTTCGGACTTTGTCAGGGCACCGCTGCATTAAGGCCTCCCCACCTGCATTGGCCATACTTCATCACGCTGGTCCATGCAGACTTGGTGGAAGTGGGAGGGCAGAACAGATTTTGATATCGATTTCCACTGATTACAACTTTGTTGTTATCATTATGTCATCCAATCACTGGGTCTGAAAACATGGAATCACACCTTGTGGTCTGACGCATGTCTAAATTGAAAACTCTATTCCATTCAAACTGCCTTTCATGTTTAGTTTGTCCTTCCCCGACACCTCCGATTAGCACGGTTGGCTACGTACGGTGTGAAAGTTCAACACACATAACATACATGTCCATTCAGTTGATGACACGCCACCATATCAACAACTGATCGCAATCACAGTTTGGAAAACACCGCTCGCGAACGTACACTCGTCCACAACAACAGTCCATCGACTGATGGAATCCGATTTCATGACGTGCGTGTTGATACTCTGCACTCCTATCGTGTTTTGTGCATCGTTCGTTATTGTAAAGTTCTTACCCGTACCCAACCGGACACCTGTAACAAAGGGCAATCGTAGCTCATCGGATTCCTCCAGCGTGTCATAAATATTCACAATTCCCGATTCTGTATGCAATCACGCATTCCAAATCGCCGGGCCAGTCGCCCCGTGCAGGCGGCGAGCGCGGGGCGAGATCGCGACTCTCACGTACGTAGCGTTCTCGCAGCTCGTCCGGGAAGGGCAGCACGCGGGAGAAGGTCTGGGTGTGCACCTCCAGCCCGCGCTGCTCCAACGCACGCACCAGCCACTCCACCGGCATGCCGCTGCCAACGCCCGGATGGACACCAAAGGACAAAGGTCACCGCCGTGTCGCCTTAACAGCCTGTTGGGGCAAGTGCTGTTGGCGAGCAGCGGTACACTTAAGACCGTCGCTCGACAGAATGAGACCATGGTTACTTTCATTTGTCCAATTGATGCAGTCGGCAAAGTCCTGAACAAACTACATTTGGAATGGTCGCACTCAGAATAAATGAAAATGAGTACCAAGGCATATCTTACAATGGCATAAATGTATCAAGTAACTAATTATGACATTATTTGGAGGATGCCATAGATTCCCCATAACCTGGCACTCACCCCAATAAGTCTGGCTTTAAGAGCTTCACTCTCTGCTGTTGTTACTAGGTAAACATCTAGTGTGTGTAGCACACCACGTAGAGTTACCGTAATTACAAAAAGACTGCTCATATTTTCACGTAACGTATAACCTTCAAATTGTAAGTTGGCACTCTCTTAACTCGTCAGGGTCAGGCGTGCACGCTCCGTGCATGCGCTCCGTGCGTGCGCTCTGTGCGAGCACGCTGCGTGCGTGCGCTCCGTGCGTGCACTCACTCTCGCTCTGCCTTGTGCGCCGCAAGCTCCCTGGCGATGGCGATGGCATCGCCGCCAGTCCGAGTAGTGGCCGTCCACCAGGCCGGGCAGCAGGGCGTTCTCCGAGACGTAGGTGCGCGCGTTGAGCGGCTCGTACGCCAGCGCCAGGAACCACGCCACGCCCGCCACGTAGCTCAGTGCGCTGCCACCGCCGCCGGCGTAGAGAGGGCGCAAAGAGACAAAGATCGCCCGCGTAGCCTTTAACGGACTGTCGGGGAAAGTGGCGTTCACGAGGAGCACTGATGAAGGCCGGCATGGCGCACGAGGGGGGTCGGTGGACAAACACGACACGCCACGGCCGTCTCTCCAGTGGCGATGTTTACACACCGCACAAGGTTCTCGTTTTAGGCTAGGTCAACCTAGGGGAGGCCCAGGTACCGCGATCGTCACTGGTGTTGGCCGTGAGCGGGAATCGAATCGATCACTCGGGCCCCTTGAGAAATGGCGGCTGCCCCACACATCCTTCCACCTGAAGGCAGGAAACCCCCACAAGCCACGCCCAGCGCTGACACGGCCGACGATGCCATTGACGTCACTAAGCCCTGCGCATCACCTCCCGTCCAGCGTCACACATGGGAAGAAAGGCGAGAATGTTTTCCCACTGCTTTCGCGTTATCCGACTAGGCGAGCAAACGAGTGGATAGCCAGCCGGGGTAATAGATTACTCGAGTAACCAGAGAACCCAGTTCTGACGTCAGCCTACGGCCACACTGCTGGGATTCTACGCGGATGCCGTTGCCCACCACAGCTTGGTGTTGTTTCGGAGGAGCAGGCCCACGAACTTCTTCCTCGTCACTGGGTCGGACAGGAGACCCATGGCGACTCGCGTCTTCCGTGCCGTTCTCCGCCAGGTCTAGGGAAAACGGCAAATGACAAAGATTCGTGCTAAATCCCTGAGCCGCAAGGATATCACCAATGTCACGGCATCTCTAGGGTCCACAAGGGAGACGGCGTGGACTGCTGCGGGTACCTGCTTTTATGGCTTTATTTTGGTGATTTTTGAAAAGTTTTTCGGTTTGGCCATGTTTGTTTGTTGTAGTACAGAGTTAGACTGATGGTCTTAATCTAAGTTGTCTTGTGGTTGTTGTTGTTTGACTTGCATCCCACTGGGATATTTGCACACAGTGTTGTTGTACGGTGCTTTTTCTGCAATATTTTGCTGTCTTTTCTTGGATTTTCTGTTTGCACTTAGTCACATATTCACTTTAAGATGTTTTCTTGTTCATGTTATTTTGTTTGTTGCGGTTGTACAAGATTCAAGAGCCGAATGGCTCACAGGGCTATACCTAATAAATACAACTTGAAACCGCACCCGCTGTGTTAACCAGGGGCGGCAGCTCGCCTCGAACCGCGAAGAGCAGGCCAACACATTGACTGACGGTGTTGCACTGCCCCTTGCATGATGTGTACCCATGGTTGGCGGTCACTCATGGATACCACAACAGAGACTCAACCCTGCTGGACCTCCTACCATGCCATCTATGGGAAGATACGTACGGTGCGAAGGAAGTCCAGACATACACCTACGATCGGGCACATTGCGGGACGCTTCTGCCATCATCGTGTGCATTGTTGTGTCAAGTTGAACCGGATCACAAATGTGCAGCCCCCTTCTCCATGCATCAAGATCAATGCAACAGCCATAGCGGGATCAATGAGCGACTTCCTGAGTGAGCGACGATTTGAGCGGCACTCGTTTCTCGCTCGCAGTAGACACGAGCCACGGTGGTGGACATTCCACGTTACTGTGACAGGGGCCGGTCGGCATGTTAGCAAGTACAAATGCTGCTGCTGCTGCGTTGCACAAACGACGAGTTGAATTGGCTAGAGGAAGAGTATTGACGTGACGTGAACACGCAGGATATTAGAAGGTCGCATTACGGGAAAATCATGCTACATTTAGAACGGTTTAGAAAAAAAAAATGGACTTTAAAAAGCATCAACATTTATTTAATTTAGTGTAGAAATAAAAAGGCTTCAAGCAATGAATGGCCGCTGGATTTGCTAGTTCGCATAAGAGCGCGGTCGCACGGGAACGACGCTCATTGGCGGAGGTTCGATGGCCGACACCGATCGGACCAATGGCGTGGCGCGTTACTTACGACGTCTTCGATTGCCGGCCAATGGGAGACGGCGACAGGGCGAGGTCGCGTAAGCAGACTGGGAAACCCAATTGACCGCGGCAAGTCTCGCTCGATGTCTCGGGATTTGTATGAGAGGGACGAGGCCGTTGTTTGTTGTCGCGCGTGCAGAGAGAGAAGCGGTCGGGGCGCAGCGGCAGGCGTCGAGGGGGACGGGGGAGCGACTCCGCGTGGCGCTGCAGGCCACGAACAGCGCGCTCGGCAGGGACAACCGAAGACGTCCGTTAGGTTCCGCGGGCGACGCGCTCCGTGGGAAACCGCGACCGCCGCCGCTTTTGGTTCCGGGTAGAAGGGGGTGTTCGTAAGTCGAGGAGTCTGTGTACTGGATGAATCCGATAAGCTGTAAAGCTCTTTTTCGCAAGATTGTCCAGTAGGGGTGCGTAGGAACGTCACAACAATAAAGTTGCAAAAACACGCTAGGAGTACAAGAAAGGTAAACAAAGCACCCAAACACGTGAACAAATACACACCAACCATCCCCGTCCTGCCACGCAAAGCCCACTGAGGTGTGAACTTGTTTTTCATAAGCGACCTGGCCACAAATTATAGCCTCAGCAAAGTGGCTCGTCATGTGGAAATTTATAGCAGCGAAATAAAATAAAAATTCATCACCTACACCCCCCTCCCAAACACCCCACCTACACCCCCCCTCCTACACCCCCCCTCCTACACCCCCCCTAAACCCCCCACCTTTCCTACACCCCCCCCCACCTACACCTCCCCCACCTACACCCCTCCCCCCCCCCACTTACACCCCCCCCCCACTTACACCCCCCCACCTACACCCCTTCTCACCTACACCCCCCACCTACACCCCCCCACCTACACCCCCTCTCACCTACACCCCCTCTCACCTACACCCCCCCCAACCCCATCTACACCCCCTCTCACCTACACCCCCCCTAAACCCCCCCACCTACACCCCCTCTCACCTACACCCCCCCAACCCCCCCACCTACACCCCCTCTCACCTACACCCCCCCCAACCCCCCCACCTACACCCCCTCTCACCTACACCCCCCCCAACCCCCCTTCTCACCTACACCCCCCCCCCAACCCCTACACCTACACCCCCCCTCACCTACACCCCCCCACCTACACCCCCCCACCTACACCCCCTCTCACCTACACCCCCTCTCACCTACACCCCCCCCAACCCCCCCACCTACACCCCCTCTCACCTACACCCCCCCTCACCTACACCCCCCCACCTACACCCCCTCTCACCTACACCCCCCCTCACCTACACCCCCCCTCACCTACACCCCTCACCTACACCCCTTCTCACCTACACCCCCCCTCACCTACACCCCCCCTCACCTACACCCCCCCTCACCTACACCCCTCACCTACACCCCCCACCTACACCCCCTCTCACCTACACCCCCCACCTACACCCCCTCTCACCTACACCCCCCACCTACACCCCCCCTCACCTACACCCCTCACCTACACCCCCCCACCTACAGCCCCTCTCACCTACACCCCCCACCTACACCCCCCCTCACCTACACCCCCCCACCTACACCCCCCCACCTACACCCCCTCTCACCTACACCCCCCCTCACCTACACCCCCCCTAAACCCCCTGACCTCCCCTAAACCCCCCCCCCCCACCTACACCCCCTCCCGTTGATTTATTATCCCGAACCTCCGAATGTTCTTTATCAAGTGAAATGTTACTAAAGTTGTTTTTTGTATTAAAGACTGAAAATTTTGAGACTTGAGAAACGCGACGGGCTACGCACGCACGCGTGACAGCCACGAGCTAAGCGAGATAACACATTCCTGCGGAGGGAGCTGGTAGGAACGTTGGGTTGCTCGGTCAATGGCCTGCAGGGTCAACGGCGGCGTGGTGTATTCGGAAAATATGCCCGACTGTGCGGGCGGGCACAAGCCGGCGTGAGTAGGTTAAACGTTGAGTTTTATAAGGGCACCACGGGGTGACCAGCCCCTCCCCACCCAGCCCCACCCCTCCCTGCACGACGGACGGACACAATAATCCTGTGGGCTGGTGTAACCAGGAGGTTCCTACCAGTATCACAAATGTATACTCTTAGTTCTTTCGGTAAAGTCACGTAGGTAAAAAATGAAATTAAAATTATTTTTTATTAATTTAAATTGCATTTTTTACCTACGTGACTTTACCGAAAGAACTAAGAGTATGAATCCTTGCAGTTACGAAAGCTTCAAATCTAGAATCACAAATGTAGACAATAGGGATTACTGGCGAAACGTCGAACTCGGATTGTTAATGTTGTGGGCTTACTCTCCAACACACCCGGTGTGCTGAACTTCAGAACTAGTAACGAATTGGCACGTTCTGTGTTTACGTGACAAACCTTACTAATTGGCCGTGTCGGGTGGTGGCGGGTTTTACGACGCATTTATATTTACGCGATTTAACCCAAAGACCTCCATTATGAATACTATTGGTCGCGAAAGCCTACAACGCAAGATATGTGCATATAAAGATGAAATGCCTTTTGCTGGTCTTGCTCATTTTACTGGGAGTCGAGTACCATTTGATGCAGCCCATATTTAGTTTTAATAAATCCTGGACTCTTTCGACGACTTGGGACCCGAAGCATTTGCTTGTGCCTAGCGCTCCCCTTACCGTACACGTTACTAATATACGGATCGTGTTTATTATACATACACACAGAGGTGCGCGCATCCAGACACACAAAAAATGCGGTAAAACGTATAAAAAAACTTCAAATAACAGTTTAATTAAAATTATTAAGATTTCGGATATATAAAAACCAAGCTTTACATAACTGTATGCTCAAACACTACACGGTTATTAACAAACAAAAAATAAAGGCATGTTCGTACAACAGTAGTTAAATCTTTAAATGTCAACAATGTGCGCACAAAAAAAACAATCTAAACGATGAAATTAAAAGTGACTATTTTACAGTCTAAGCGATTCAGAATAAAGGGGTTAACACTTCGTAAAATACACTGGGGTCTGATCACGAGGATGTCTACTGTGAAGACGAGGCAGCAGGCAAATGAAAACCGGCCAGGCTCTCAAAACAGCGGTGGGAATGGCTGGTGCGACCCTAAGTTGTCACTCAAAGCGGGCGACGATTACAGCAGAAGCACGCAAAACTGTTATCCACACACTTTCACAGGTTTTTTTTTTAACATTGACCGGGCATGCTCGTGGACTGTTGCGTTGAAATAAAATTAAAGTTTTTTTTTTAGTTTATTCCAGGTGCAGGAAGGGGTTTGTTAATATACGGTGGTCCATTTATAGATGCCCACTAAAATAAATAATAGGGTGGGGGGAAAAAAATAGAAAGCAACGTTTTTAGTTCAAAGTCTCTAAAAACATCTCCCACTCCGATTAGCACGGTGCGAAAGAAGTTCTACATACATATCAATCATAATACAATTACTACATCTGTTATCACTCTACTCCGTGACATCTGGAGGCCCTCGCACAAATATTTGTTTAGCTGTCAAAAAGGGTCGTTAGAAATCCGTGGGGCATATCTAATAACTGGATCACCATGTCCGTTGCCAATTTCACTTGTAACAGAATTGCAGCACGGGACACGGAACCCTCCCCCCTAACACAGTGACAAAAGCATCAACTTGAGTTTTCATGTCTTTTTAAATGCTATATATCACAGGAAGTAGGGTGGTCACGTGTATAAACTGGGCCGTTTCATCGCCGTGTCCAATAAGCCAAACAATTGGTTAGATATTCCGTTTTCCGCAGTTACTGGCGCCTTCTCAACTGTGGACCCGACATGAAAACATTGTGTTGTAAAGATAGGCAGGCAAACAATCTTCACATATTTAAAAGACTTGCAATGGAAATTGTACACTTAATCACATGCTCCCTTGATGAAATAAAAAAAGTTTACTTTACAATACCATAAGTTGGCATTAACAAATACAAATGTTAGATTTTTTTCCAGTGCTTATTGTTAGTATTATTATGATCTCGACCTTACGGTGGTATGCTGGTGATGGTGGTATTCAGGCAGCGATTATGACTGTATTCGGACCAAGAAAATGCCCGTCTCTCGGAATGAACATATGAATTAAAATTTCCACAACTGGTTACTTTGAAAAATGTAACTGCATAAACACAGCGAAAAGTCCATCTGTGGCTTTTCTGCAATTAAACGAATTGGATTTTTTTGCATTTTAAGTAATGTTTACACTTAGTTTTTTACAGAAACAAAACAGAAAACCCGCAAAAACCTGTCCTTCAACTGCAGGTAAATGTCCCCGAAACGTAAATGTACACAGACAGAACACGCCGTGCCGTGCCCCACACATAATCTTGCAGCAGTGGTTGCAGACTCGTGGTCGCAACATAAACATGGGACGGTGTCAAATCTTTTATGTACACGGCTGTACACGGCTTCTGCACTTTCAGAGCAGCCTTGAGCAGCCTTGAACGGCCTTCCCCACAAGCAGAAAGAAAAAAGTTACCCCTAAACGTATTCAGCATTTCTCTTTGGCAGAATAAAAGCTGGTGGTGATGCTGAATGAGCTCTGAACGATGCTACTTATCTGTAAAAGTTAAAACTCTGGGGACATCCGGCGAGTGTGCGAATGAAAATGATTCCTATTAAAAAAATAGAAAGTTGCCCCAACAAGTTACGTGGAGGAGCATTGTGCCGAGTTATCAATTTCAGCTGGTTTTCAGAATGTATTTGCAATGTAAAACAGGGGCGGCCGTGTTTACACGACTGTGGGTCACGTGCATAGATAGAGAAGAGTTGGAGAATGCGACGAATCCGTGCTACAAACCTCCTGCTGTAGCCAACTATTTTCTGCATTTCCTCTATTTGCCTACACAGATTCCTCTCCAGAATGTCATAGTTCTTGTAGATTTCAAACTTAAAAGTGCAATTCGCCTTCTACACTTAGCCTCGCTCAAATGTTTTGATAAAAATTGTCAGATTTAGTCTAGATTTGTTAAAAAATGTTAACGTTTGAACAAAAAATATTCCGCCCACTCGAAATGTTGCGATGTATCCCAAGGCCGCATGCCGTTTCACGCATCCCATGGGGTTATAATCTCCTGGCGACACAAACTTGAGGAGACTTGGCCACGTACGGCCCTTTTGTCAATTCACTGCTGTACGACGGCCTCCCCACATCGTGTTGGTCATGGGAATGCGTTGACCACACTTCCCAATGCAAGGTTGAAGGTGAGGAACGTGGCTGGAGCGTGCAATGATGTATGTTGTTGCACTGTCGTACCAGCTACAACAGTTTTTTTATGCAGGGTGGTTACTGCAGAATGTGACGAGATCCATGTAATTAATCGTAGGCATGCCTCCTCCCTGTTCGTAAGCACGTACATCTGGTGGACATGCTGGAAGGCCGGTCCTTACATTTCTAAGCGTGAACCCCGTTCCGTATTTCTGACACTTTTTGAAACATAAATGCTCTGTCCAGGCACGTTCGCACACACAAACATTAATCACCGCTTCTGTGGCGGAGTTGGTGGCTCACGCGGAGATTATTGTATATCGCGAGACACCCAACCTGCTGCTCCATGGAGTGGCCATAAGGTGGCAGTAAAGCAAGCGGGTTGATGAATTATCGAGACATGCGTGTTTTTTTCTTCTTTTGATACTCATTTTTTTTCCCCCACTTACAAATTGGTAAGAGATTGACTTCACATACTAATGCAGAATTCGGCTGGTAAAGAGTCCTGAGACTCAGCGAAACTCTGCCAGATAAATTATAATACGGTACGTCACGTAAAAGACTCATTGTAGACTGAGTTGTAGGCGGATATGTGAGACGGTTTGATATGTGTACATCTATAGAATATGACAGTTGTACTACCATGTCCAAATGGGTTACTGGAACGAAGTAAAATGCAAACTAATTAAAACTTGGGGAAGAGCTTCACTTGTGCCTCATAAGTGAGCGGATGCATGTGAGATTTGTGAACATCTATGAGAAAACGGCAGTGACGCTGTGCACAAATACTGCGAATGGATGTGGGGCGGGTAATTGGTCGTGGCGTTTATGCGACGTTGTATACGAGAGTATTATTTAGCCGAAATATTTTCTTGATGGCTTGGAAACTGCTCTGAACACAGTTAATCCTTTTTTTCTCATTTAATTTGCAAGGTTTGCTTACATGGATTTTTACATTTTAATCTCTGCTGCTTAGGAAAAAAGTGAAGTGCTTTGCCTGTAAAGGAATGTAAGATGCTTTGATGCGACAAAACATGGGGCTGAGCTAGCAGGGAGTTTGCCAAGCAGAGAATCAAACTTGCAAATCTCTGCATGGGGCTCAGAGGATTCTGCTAAGAGATACAATCTTCAACAGCCAGCAGAGGTCTCAGTCCATCCCACATCTGAAATTCAAACATAAACATAAAAAATGTTAGTGGTATAAATGATCACGACCTTCATGTTCTTCACAAAACATCGCTTTTTGGGCTTTTAAAACATGCGCAGCCTCAGTACAATGTGAATAATTATAAAGGCGGCATGGTTGTTTAATGGCCAAAGCCGACATTTCATTTGTATCCCAATGGACGTCTGCAACAATGCAAGCAGGAATTGTTTAAACAAGGCAAAGCTTTTAATAAATTTTTTATGCGATTCAGTGAAGCTCTAACCACTCCAAATGATACCAGGACATAACAAAAATGCTTCTGGGAATAACAACACTCCTTTGACGGCTTATTTTTAAGTTTTATGCAATGTTAACTTAGAATGTAATGACTAAATTAAAGCCACAGACTAAGACCCGGTTGAAAACCCCGCAAGGCTGTCCAGCAATCGGACCAAGACCAAAACGAGACGAAAATGCCGATTACGTTAACACGGATGCCACGAGCTGTCGCGATATACAAGCGCAAGGCGAGACAGACCCACTGGCTATCTCTGCACTCTTTGGGCTGTTGCCTTGCAGTTTCAGATCACAGTGATCGGGGGTCTAACGTCGCCTGTGGGAAAGACAATCCGTGCACGTGGTAAAGCCCCAGCGCCGAAACAGAAGCTGCAGGCAGGGGCTCGCTTACGAACGCAAGGCTCCACGGGCCAACAGAGCGGAACCCCCTCTGCCCGGCTGCATGAAGACAGCGAGTGAAGTCTCCCCTGACTTCACACCGACCTCAACAGCAATGTGAAGAAGAGGTGCAGCCCTGAAACGGCTTGCTCACGCCACTTGCAGCGGCAGAGCTTTAGAGAGCCCCCTTATATTTATATATAATTGGGGTATTTGTATCGAGGGGACCCTTTTTGCCCGGATCAAGATTATGAAATAAAAAAAAAGGTAAGACTTTTATCCTTTCTGGCAAGAACAGGTGTTAAGATGTTCAAAACATCAAGTAGACACCTATTGCAAGGCCTACCCCCCTTCCATGTTGGACTTTAAGCCTGGTATAACCTCTCTCCGCCACTCACCTAGCAATTGTTTTCACGTTTAAAATGCCTCACCAATGATCACCACACTGACAGTGGTGAGCAATCGTGAATGTAAACACTGATGGGGGTTAACGCGTAGCCATCAAGCCATGCCAGGAATTTAATGCAATGTTACTTTCTTGTCATGTTCTGACCATGCAGAACCCCTTGCTGCTGCTGCTGATGATGATAGCGTCGTTTATTTACCCCGCCTCTTCATCCTCGCAGTCGTCTGACCCTCCATCCTCCTCGTCCAGCTCCATGTCAAATTCGCTGGCGAGTCCGGAGTCTCTCAGCAGCGAGTACGCACTGTGCACCACACGCAGCGGAGACACTGTGATGCCGCCGCCGCGAAGCCGTTCGGCAGGCACCAAATCCCCGACCTCGCCACCACCAAGCAACGGAGCCGACCCCGCGTCCCCCTCACCTCACCTCACATGAACACACCCGCACTCATTTCCCCCCCCCCCATAGAGCTCCAAGGGGAGGTCGCCTGGCCGACCGGTTTTTATCCGAGAGACCCTTATCGGGATTAATTCTCACGGTTTCCGGCGATCAGGGAATTGGATGACCTCCCCCGTGCTACGTGGCACCGCGGCGCTGCGGCCGGCCTTAATATGGTGTGGTCGCGGCGTGGGGCATTCGGCCACCGCGGTTGAGGCGCATTTCCCCCCACACACACCCCCACGAGTCGACGGGGCAAGCAGGGGAGGCACGGGACAGCATGAATAGCGGGATCACAGGGGCTGTTGCGCATAGTCATGGAGGGTTGGGATAATTGCGCTTGAGCGCGCAGGCCCCATTGTTAGGGAGGGTAAGGGATTAATTAGGATTTACGCCTTGCACGCAGCACACTGATTAGCAAATCAACAGCGCCCAGAACCGCCGTGCGCGTGCCAGAGGATCGCGAGCCCATTGTTTAGCGCAGCATCCCCTTTGAGGTAGGGAGGATAAATAGAGGGGCGCAGAGGGGAAATAGCTCTCTTCTCTCCAGGCCAGCGGACCAGCAGCAGCTCCAGCCAGCGACCCGAACGTCCGTGCGACGCATCGAGGTACGCTGTTAGCGCAGAGAGCAGCGAACCTCCGTGGGCACCAAACAGTGAGTGGGGAGGGGAAGTAGAATAGCAGATAAATCGGGAATAGGTATAGAGGAATCAGCGTAGGCCAGCCTCGTCGACTCACTGATTTAACATCTAGTTCCAGGTAGCGGATAATAAATCATTAATAGCGAAGCGTGGTCTCGCGTGATCTTGTCGTGCAGTGTGAGCGTGTGAGTGCGCGAGTGTACGCAGTGATTCTGTAGCGCTGCGGCTCGCCTAGGAGGAGCGCTGCGCAGAGCGGTGCGAGAGTGGGTGTCGCGTGTGTTCACTCCGTGTGTGATACAGGTGCGCGATCATAACTTGCGTAGTCGGTGTGGAGTTGGAGTGTACGGAGCGGTGTGTGTGTGTGTGCATACGTTCGTTACGTGTCGGATACGGATGCGCATTGGTAACGTGCCGCACAGGGCTATACTGCGAGCACGGCGTTTGATTGACGATGATGTGCGCACGTATGCTCGCAGCGTGGGAGCGCGGCGCGAGGCTGTAACAGTAGGGGCGTCGCGTTTGAATGCCGGCGAAACCGTAGCGAGTAATAGGGAGGTGGGGTAACGTAAACGGAATAGGGGATGCAGGCGGGAGGGACCCCGGGGGCCAACGGCCCCCACAACACCATCAGCATTCACCTCCACACACAACGGTGGCTGTGTGCGCGCGGGCGGCTTTGACTGGGCATGCCTGCGTTTGCCGTGGTAGGCGAGATGTTAACTGCCTCGCCTGCTATACTGGTGGTTATGAGGTTCGATCACAACTCTTGACGCATGTTTTATGAAGTTTGCGTGTTCTCCCCTTGGTCGCGTAGACTTTTCTCTGGATCCACCGGTTTTTACCTCCACATTTAGTAAAGTGAGTTTAGAGCATTTGGCTGCGAGAAATTTCCACGTGATAAGCCACTTCGTTGAGCTATCATATGTGTGGCCAGGTCTGAAAAAGAGCTACGTAGCTCCGTGGGCCTTACCTGGTAAAACAAAAATAGTTAGTATTGTACGGCTGTGTGTGCATCGCAGAGTAGGTTTTGGCTCCAACGCACACACGTGTAACGCGTGGCACTTGTGTGTGGAAGTCCAGTGGTGGTGCTACGGCTTCAGTGACATGGGCGTTTATTTCCAGCCACGGTAAAAACATGAGCTGTGAATATCTAAACTGGTCGTGGGCCTCCCCTAGGCAGCTCAGCCTCAAGTAAGTACCTGGTGCATCAGCACTGGGGAGGCAAGGGTGGACGGGCGTGGTTCTGACCACACCACCCCCCTCGTGTGCCGTGCTCACCTTTAGGAGGTGCTCACTGCCAGCACTTGCCCCAACAATCTGTGAATGCTCCACAGGGGGATTTCTGTCTGTGTGTGGTAAAGAAGCCGCTACTCCTATAGACTCGCCTGCTGTTGTTGTTCACAATAAAGCGTGCTTTACTTTTTACTGGCCTGTGGCGGGCGGGGGGGTGGTACTGGTGCGCAGCATTGCGCGACGATGACGTTGCGAACACGGAAACACAAAACTGTCCCGCAACGGCTCAGGAGGGGCAACGTAAGAGCAGCGCCCGCTCCTCCATCTCAGCCTGGCGAGCGGTCGTCGCCGACAAAAGGGGGGCACACCCACCTGACCGAGCGACAGGTGAAAAACACAATGCGCTTGAGCTTCTTGTTGTAGAAGAAGTAGTTGAAGGACCACAGGCTGCCTTCCTCGCCATACGGGTCAGAGTCCAGGTCCGGGTTGTAGCTACGGGGTCATGCAGGGGGAGACACAGGAGGACACAAATGTCGAGGGTAAATTAACGGCTGCGTGGTTCGCCCCTGGCACGAAAGCTGTTGACGTGCTCTAATTGTGACCGAAGATGCCCGGCCGTGAAAACAATTCACGTGGCCATAAACCTACGCACACCTACACAGCCTCGTGTTCATTGCAGGGCACACACCCACAAAAAAAACGTCAAAAATTCCCCCACATGGCCTCGTAAACCGCTGGGCCCAAGCGTTGGTGGCGAGCAATTATTAGGGCTGGCACACCACATGATTGGGGTGGCCAGCAACTCGCTGGTACTAAAATGCCATAAAATATACCAGTCTCTCTTCTTTACCAACTCAGTTCAACGACACTCAAGTTGTCTGCCCACGTGCCAAGCTTATTGGGTTCGTTTACAAAGCGACACTTGGTTTCGTTTCACCAATTATAAACGCCTGTCCGTCGGCCAATTTAGCCAGCAATGACGTTAGTTCAAGAGCCCTCTAACATCCAACCACTTTGTAAGCAGACAGCTTGTTACATGGTACACCGACATATTTAATCCTCAGAGTTGGCATCTGCCAAAATAAAGGGGGGGGGGGAAATAGACATTTTCTTTTTCTCTTCGTACTCATTGGTGACCAGGCTGACTAAATAAAAAAACAACGGTGAGCATCATCTGAGAATTCGAGAAACAAAATAAATAGCAGACAATTCACCTATGACACGTACCTGTCCCTCCACGTAATAAGTATTTGTTTACACATCTCATCAGCTATCAACTCGGTGCACTTGAGAACCTGGTTTAATAGCGAGTAGATGAATCTCAAACACAGAATCTCCGCCGTCGCCTTAAAGCGTACGGCTGGTACAGAGCAACAAATTGAGACGTTCAATTTGAGGTTGGTTAGCCCCTGAATTGTGTCACCCTGAGCGCCCTTGTAGCACCAGTGAGTCCCCATTCTATTCTTGTCCAGGGAAGCGTGTCGCCGTGAGCTTCTGCTGTCTGGTCATGGTGGCCACAATCGCGGGTAAGAGGATCCTTGGGGTTTCCATCTATGCATGCGGTGTCAGCGTGGCCTGCGCGGATCAGGTTTAGCGCGGTCCATTGCGCCCGTGGGAGGTTCATTCCAGGTCGTCGTTTCGCGGGATCGTGAACTTCATTCGTGCCCTCAAAATGTCACGATACCTCGCCGATCTCGTCAAGGAGACCATCACACAAACTCCGGTCGTCCTCGAAGCAGCGGCGGCTTTTGGCTGGCCATCGAACAAAGACGGTCACCGCATCGCGCGGCGCTTTCAGATGCGCCTCTGCGGCCGTCTGCAATGCTCGATCTAGGAAGCCACTGGAGCTATGCACTCTTAAATCTAGATTGAAAACTAATTTCTTGAGAACTGCTTTTTGTGTTTAGGCTGTTGTCCTTCCCCCGCACCTTCGATTAGCACGTTTATCTACATACGGTGCAAAATAAGTTCGACATGCATACATGCAACTTACAAACAACATACACACAAACGCACAAAAACACCGTGTTGGTTCAACGCACTGTAAGCCGCTTCAAAATGGAAATCATTTCTCTCGGGAGCGGATCTCCCGTGCGTCGTCCACACTCGCCGTCGACACTGACCTGTAGATGTCGCACTCGCTCATGCCAATCTCGTCATCGATGGCTTTCCACAGCAACGGCTTCAAATCGCCAAATTCTCCTCCAGCTGCCGACGAGAGGCTGCTGTTGACGGCATTCGTGACCTACAGCACGGGAGACAATGGCAAAAAAACCCCATCAGCGAGTGACGCTCTCGGTTGGCGCGCCACGCACAAACCCAGCTACCTGAGTTTCATTCCAGGCCATGGTTAACATCGGTGACGAGTGACAGCTGAACGGGCTCTCGACTGGCCCACACCCCATCAACAACCCCTCCCCCCCCTCACAAGCCCTCCCCTCCAGCTACCAAGGCTTTCTGCAACCTCCCACCTAGGCAGTGGGAGGTTGCTCTTTTAACCTTGTGCTGTTGACTCCCTGTCACCGTCCAAGACCTTCCTTTTTGACATCTGCCGATGACCGACTGCCTCTCTATAAAATAAATACACTTGCTGTTTGAGTCTAGCAGTCTGGTTAAGTTGTTGCATTAACACAGTGGTCTTGTAACAACAACCGCTGTTGACCTGCGGTTCTAATTCAATTGACACCGACCCGAGGTTTGCCCTCATGACCTTCCAAGTGCGAGTGAAGCGCTCTGCCACTGCGTCACCCAGCCGGATGCGTCTCAGCAGATTGACATTTCCACTTTGCCACCTTGTGTGCACGCACGCTGAACTTCTTTAGCACCGAACGTAACTAACCGTGCTACTCGGAAATGCGGCGGAAGGACAACAAACTAAACACAAAAAGCAGTTTTATAAAAAAAATGCGTTTACAATCTAGATGATTTAAAAGTGCATAGCTTCACAGTGGCTTTCGAATATTGGAAGAGCATTCCAGACGGCCGCAGAAGCGCATCTGAAAGCGCGCGATGCCGTGACCGTCTTTGTTCGATGGTTAGCCAAAAGCCGCCACTGCTACGGAGGATGACCGGAGATCGCGTGGTGGTTTATGCTCCTTGATGAGATCAGCACGGAATCGTGGTTCATTTGTGTAAAGCAGAATCACAATCATGGGGGGATGGAGAGATGGAGGGGGGAGGTAGTGAACCGTACCCAGCTGAGGCTGGGCTCCTTGCTGAAGTCGTGACTCTTGGCACGGCTGAAGTCGTAGTCGGGCTTGAAGGAGGCGTTGAGCGTGGCGATCAGGTAGAAGAGGGTCTTGCGGCAGCACGTGTCGCACAGCGGGTGCTCACCCTCGTCCCCGCTCTGGCTCTTGCTCAGCCTGCGCGTAACGACGACGACAACGTTGCTTACAGCGCGTCCTCGAAATTAGCGTGTGTGGATATATCTAACGCGTTCTGCATATAATGAGGTCTTTGTGGGCGGGGGGGGGTCACTTCCAAATGTATGTAATTTTTTCACAAGTAAAAAATCACATTGCGGTGCAAAAACAAGGCCAACTTGTTGGTATCGGCGTCGCCACGCTGCTTGGAAACACCGACGCGTGTCAGGCAGTCTCAGGCTAGTACCGAGAGATAAAGGCGCAGCCTGCAGCTACTCGCTTGCAAGGACCTCTACCAGAATGAGCTCCAGAGAGCCCCTCTAGAGAATAATCTTGGCCTGCTTTTTGATGCTGACCACCAGACAACTTAGACAAGTGCCCCACAATGAACCCCACCACACGCGACCTGCCGATCAACCGAAGGTGTCGTCGGCAGGGTCAGACTCTGAACGTTGCTGAATGTGGCTCTCGAGGACCGACACACGGCCTGCGATCCCCCCCTTACTTGTTGGGGCTGATTCCGGACGTCTGTGGAGGGGAGAGCGCCTGCAGGAGGTGCGGTTCCCCCTCGGCGCAGAACTGCTTGAACATGTGCTTGTCGTCACCGGCCATTTTGCAGGAGTAGCTCTCGATTCTGATTGACCGCGACAACAAAACGACACGGATCGACACGCTGTAAAGCATCTATTGAAGGGTAGTAAATTTGTTTTTTGTTTACATGATATCGATAATGACTTGGGAGAAAAACTATGAAATTCGTTTTAGATTTGACGGACATGTGTGCATGTGTCTCTTGCTATTGGAGCGTGCCACACGGTGGCCAACGAGGCCCCCACCACTATGGCTTTTGTCGAATCCACTGCCGCATGAAGGCCTCCCCACAACGCGTTGTTTTACGAGGGTTGTTTGAACGCCATATTTCAAGAGATGGTCAGTGCGGGTTGCTGGAGGGAGCGGCACCAGGACCAGGTATCACACAGCACCGGTGTTAGTTATTGCCCGGGGGCGCCATGTTGGCGAGATGTTAACTACCTCGCCTGGTTATACAAAGAGGTCGTGGGTTCGATCCCAACCCTGATGCCTGTATATTTGAAGTTTGCATGTCGCTCTCCCCGTGGTCGTGTGGATTTTTCTCCGGGTCCTCCGGTTTTTCCCTCTACATTTAGAAAGATGCATTTAAAGTACTCGGCTGTTTTTAATTTCCACTTCATAAGCCACTTCCTTGAGCTATCATTTGTGGCCATGTCGCTTCTGAAAAAGAGCCGTATAGCTCAATGGGCCTTACCTGGTAAAATAAAAAAAAGTTTTTAATAGTTTATTGTTTTAATGGGTTCAGTGCTGCACGTTAACCACTAAGCCACACACGCGCCACCCAGATCTATCTGTTCGGCGTTCATTGGGACGAGTGCAATAAAAGAAACACGAGGTGCATAGCACTCACCGACAATTGGAATTTCAACTCACAACCTCTACACACAAGTACCACTGTGATTTAAAGCTTTCGTGACTGCAGGGATTCATCTTCTTGGTTCTTTCGGTAAAGTCACGTGACTTTACCGAAAGAACCAAGAAGAAGTACCACTGTGTCAAATGTTTTCAGTTGTTGTTAGTCACATTATAAAAGGAGCTCCCTGGGCAGGACGATGATATATTTAGGTAACCCCTGAGGTGCAGGAGACAAGAAGGACAGGCGTGTTTTTTTGCACTTTGCTAACACTGCCGACGTTGCACTGTACTCAAGGACCCCGTGATCTGGATACAAGTTGCTCCAGCCAGCACAAACTAACCGTCGTCATATCACTTGACCAAATTAAATTGCAGCACATCCCACGTGACAAAACATCCCTCTACAGCACTGCCCTTGGTGCGGAGAGTAATCGTGATGACGTATTTTTTCCTTTCCAACGGAACCCATCGATTTCACAAACAGCACCGTTCCAACAAGCCACGGGCGGTGCGCGCCTCCGGAAACCGCCGGTGTAAACTCGACATTCCTGAGATGGGGGGAACTAGTCCAATGCACGTGATGACCACCACTAAGCAGCACTTGCCTCATCGCCTCCCCGACGAACAACAGGTTGCGCCATCCCCTCTGAATAGGAAATCAAACTCGCAACTTTACAAGCTGATGAAACAGGTACAATTAACTGGTTGGTGATATAAAGACGACCCGCAGAACGAAACATATGGTGTCCATAAAGATACCATCCAGTCTAAAAATAGACAGCAGTTTGAGCTGCGTTGTTGAAATGTCAGCAACATGTCACTTATACACCGATGTTTTATTTTTAATCTTCGAGCCATCTTCACCGGCACACCACAACTGCGTTTCAACAATTACGACCGAGGTGTTGGGTGAACACCCGGGACTCCCTTAAATCTCAATACAACAGTTTGACATGTAGGCTCAATACGACGCGCGTCGCCAACGCCACAGTGACACACGTGGAGGTTTAGAGGGATGAGGCTCTCGCGACATTTTCACACCACCCGGTGTATACTTTTATTAACCGTGACCAAAACTCTGTCATACCATGACGATTTAATTATGATACCTTCAGGGACACCCTGCATGTTAGATGCATTTCCATTAGTACTGAGATATCCAGTTATTTAAGTGATCGATTGCTCTATCAATAATCTGCTTAATTTTATAATAAAGGTTTTTGGGTTAGATCGCGTTATTATAAATGTGTCGCAACCCTCCACCACCCGATACGGCCAATCAGTAAAAAATGTGTCACGTTAACAAAACGCCAATTAGTTACTTCTTCAGCCCACCGGTGTGTTTGAAGAGTGAATCCACAACATTCAGAATTTTCAAATCGCCAGAAGATGCTGGATGTAATTACCAGCGAAATGTCATACACATTTTTTATTGATTGGCCATGTTGGGTGGTGGAAGGTTGCAACACATTTATAATAACGCGATATAACCCCAAAAACCTTTATGAATAATACTGATCGCGTAAGCCTACGTGTTAAATCTCCTTAATTTATTCAGCTATATACCACGAACATTATTGGGGGAAAAAAATAATCCACATGTGATACTGAACGGGAGGTGATGGGCAGGGAATTTGTTGTCAACATTAGCATCACCAGCCGCGTGATGCTGGGCGTGGCTTGTATGGGGTTTCCCACCTTCGCGAAACAATGTTGGGACGGCTGCCATTTTTAACAAGTCCAAAAAAAATATTATTGCTGTGGATTTCACACCTGATGATGATTGCTTTGTGTTGCAGTCGAAACGTCGTGAGAATTTTTATTGTTTAATATTTGTATTATTTTATTATTTCCCTTCTACGTGACTTTACCGAAAGAACCAAGAATATTAATCCCTGCAGTCACGAAAGCTTTAAATCTAAATTTAAGTCCAGGTAATCGGCCATTATAAAGTTAGCCGATTACAATTTTCAGTTGATTAATCGTCCCAGCGCATTTAAATGTTTTGCCCACCCTCCGTTATGCCGAAGCCGATTACTTGCACTGTGATATTCCAGTAGTCAGGGCAGTGCAGAGGTTTCCCTGGAGGCTTCCACCCTCGTTTGGACAGTCCTGGGTGTGGATCTGCTGGCTGGGTAACCTCTCTGAAGGTCGTAAGAGAAAATAGTCACTCTCAGTGCTGCTGTCAAATTTCCTGCTGCCCGACTCTCCCGCCTACGGCGGAGCCAAAATTAGATTCCAAGGGACAACAACAATAACATGTATCTACTTGGTTCTTAAAATTGCAGCCTTTCCCGTCGCTGCTAAACTTCCTAATAATAACCTTTGCGAGGACAGTATATGGCACGTAAAGGCCTCAGCAACTCGAGGGCCCTTACACATCTCATCTCAAAAATTTGAAGGGGTCCCTGTATGGCACAAGGCAACTCAGAGCCGGCCTGCAAGTGGGCATCAGTCTGCCAGTTGGGGGCACGGATTGCCGCGTATGATCCCGATAAAGAGTAAGTCGTAGGTCTCATTTTAAGTTTGTCAAATTTGGACCGTTACACCAGCACACAATGGCCCAGTCTTATCAAAATAACTTTACGGGATGCTTAACATCGATTGTGAAGGCATGTTGATACAAAATCAGTCTTAACTCGGGTGGCCTGCCAAATACCAACAGAAAACCTCTGCAAACAAGCAGCGAACGCGTTACCTCCGGGCCGCATCGCCACCCTAAATGTAAGCCCTCAATTTTAATTCGGGTCCATTTCCTAAACAGGGTGAGGAGCAAAAACAATATGAACTACCCCCACAAGTTATTCCCCACTATTTACAAGCCTGCATTAAGTATTCTTCCTCATGTGTGTTTCAATGCGCTAGAAGAGCTAATATTTGAAAATGATGAGCGCAAATGTTTGCGATATACATAATGACGTTTGTTTTCTGTGTGAAAATTGCTAGCATTTCTTGAATGCTCAACACTTAAGAGAAATGTTCAATGCGTAGCCTAACCAAGGAAAACAAATCTCAGCTGGATGTGCGGTCTGCTAGGTTTGTTGATATACATTTGCCATTTGCTCTGTTGCAGTAACCTACTCTTGAAGCAAGTTCTTTTTTGAAAAAAGTCTCTCAGTCTTAAAAGGTTATAAATAAGCATGTGAACTTGCACAACTAGCATTTGTTTGAAACCCAAACAGAAACACTGTCCTTGCTAATGTCCAATGCTTACTCTAGCCATTAATATTCTTTAACATTTTTGAAACCCATACAAGCACCTACCAGCAAGATTGCATGCTCTACTTAACTCGATATGTTTATTACGTATTTCTTGTTGTTTTCCGTGTCCTGTAAAATGCGATTCCTGATTTGAACACCTTTGAGTGTTGATATTTGTTTTACTGTATCAGTATTTTGTATTATTTGTTCTGTATGCTAGTTCAGCCATAGGCTGCCAAGCAGCCTATGGCTGAACTGAAGATTGATGCACAGCGTAGTATGGGTATGATATATTTAATGGCAAGCTACCATTCCTGGATGTTTTGATCGAGAAGAGACCGGATGGCTCTTTGGGACATTCGGTCTACAGGAAAACCACCCACACGGATGCCTATCTAAAGCCTGATTCCCACCACCATCCAGCCCAGAAGAATTCCCTCATCAAAACACTACACCATAGGGCCCCTTGCATCTCCGACCAGCACCACCTAGCCAGTCAGTTAGAGCACGTACACCAAGCCCTCAGGATGAACGGATACTCGGACCGTACAATCCACAAAGCTGTCTCCCCAGCTATGCGGAGACAATCTTCTGAGGATCCAACCAAAACCATCACTTTACCTTACATATCTGGGATTACCAAAAAGATTTACAAAATCTTAAACAAACACAAGATCCAGGTTAGTTTCAATACAGTACACAAAATCTGTGATTTAATCCCATCTGTAAAAGATGTGATTCCTGACATGCAATACCCTGGTGTCTACAAACCGAGTTGTGGTTGTGGCAGCAGTTACATTGGGGAAATCAAACGACATGTCTCGGACCGCGTCCGCGAACACAAGGCAGATCTGAAACACGTTAGGACCAATACCTCTGCCGTTGCCGATCATTGTTTCAACACTGTGGGCTCACACGAAATTGATTTTTCCAAGACGGAGGTACTCTGCAAACCTACCGGCTACCTTCAGAGATTTGTTCATGAAGCCATCCAGATAAATAAACCGGCACACCTTCAACCGAGAGGATGGGTACAAACTGAGCAATCATTGGAAGGACGTTATTAACCAGGTAAAGTCTTAACTGACTGTGATGTTTCCATCCAACCTGCCTATGTCAGCTGTTATTTCAACTCTCTGTCTCTCTCTCTATGCCTCTCTCTTAGATCTCTCATGCTCACATGTCCGTTGCATTGCACTCTCATGCCTTCGAATTGCACTGTCATGCTCACGTCTTTTGGATTGCACTCTCATACTCACAGGCCCTTCGTATTACACCCGTTGGGTTGCATTCCTTCATCGAGGAGGCCGCTCTCCTCCTATCTTACAGTTACATGCTAATTTCTCACATTAACATCACTAGCTTTGGGCTACACCCATTTCAAACCTTTTAAAACAGTCTGCCTCAGCAGCAGACCATGCTTTCCCACCTGATGATGGACGCTTGTGTTGCGCCTGAAACGTCGTGATTTATTTTATTTTCTACCTACGTGACTTTACCGAAAGAACCAAAGAGTATGGATTCCTGCAGTCACGAGAGCTTCAAATCAAGAAAGATTTAATCATTTGCTCTTTCAACTCTGGCTACATGTGGGGTTTCTCTAGTTCTACCTAGCGAGTCAACAGAAATGATATAAATAGAATTGTCCAAACGCAGGGGAACACTATGCAAATACGACACTTGGTACGAGGATGTATATTTAACGAGTCGCCCTATACACTTAGAGATCAAATACATATTTTGAATGTTGGATTAAAAAATCATGGTTTTCCTTTGCTTTGTGGGGCTATTGGTTTTGTTGCAATATTATTTTTGGTTATTTTTTTGCTGTTTCACTCAGCGTTTAGATTGTTTGTTTTTGCGATTGTTTGGTTTTGCATTCCCATTATTCTCGTGTTATAGTATTATCTGTTGGTATGGTATGCACGTGGAGATTATTTTGGGTTGTGCTCATTGTTCTACCGCGTGCGTACATCACGATTTGGATTTGCTTGCAAGAAATCGCCGATCAGTGTCAAATCTACCTTGCCTTTTCATTGGAAATATGGCATCCATGTATTTATTGCAATCCACGTTTAAATACTCGTGCTGCAGCATGCATTTTAAATAGGGGTTCTACATTTTCCAGGAAATGCGAGGAGTGTGAACTTACCGACAGATGTAACCGTGGTTTTTCGCACTGCACCAAGGCTCCATGCGGATAAGCCGACACGTCTAAACAGCAGTTCACTATTTAAGGTGTGTTAAGGGCCACATGCATTGCACGCGGTGTGTGTTTACATGGGAGTGGAGGGGTGGCGCAACGGTTCGCGCACTGGGCAAATACCGTTGCCACCTGACAGCGATTTTACCTTCCGCGACGGTGATGAGAGATGTGGCCATACTCTAGACTTCTCTGCCTTCACCAAACAAGCACTTGCCCATTGCGAAGCAAGTTAGTTAAACAAATCCACCACCGAAAACGACGCAGGTTGGCCTTCATCCAGCAGTGGAGTGTTGAAAGGGGGCGGCAAACTACGGATGTATTGGAGGTGTTGACGTGGTCCTTTAAAAGTACACCCAAGTACAACGAAGCACCTTTACTCGAGTAAAAACATCCTAGATACACGACTTTAATCACATTCAATGCACACATCTCCAGATTAGCCTCACGCCGTGGCAATAACCAGCTCGCAACGAACGCGTTTACAAATCTGAACACAATGCACCACCACAAGTGTGCATCATCACACTTGCTAAATGCCACCGCCGTTAAGCTGTGAAACCCCCAGATTCACGACAGATGTGACCCCCAGGTTCACAGCTCAAGCGCGCGGACCCAAACAACAGCAGCCGCCACTCATCACTCAGTGACGTAGCCCACAACGCTTGTAGCCAGGCTAGGTGCACCTTGAGGCCGCGTCAAGTGCGTAAGGCTTGCTGAAAGGCGACGGGGCCCTCGTTTTATCCGCCCGGCGCTCCGTTCGTTGTTGTGAGCGTCGCTCCTCTGCCCTCCCGCTGCGACTGCCCAGCAGCAGCTTAAGTCCAACACCAAGGACTGTAGGGGCAAGTGCTGTTAGCGAGCAGCACCTATGAAGGCCGGCACGGCACACGAGGGGGGTGGGTGGCCGGCACCACGCCCGGCCGCCTTTGTCTCCCCAGTGCTGGCGATGTTTATAATAAACCGCACGAGGAATCGAGCTCAGGCCGCCTGGTTCGTAGCGCAGCGCGCTAACCGCTACGGCACGCCATATACACACACACACCACACACATACCTACCACATACACATATACACACAGACACATATACACACGACACAGACACATATACATACACACCACACAAAGACACATACACACACAATACATCCCACGGACACATATACACACCACACAAAGACACACATACATACACACCACACAGACAATACATACCACACACAATACACAGGCACACACACCACACACAGACACATATACACACATACATACCACACAGACAATACACACCACAGACACAAAAATATACACTACAAAGACACATACATACACAAAGGCGGACATACATACACACCACAAAGGCGCACATACACATCACATACACACCACACACACCTGCCAATGATGCGGCAGTCGCCCGTCTCGATGGTGAGCCGCGAGTTGATGGCTTCAAACTTCTCGTTCTCGAGGAGCTTCATCGTCGCGGGTGACGTCTCCCAGCAGCAACAACAACAGCAGCAGCAGAAGAAGAAGCAGAAACCCAACGGAGCAACTTCGCAGTTCAAATCTTCCTCGTTCGACGCACGCCACTGGAAGTTTCGTGCCACTAATCGCCACCTGTCGTTACTGGTCACGGATAAACCCTTTAGGCCGAGGCGAGACTTAAAACGACAAGATCCGACTCCTCTAGCCGCCTTTGCCAAGAGCCACAACAATCCGCAATTAAATTTGCTGCTTTAGCCCGAGACCGAGCGAGGCGCCGGTCTTGCCTGGATTCCTCGCGGGGAAAGTCGCCTCTCAGACGGTAGGGCGGTAGGAGGGTAAGGGGGGGGGCTACGAGGACAGACGACGTTGGGGAGAATACAGCAACAAATCCCGAAATCACAAAATCCTACAATAAATGCAAATTTATGAATGCAAAAAAAAAATGTGTAACGAACGTTTAAAGTGTTTAAGGTTTCTTTAAGCGTTTAATTGCGTTGGCGACGGCGAACGACTCCGAGTCGCTCTTCGAAAACTGAATCCGCTAGGCCCGGGCCTCGGGGTCGCGCCGCTCTGGCAATCGGCCCGGGGCATCATCATCACAGCGGCCTTGTGTGGTGGATTCTTGAGTTTTAAAAGAATAAAATAAAAAAAACTCCGTAACGGCGATTTACTCACGCGTTTAAACCGAGCTGGCTAGACGGTAGGCAAATCGATCGTATAGTGGCGGGTGTCGTGGCGAAGGAAAATCGCGGAAGTTTGAAGAGAGACGTCGCTGCCAATGTTTTCAATTTAACTGCTGCGCAACGCCGCGTCTCGAACCTTGACGAGCCCTGTGGAGACTTGGTAGCGCGCACGCGCGGCGGTGTGCGTCCCCCCCCCCACCACAAAACACCCCGCCCACCAAACAACCCCCCCCCCCACCAATCCTCCCCCCCACCAAACACACACCCCCCCCCCAACAAACCCCCATCCCACTAAACACCCCCCACCAACCCCTCCCCCACCAAACAACCCCCCCCCCACCAAACACCCCCCCCAACTAAACACCCCCCACCAACCCCTCCCCCACCAAACAACCCCCCCCCACCAAACCCTCCTTCCACCAAACACCCCCCCACCAAACACCCCCCCACCAAACACCCCCCCACCAAACAACCCCCCCCCCACCAAACAACCCCTCCCCCACCAAACAACCCCCCCCACCAACCCCTCCTCCCACCAAACACCCCCCCACCAAACACCCCCCCACCAACCCCCCCCTCACCAAACACCCCCCCCCCCACCAAACAACCCCCCCCACCAAACCCTCCTTCCACCAAACACACCCCCCACAACAAGCACCCCCCCACCAAACCCCCCCCCCCACCAAACACCCCCCCCCCCCACCAAACAACCCCTCCACCACCAAACAACCCCCCCCACCAAAACACCCTCTCCCACCAAACCCCCCACTAAACACCCCCCACCAACCCCTCCCCCACCACCCCCCCCCACCAACCCCTCCTCCCACCAAACACCCCCCCACCAAACACCCCCCCACCAAACACCCCCCCCACCAACCCCCCCCCCCCCACCAAAGCCCCCCTCCCACCAAACACACCCCCCCCACCGAACACCCCACACCAACCCCTCCCCCACCAAACACCCCCTCCCCACTACCTCCACTTGCTGTTCGCGGCGTAAACAGCGGCGCCGATTGGTCGCCTGCGAAATTCGATCGAGCCAATGGCGAGGCGTGTGGGGCAGGCCACGGGGTCGCGCGCGCTGAGCGTGGATTCGCCGAGACGTTGCGTCGTGCCCCCGCCCCGCCGCCACCTGACAACCAATCAGTGAGCTGCGTCACGTAAACAAAACGAGCCAAATTAGTGACTTAAGCACACAGCTGTTGGAGTTTGTTTTTTTTGGTTTCTTGGTGTAACGTTAACAGGTCCCTGTGGGGTGGGCTGGTAGGACCGAACAATTGAATGGCTATGATAAAATGAAATGGCAAAAAATGGGCGCCAATAAGTGCAAAAAAATAATAGTATTGCACAAGTATGTACCTAACTGAGTGCAGCTTGGAGCAGACACAGTGAGTAGTAACAATATGCTCGATATGCAGCGCCGTCGGCCACGCCCCTATCACTATTAGCCCCGCCTTCTCGCCCCCGGTACTGTATTCTCGACTGTAGACTCCGCCCCTTTTCGCCAACGGCCCCTCCCTCCATCGCGCTAAGCTCCGCCTCACACCGCTTCACCCCGCCCCGCTCCCCCGTGGCCCCGCTCCGCCCCCGTGGCCCCGCCCTCCACCCGCGTAACCCCGCCCCGGCCACCCGTGGCCCCGCCCCATCTCGGTGTCCCCGCCCAGCCCCGCGTAGCCCCGCCCCCTGCCGCTGTAGCCCCGCCCAATACACCCCGAGCGGGGAGAGATTCCCAGGCCTGGCTCGGCCTGAGAGTCGCCGACGAGGGGGGGGGGGGGTAGGGAGTTGTTTTTAATGTAAAAGCTTTAAATTTTCTATTAAAAAACATCAGGGAATGCAACATTGTTAAACATTTACTCCCTTCCACACACACGGGGGAACTATACGAAGGGAGAGCTTTAGGCCTAGCTGTAGGCCTTAGGCCGCCGTGAGTTAATTGTTAATATAAATGTTTTAATTATTTATGTAAAAGCTTTAAATGTAAATGTTGCTATTTAAAAACATCAGGGAATGTAACATTGTAATTAAAAGCTATCTGAGGGAATTATAAGGGAATGTTACACTTGTTTAGCCAGGATAGCGTCACTTGAGTCTAAAGGTTTTTGTAGGGTCATGCCAAGTGTTTGCAGTAGGGGGCGATGATGATACACGGACGGACGGACGATATAATCTATTGGTGTCTGGTCCACTTCGTTCCTACCAGTATAAACACACTACTCGACATCTGTAAAAAAGAGCTTTATATCTCATCGGATTCCTCCAGTTTCCAAATTTTGAAACCCACCACATTTGCAATTACTCTCCAACACACCTTTGTGCTGAAGTAGTAACGAATTGGCACGTTTTGTTAACGTAACAAACCGTACTAATTGGCTATCGGGTGGTGGCAGGTTTATCTTTATACAGATCTAAGGGGCCGTCCATAAATGACGTCACGCACCTAGGGGGGGTCAGACATTTGTGACGAGGGGGGGTGAGAAATGTGACGTCACATCAAAATGCGCAACTTGAAATATAGACACGTTCTACTTTATTAAATATACTTTTTAATAAATGTTTTCTCCTCAAGAGTGCTGCGCCACATTAAATACGCACTACAATGACAATAGTTTAAAGCGATTTGAAGCATCTTTTATTTTTTTGGGGGGGGGGGCAGAGCTTTGTGACGTCATATTTGAGGGGGGGGGATCTGACTTTTTGTGACGCCGCGCGTGACGAGGGGGGGGGGGTCAAAAATCGTCTAAAATCGCGTGACGTCATTTATGGACGGCCCCTAACCAAAACACCTTTGTGGACATTTGTCGCGAAAGCCTACTACGTGTTCAACAAAGTAGGAATTATATATTATTTGGGTCTTTCGGTAGAGCCACGTAGAATATAAATTACTGCAGTCACGAAAGCTTTTTGTAAAATAGTTGTGATCAACGACGATTGAAGGCTGAGCGATTATCATTCAGTTGTTGGGAGATTATTTTTTGTTGTATCGATTTGTTACAAAGTACAATAGAATAATGGACACGTTTAAAAATGTGTTGTAAAGTTAAGGGAGTTGGAATCGATTCCTACGATCGTGGCGCTTTCTGACTCGAAAGCAGACAAACTTTAAAAACACCCGAACGGTCTCTGCTGATTGGTTGGAGTTAATTGCGCGGCTAATTATATGCGTTACGGCATGGGCTCAAATTACTCGTGCAATATATCAGCACCACAACAACATCCAACACGAATTATTTTCCAGAGCCCAGCCCCAGGCAACTCCGGCTGAAATAAATCACTGCACGTACACGACTGTATTTAAAAACAAAACGGGAAGGACGTCTAAATTTCGATTTAAAGCTTTCGTGACTGCAGGGATTCATCTTCTTGGTACTTTCGGTAAAGTCACGTAGAAGGGAAATAATAAAATAATAAAAATCAAACATAATAAAATATTTCTCACGTTTCGGCCACAACGCAGCCGTCCTCAGGTGAAGAACAGGTCTGTCAGAAAGACACCGTCTGTCGTGAGAAATATTTAGTTTTATTTGTATTATTTTATTATTTCCCTTCTAAGTGACTTTACCGAAAGAACCAAGAAGATGAATCCTTGCAGTCACGAAAGCTTTAAATCGAAAGTCTATTTAATTAAGTAGAACGTGTTGTCTATTATATTTATTTAAAGTTGCGCATTTTGATGTGATGTCACATTTCTCAACTCCCCCCCTCGTCACACATCATCACAAATGTCTGACCCCCCCCCCCCTAGGTGCGTGACGTCATTTATGGACGGCCCCTTATATATAATTAATGTGCAGCATTGTGGGATGCAGTTAGCATGAATGACACTATACAACTAAATTATTATCATAAAGAGTAGGTTTGAAGTGCTTTGGGAACAGTCGAACTTCCAGCACAAGCAATTTGTACCCTGCATTAAATGTCGCATACATTCAGGAAATAATGCCAAGTGACCATCCAGTGTTTTTTTTCTATCAAGGAAGAACTTAACAGTATCCTTCGTTCTTTTGGTAAAGTCACGTAGAAGGGAAATAATAAAGTAATAAAAATATAAACCAATACAATTATCACGACGTTTCGACTGCAACACAAGCAATCATCATCAGGTGTGAAATCCACAGCAAGATATTTTGATGATTGCTTGTGTTGCAGTAGAAACGTCGTGAGAATTTCATTGTTTAATATTTTTATTATTGTATTATTTCCCAGTCCTCGTGACTTTACCGAAAGAACCAATAATATGAATCCCTGCAGTCACGAAAGCTTTAAATCAAAACTTAACAGTAATTGTAGAGCTGTATTTAATCTAATGCTGCGTTACCAGTGGCGCAATTAACAAACCTCGTCAACATTTCAGAATAAGTCAAAGCAAGCTGCACAGAGGCGTTTGGAAACGCCATGCAGCAACAACACTGTTGGGAGAGCCCATCAACATTTTTCTGAAATTACATCGGTCTCTACAAGCACACACCCCTAGCTCTGTCCAGTGACGGCCTTCATGGATGTAATAGGTGTGTTGCAATCCGTTTAATAAATTACACTTACACATTGAAAGAAAGCATTCAGGCTGCAACAACTTCAAATGTGATTAATGAGAGGGAGGCTGTTGACATCCCTCCATGCAAGCTCACGTGGTCACAATAACAAGGCAACTATTACAACTTGTACGAGGTAAAGGCACATCCCCGCAAGTGCATCCTCTCGCCACTGCTGGCAGAAGGGCCTTCACGAGAGGTCTAGAAAACTTATCTAGAGGGAACTTTGGCCTACTTTTCCACACTAAGGACATCTTGAAAGAGGTGGAAGGAACTATCACAGGTAACATTACAGAAACATTTCCACCGCTTTGGGTAATCGTGAAACTGATTTTTACCAACGCACTTATTCTATCCCAAACGGAAACAACTTTGTCCGTGCCATGCAGCTTTCCCTCAGCTGCCACAACTGCCGAACTCGGCGGTAAACTTGTTGAATTGATTTACTTCTTCTTTGGTCACCGTCGCATGCGCCTTCATCAGCGCGGACCTTAAGTCCATGAAGGTGAGCTTAGGGAGCTGCACCTGCACAGGGTTCCAAAGGGCAACAGAAACAACTCGGTTACAGAATATGATTAATGACATCATCATCATCATCCTTTAACATGTCGGCTTTCGCCACCAATATCATCCATCAGTTTAACACGTAGCAGGCTTTCGCGACCAATATTATTCATAATAAACGTTTTTGGGTTTAGATCGCGTTAATTATAAATGTGTCGTAACCCTCCACCACCCGACACGGCCAATCAGCAAAAAAGCGTCACGTTTACAAAAGACAAATAGTTCACTACTTTAGCTCACCGGTGTGTTGAAGAGTGAATCCACAACATTTACAATTTTTGAGTATGACGTTTCGCTGGTAATTACATCCAGCATCATCGGGCAATTCGCCCAAAGCAAATTCGCCCGACACACTGTTGTGCTGTACTAGTGTGGTGGTCAAGGTTGACACCAAGGTTGACACAGGTCACACAGGTCACACAAGCTAGGGGAGAGGTACGTACCGGTCTGGACCGGTCCGGACCGGCAGGGACGAGAGGTGGTTGGAACCGCTCTGAGGGGAGGGGGCTGGCGAGAGCCAGGGCCCCGAGACACCCCCGCCCCTCAGAGAGAGGGGATATAAGACGGCTCCCGGAGAGCGGGAGGGGTCGATCTGAGGAGAAGCTGAAGGAGGTGCGGCCGGAGATCCTGGACCCCGAAGCCTCGAGGATGCCGCCCCGCTGGGACTGAGTGGACTGAGTAGCTGTAGGCTAAGGAAGGAGAGTGACTGAGTAGCTGTAGGCTAAGGCAGGAGAGTGACAGAGTAGCTGTAGGCTAAGGAAGGAGAGTGACTGAGTAGCTGTAGGCTAAGGCAGGAGAGTGACAGAGTAGCTGTAGGCTAAGGGAAGGAGAGAAATTAGAATAGAGCCGGAGGCTGTACCTCCCTAGGTTGTGTGGTTGGACTGTTCCCCCAGTGAGTCCGGAGGACTAGTGTTATTGGAATTAAAGCGTGTGGCGTCTACGAAGTCTCTGTCTCATTCAAGAATACTACAACTGGTGTTAGAAGCGGCCAAAGAACCTCGCCAACATGGAAACAAGACAGAAAGCGCTCACCAGGGGCCAGGAGAAGGACGTCGAGGGAGACGCTGAGCCGGAGGCGGGAGCGCCATTTCCGGGGGACAGGGTCTGCAGGGGCGGGCTCGGGTTCTCCGGGGCCCTCCAGGAGTCTGCCGACGTCGGGATGGGCGATCCAGTCGGCCCATGCCCGGCTGGCCGATCTCCTCCATGCCGCTGCCTCCATCCTCGACGAGCTCACGCTGGGGGGAGCGGGAGCACCGGATGGAGGCCCAGGCCGGAGGATGGGACGGGTTCCTGCCGAGAAACGCGCCATTCCCGCGCAAGAACTTGACGTCACCTCCGGAGGGGGAGACGTCACTTCCGCCGGGAATGCGGCCGCCGGAGATGACGTCACTTCCGCCGGGGGGGTCACCGCTTCCGGGGGAAATGACGTCAACCGCCCAGGAGGTCAGGGGGCACAGGTGGGCCACGTCACATCCGGCATCGGCGGCCTTACATCGGGAGAAGCAGAGTTTTCGGGTAGGTGCCCGCCGATTCGGTCTGGTATTCTGCCGCCGGAAGATGCTTCATATACTGCACTTGGGACGCTGCTGTCTTCAAGGGGGGACTACATCCCGGCGCTGCAACAGCGCTTCCCTTCGCTGCAGGTTTTCGCGGCAAAGGGGGGGACTGGGCTGCTTTTTCACGCCGTTTCGTGGCAAATGCCGAGACGGCTGGGTGGTCTGCTGACATAGCTCTCCGAGCCCTGCCTTCCGCCTTGGACGACGTGGCCTTGGCCACGTTCCTCCTTATTCCACGGAGGGAGCGCTCCACTTTGCAGGAGGCCCTCAATCGGATGGCCTTAGTGTATGGACCTCCATCCGAAACAAGACATCGTTTCGCCAGTCGGAGGAGGGAGGCAGACGAGACACCCCTTGCCTATCAGAGTGCACTGATGGCGTTGGCTCAAGCGGCCTATCCTCGAATGGACGATGTGGGCCTGGACTCCATCGTGCTTGAGAAGTTGCTGCTGCTGGCTCGGGAACTGAGGATTGCCGTCCACGTCAAAGACGAAGCTAACCTTTCCTCGCTGGGGGCGGCACATTACCTGCACACGGAGTTGCTCCTCCAGCGGGATGGGCAGGTGGCTGCGTGCGCTGCTGCAAGGGTTGACGAGGTCCCGGATACCCAGGCCTTCGCGTCGCAGCGGGCCGACAGTTGGAGGGGGGCCGACCGGCCTCGCCAAGGGGAAACCCGGGGGAGACACAGATCCCCGCAGGCGTGGGCTCGCGTCACGTGCTACAACTGTGGCCAGCTGGGTCACCTGGCATCGGGTTGCCCAGCACCCCGGCGCCGGGCTCCGGGTCGTCCACCATCGTCCGCCCGTCCGCCGGCCGCTACACAAGAACCCCAGGCATGTCGCGACACCTCACGCACACGGTCCCTGCCCGCATCTCATACACCACATACACCGCATACACCGCGAATCGGCGCGCCACTAAATCGCGTTGCGTTGAGGGGTGGGGAGCGGAACGGGGCTGATGTTCGGGGGCCACTTCGCGCGGTTCAGTGGTCCGAGTTGGCCCACAGGGTCGTGGCCGCGGCGACGGGCTCGTCGGTTATTCTCGGGGATATTGAGGGAATTCAATTTCGATTGTTGGTCGATACGGGGGCTTCGGCTACTATAATTTCCGACCTCATATACAACGTGTTACCAAAGAGATGTCAGGCACTCACCCCGTTCTCCGTCCCTTGCTTTGCGGCGAATGGGGGTTCCCTGGGTATTATTGGCCAAATAACTGCACAAATTTGTATTGGCGACATTAAATTATCTGGTCCCGTTTTGGTTTCCGATGCCTTGGCCGTTCCCTGTTTGTTGGGTACGGACTTCTTGGGGAGGATGCCCATCAAAATTTTAATTGACAAAGGCTGCATCGAGCTTCCTTCGGGCCGCCGGATGGCATTTCTGCCCTCACCAAACCGGCTGCGCACAGCTTGCACGACTGTTCCGGCTATGGCGTCTGAAACCGTGCGGATTCCGCTGGGTGCACAGATGCTCATACCGCTTCAGTTACGCAAACCACTGGAGGCAGACGCCACGTCGGGGGTTTTGTTGTCTCCTTCCAATACGACCGAGCGAGGGTTGGACCTGGTGGGTGCACAAACGCTTGTGTCTGGAGATGGACAGCCCTTCATTCAGGTGCTGAATGCGGGGTTGCGGACGAAGGTCGTGCACCGAGGGGCTGTCATTGCACATGCGTCACTGCCGCTGCACACTGACTCCGTCGCGGCTCATGTCGGTGAGGTGCCGGCGTTCGGGACGCAGGTGGGTGTCGATGAGGCATGGATGGATTCTCTCTGTTCAGGGGCTGAAAATCTTTCAGAGTCACAAAGATTAAAGCTGCGCATGTTGCTTTGTGAATTTCCCGATGTTTTTAGCAAACACAAATTCGATGTTGGGTGCACTAATCTATTGAAACACCACATTGATACGGGGGATTCCGCTCCCATTCGGCAAAATCCGTTCCGATTGAGTCCGGCAGAGAAGGAACATGTCCGGTTGGCAGTGAATGACATGCTTGCCGCAGACATTGTGGCTCCCTCCAACAGCCCATGGGGTGCGCCGATTGTGCTTGTTAAAAAACATGATGGCAGTTTGAGGTTTTGTGTGGATTTTCGGAAGCTTAACAAGGTTTCGCTGGCGGACGCGTATCCGCTCCCTCGCATGGACGAGTTGCTCGATGCCTTGGCGGGGGCACGGTATTTTTCAACATTGGACCTTTTATCGGGGGTTTGGCAACTGCCCTTGGATGACGCTTCCAAACCTAAGACCGCGTTCCGTACGCCACAGGGCCTTTATCAGTTCAATCGGTTGCCCATGGGATTGCACTCAGCTCCAGCGACGTTCCAGAGATTGATGGAACTGGTCCTCGCTGGCCTGCAGTGGGACTCTTGTCTTATATATCTGGACGACGTGATTATTTTCAGCCGTACGTTTGAGGAACATCTGGACAGACTGCGGGCGGTATTTCTCAGAGTGCGATCGGCTAACCTTTAATTTAAGCCTCAGAAATGTTTCCTGTTGCGTGAATCGGTGAGATTCCTCGGCCACGTTGTCAGTTCTACGGGTATAGCCACCGATCCTGCTAAAACTGACTGTGTAAGAACGTGGCCCACGCCCACGTCTGTGGGGGAAGTCCGCAGCTTTATAGGCTTTGCGTCCTATTACCGCCGGTTTGTTGAGGGGTTTGCGACGATCGCCAAACCCCTTCATGCTCTGACGGCTAAGGGGGCTAAATTCCATTGGGGGGAAGGGGAAGACAGGGCGTTCAGGGCGCTTCGCGATGCCCTTGTCCGAGCTCCACCCTTATGCTATCCCGATTTCACGTTGCCCTTCATCCTGGACACCGATGCCAGCAATACCGGCATCGGCGCGGTGCTTTCGCAGGTTGTCAACGGGGTCGAACGGGTCGTTGCTTACGGCAGTAGAGTCCTGTCTCCGGCAGAACAACATTATTGCGTCACCCGCCGTGAACTGCTCGCTATTGTCGTGTTTGTTCAACAATATCGACCGTACCTGTACGGTAGGCATTTTACGTTTCGTTCCGATCACGCCGCGCTACAGTATGCGTTGAAAATAGACCAGCCGTCCGGCCAGCTGTCACGTTGGCTTGAGGTCCTACAGGACTACACGTTCACGGTGGTGTACCGGAAGGGGACACAACATTTAAACGCGGATGGCTTGTCACGCCTTCCTCCGGGTGACGGGTGCGCGTGTTTTATGGGCTCGGGGAGATGCAAGTCGGCCACGAGTACCGCTCCGACTTCTCCCTTGGCGGCGGCAGCAGGGGTGGTCGATAGGGAACCTGTCGCCGAGGGGGACTCGCAGGTGTTGGTCGCTCGCGACTCGCTCCTCGATCTGCCTCTGGACGAATGGGGACGGTTCCAGATGGAAAACAATTCCCTCCTCAGGTTACGCCGTCGTGCGGAGAGAGGGGGAGATTGTCAGGAAAGGGTAGGTACTGTCAGGTTGCGGGAGGGGCTCCTCATGTCATGGGACGCCAGCTCGGGGCGTTACAAAATCGTCGTCCCCACCGCTCTGCGGGGCAGGGCCGTGTGGGCGGCGCACGAACGCATCCTGCATTTGGGTATTCACAAAACGCTCGCTACACTGCAATTGGATTTTTTTTGGCCGGGAATGGCACGCGATGTCGCCGACCTTTTGAATAGTTGCACGCAGTGTGCGCGGCGGAAACACCCGGCTAGGGCAGCTTGCCCACCCCTTCAGTCCATTCAGGTGTCCCGGGTTAATGAGTTGGTGGCTCTTGACATTCTGGGTCCCTTCCCTGTCACCGCTCGGGGAAATAAGTACCTGCTGGTTGGGGTTGAATATTTCACCCGTTGGCCTATGGCCTGGCCCCTCCCCAACCAGTCGGTGGCAGCCATTGCGGAGGCGTTTCTCCAGGGCTACGTCCTGGATAAGGGCGCCCCGGAACGGCTGCTAACCGACCAGGGAAAGAACTTTTCGTCCAATCTTCTGCGGGAGGTTTGTGACCTTTTGTGCACGCAGAAGGTCCGGACTTCCCCCTACCACCCACAGACCGATGGTATGGTCGAACGTCTACACCGGACCATTACCTCTATGTTGTGTCATCAGGTAGACGACACACAGTTGGATTGGGACCTGAGGATTCCCGGAGTTCTGGCCGCATATAGGTTGGCGCCTCACGCGGCCACGGGCTATTCGCCCTTCTACTTAATGTACGGCAGGGATGTCGACCCCCCCATGGAGGTGCAATTGCGGGTCCAGTCTACGGCGTCTCGCTCGAAACTGTCCGAACACGCTCAGTTCAATATTCGGAAGTTGGTCGAGGCGAGGGTGGCCGCGCAGGAAAATTCCAGGGCAAGGCAACAGGCCAATGAGCGTCTGTATGATCGCCGGGTTACGGTGTATAAATGGGCGGTAGGGGATAAGGCGTGGCTGCACTGCCCGCAGGTGCCGCTGTCAACGTCATCGAAATTGCTGCGGCCCTGGCGGGGGCCGGTCGACATTGTTCGGATCGTTCGGGACCAGTGTGTTAGGGTCGCGTGCGGACGGCGTTCTTGGTACGTGCACCCCTCGCGCCTGAAGCCCTATGTCGTACCACGCACTCACACACCTTCATCTCGCAGGGGCCGGCCGCGTGACGTGTCCGGCAAGTTGGGGGAGGGGCCTCGTGACCCCCTTGTTGTTCCGAAACCCCCTGCCACTCTTTCGGATGCTGCAGGTGTGAGTCCACCTAGGGTGGTCTCACCAGAGGAGCGGGAAGCGAGCCGGCCGCCTGTCCATCAGGAAGACGGCTCGTGGGCTTTGTCCCCGGGGCCTCGGGACGTGCCGGACGCCTGGCATCTGGCCCCTCCTGACCTTCCGCAAGGAACGCTGGCCTCTGGCGATGGACCCGCCACACGGACTCGTTCGAAGGGTCTCAGGTTCTCCTGAGACCTGTCGCAGATACACTGCCTCCTCGCGGGGCCTGGGTGTTCGAGTCACCTTGTTCGTGGGTGTGGTGTGTCCGCGGTGTTCTTGTGTACAGGGGGGTTGGGGTAAATTATTGGGGATAGTTGTGTTTGTTGTTGTTCTGTTGTTGTTATTGTTGTGTTGAGACTCACGCATTGTTCTTGTCGTGTTCAGAATTCCTGGTTCGCGAGTTAGGGTTGGGATGTGGATAGTGATGCAGCCGGGACGGCTGCGTGCTGTATAGGGGGGGGTGATGTGGTGGTCAAGGTTGACACAGGTCACACAGGTCACACAAGCTAGGGGAGAGGTACGTACCGGTCTGGACCGGTCCGGACCGGCAGGGACGAGAGGTGGTTGGAACCGCTCTGAGGGGAGGGGGCTGGCGAGAGCCAGGGCCCCGAGACACCCCCGCCCCTCAGAGAGAGGGGATATAAGACGGCTCCCGGAGAGCGGGAGGGGTCGATCTGAGGAGAAGCTGAAGGAGGTGCGGCCGGAGATCCTGGACCCCGAAGCCTCGAGGATGCCGCCCCGCTGGGACTGAGTAGACTGAGTAGCTGTAGGCTAAGGAAGGAGAGTGACTGAGTAGCTGTAGGCTAAGGCAGGAGAGTGACAGAGTAGCTGTAGGCTAAGGAAGGAGAGTGACTGAGTAGCTGTAGGCTAAGGCAGGAGAGTGACAGAGTAGCTATAGGCTAGGGAAGGAGAGTGACTGAGTAGCTGTAGGCTAAGGCAGGAGAGTGACAGAGTAGCTGTAGGCTAAGGAAGGAGAGTGACTGAGTAGCTGTAGGCTAAGGCAGGAGAGTGACAGAGTAGCTGTAGGCTAAGGAAGGAGAGTGACTGAGTAGCTGTAGGCTAAGGCAGGAGAGTGACAGAGTAGCTGTAGGCTAGGGAAGGAGAGAAATTAGAATAGAGCCGGAGGCTGTACCTCCCTAGGTTGTGTGTGGTGGGACTGTTCCCCCAGTGAGTCCGGAGGACTAGTGTTATTGGAATAAAAGCGTGTGGCCTCTACGAAGTCTCTGTCTCATTCAAGAATACTACACTAGTAACGAATTGGCACGTTCTGTTTACGTGACAACCCTTACTAATTGGCTGTGTCGGGTGGTGGCGGGTTTAACGACACATTTATGTAATCTAATCCAAAAAAACCCTCGATAAGGGAGTTCTTTATAAACTGATCCCTTACGTTCGACACCACGGATGACGACTGAACTCACCTTCTCGGGAGGAATATCGCGCAGCGTTGCCTTTTTTGCGCCGTGTGTGTCTGGGCTGCATGGGGTCACTTTTCCACCTGGAGATTAACGCGACCAAATGTGACACCGTCATTAATGCGCTACCGTTATAACGCCGCTTCTAGCATTATGTAACAACCTAAATGCATCTGTGTGACAAATGTACGTTGTGGCTTTTCCAAATACATTGCCAACTGCTCATAAAATACAATGTACATGTAAAGTGTTTCGCTTATCTTAATGCAGAATATTACATTTATAAACTCCCATGTCTTTGCGCCCCACCTTCACCAACCCCTAGTGAGTTTCTCTGGTGAAGTATGGATATTTAACCCCCACAACCCTCTCTGATCCAGTCATTGATCGAAAAATGGCTGGCTACAGGTGATAAATATGAAACTAGGCCTATTTGTATGAGCTACACCAACATTTAGTGTGGCAATTTTGACAAAAATGTTTAAAAAAGAAAAGTAGATCTTACAACTTGAAATTCATTTCGATCTCATTTTACTTAAATTATTTAACCAAATTGGTGGCACTCAATTAGTTTGCATCAACTCTTGATTATTTATCCAGGGTAAAAGGGAGGGGTAGAAGAGGGGTAGAAGTGGGTTACACAGCGGACTAAAGTCCGTGTCGGAGCATTGGACCAACGCGGCGGAGATCCACTTGCATCCCCTCAAACATTTTATATGCATATTGTATGTATGTTGAACTTCTTTCGCACCGTACGTACCCAACCGAGCTAATCGGAGGTGCGGGGGAAGGACAACAAACTAAACACAAAAAGCAGTTCTAAAGAAATGAGTTTTAAATCGAGATTTAAAAGCGCATAGCTCCAGTGGCTTCCAAATATCGTAAGGAAGAGCATTCCAGACGACTGCAGAAGTGCATCTGAAAGCGTGCGATGCAGTTACCATCTTTGTTTGATGGCCAAGCAAAATTCGCTGCAAGGATGACCGGAACTCGTGCGATGATTTATGCTCCTTCACGAGATTAGCAAGGTATTGTGGTTATCTTCTTGGTTCTTTCGGTAAAGTCACGTAGAAGGGAAGTAATAAAATAATAAAAATAAAACATAATAAAATACAATTCTCACGACGTTTCAGCCACAACGCAAGCAGCCGTCCTCAGGTGAAGAACAGGGCTATCGGAAAGACGCTGTCGTGAGAATTGTATTTGATAATGTTTTATTTTTATTATTTTATTATTTCCCTTCTACGTGACTTTACCGAAAGAACCAAGAAGATGAATCCCTGCAGTCACGAAAGCTTTAAATCAAAAGTATTGTGGTTAATTTGTGGCAAACACTCTGTGTGTGTAATGAGTGCACTTTATGTGCAATGGTAATGCCAAACACCGTGACATTTGCATAATAACCCCGGTAAAAAAAAAAATGTTTTACCGGGCAAAGAAACCCAGGCGGTTGCCTTTTCCGTGTGGCGTATGGGCTGGAAGAGTGCGTCGGACACGGCGTTGCAAATGTCGCTCCCGCTGAAGCCCTCCGTCAGGTTCACCAAGGTCTCCATGAACGTGTGGGACAGGTTCACTTCCTGCGAGCCTATGCACTTGCCGATGATGTCTCGTCGCGCCAATCTGGTTAAGGGCAAAGGGGCGGCAGCGCGTTTTTGCCGCTCGATGCAAAGGTTCGCGGTTCGAGTGCTGGGCGGCCACTCCAGTTAATGCTGCGGGAGGATTAACCAAACGTAAAAACGTACCGCCTGCTTCACAGTGGAAGTTCAAGATCTTGGTGATGTTATTCAACAAGGATCTTGGTGATGTTATTCAACAAGGATCTTGGTCATGTTATTCAACAAAGATCTTGGTGATGTTATTCAACAAAGGGTGGGCCATGCGTGTGCCAGTGTCAAGTCCCAAATTAAAAAAATTATAAGATTACCCGCAATTTATCCTAATTATGTGAAGCCACATTGCAACATCGCCCCCCCCCCCCCCCCCCCCACCTACCTACCGTAAAATTACTGCAGAATACTTATCTGTGAAGTACAAAATCAGAATATTTTTTCATACAAACAGTACATAAACACGATAGGAGTGCAAAGTACAGTTTAGGAAAAATAAACAAATCACTTAAAAAATATACAAATACAACTGAACTATTTTGTTATCTTATCAGGTAAAGCCCACTGAGGCATTCACTTATTTTTCAGAAGCGACCTGGCTATCACAAATGGTAGTTCAACAAAGTGACTCATCAGGTTGAAAATTATAGCAGCCAGATACTGCAAACGGACGTTGATTCTAAATGTGGAGTGAAAAGCAAGAGGACCCGGAGAAAAATCCACGCGACCACGGGGAGAGAGACACGCAAACTCCAAATATACAGCAGCAGGCGTCAGGGTCGGGATTGAACCCAGAACCTACTGCATACTAGGTGAGACAGATAACATTTCGCCACTGCGGTTACCCAACATGTCATATGAAAAGCGTAAATAACACGAATGCTGTGGTCCGTGTCGGGCCAGACCTGTTGGGCAGCGGGATGCAAATCCTGCGCTGGAAGCGGCGGACAAATGCCGTGTCCAAGTCCCAGGGGCAGTTGGTGGCGCAGATGAGGAAGAGCTTGTCGCGATCGCCCACTGCGTGCGTGCAGTCGCCCTCCATCTGGCGCAGCAGCTCCGTCTTGATGCGCCGCACGTGCTCCTCCTCGCTGCTCTTGCGCTTGCGGCACAGGCTGTCCACCTCGTCGATGAACAGCACCTGCGGGGTTGGTTCGTTCCACGCGTTCGTGCGTGTGTGTGTGTGTGAGACCCCTCCCAGCCACTACGAACCGTTGTGGGGTATCGCGGTGGCGTAGATGTTACCTCCCTCGCCTGCTGGGCAATAGGTCGTGGGTTCGATCCCGGACCCTGATAACGCCTGTTGTATATTTGGAGTCTGCGTGCTCCAGGTTCTTCCAAGTTTTGCCCTCCAAATTTAGACACATGCATTGAGATGCATTTGGCTGCTGCTATAAGTGATCATGTCTGATGATGGTAAAGCCACTTTGATGAGCTATCATTTATGGCCAGATCGACTCTGAAAAAGCACTAATAGCTCAATGGGCTTGTACCTGGTAAATTAAATAGTTAGATTCACCGCAATGTTAACACATTTTTCTCATCGGTTTCTTGATTAGAATCGCGAAGCGGAATGCTAGGAACGGTACAGACATTGTGAGCGCGGCGAGTGCACGTGCTGTGATGCACTCACACATTTTCCCTGCTGGCTCCTGGCTTGTTGAAATAGCGCCTTGATCATCCTGGGTGAAACAAGAATCACGTGATTTTTTTTTTTATTGCAAGGCAATGAAAAGAACATTTTAATTGAATGTTAAGACTACCAAATAACTACAACAAACAGATTTGTATGTTTGGCTTTTAACAACGCATGTAATGCTACAACTTATACTGCTTTCCATTTGGATGATACATTTATTATGGTCAAAGTAATAATAATTATTTCTACTTATAACGCATACAGTATTCCACTCACTCTCGAAGAGAGAGAAGAATTCAGAGGCGCGAGGAACCACAAATAAGCAGGAAGGTGGCCACATGATTACCGGGGGCCAACAATTTCCCAAGCTCTGCTGTCCTCTATTTACTAACGGGTGATCGCCCAATTCACGAGCGCTCGCATGGGAGGAAACCCACACACGCGATGGGAAAACACTCAATCCCACAAGGACTGTACACACATACCGCGTCAACCCATACAGTTGACCCCGTATTCTTGTACAAGGACATTGAGTTTTCAGGTCCATGTGGCGTACAGTCGTTTCAATATGGGCAAAAAAAAATTGTCTCTTTGTTTGTGTTTTTCCCTTGTGATGAGACTTTGTAGGATGATCGTTGAGATTTATAAGGGCACAGGGTGACCAATAAAGTCTGAATTGGTTTTTAATAAGGTAGGGAACTGATAAGGGTTGACAGGTACGTTGCAGGTGTACGGCAACCCAGACGCCCACGGCAAGGGAATTTGACAGCATCTGTGCGATCCACAAACCCATGGTCTCCACAGTGCTGGATTAGAGGCGTGCGCCACCACCGCTCGATAAAAAGAAAAAAGCGATAAACAATCGTAGCAACGTAATGCTTACTCTACAATGGCAACTAAAGTGATAGTACCCAGCTATTGATCTGGGTAGCAGTGGGAGGGGGCTGGCTGGGTGGCGGGGGGGGGGTGGCAGGGGGGGTGGCTGAGTGGCTGGGGGTGGTTCAGAGGTTACAGCTCTGAGCTGGTACAGCTGAGATCCTGCGTTCGAATCTGGACAAGCTCCCAACAAGTAAAACTGGGTCCTAAAAACGTACGTCGTGGTCTCAGCCCGGCCACCACGGTGTGGCACGAAAAAAGCCGTCCACAAAATTAGTTTTTTTCCCCCTCACTTAATTTAAATCTTTTGTAAGCGTGATTTGATTTTCCAATGCATCACAAAGTTAAAAAATATCAGCAAATCGTTTGATGCATCAATACACCCGTGACATCAACTCGCAAGGCGACATATTGTTGAAAACCAAGTGGCGCAGAACTTACTTTTCCGTTTCCCCAAACAAGCTGGAGACGAGGTCTGAGCTGGAGACAGAGTAAAACTTCACCTTAATCTCCAGGGCAATCGCGAGGGCAAGACACGTCTTCCCTAGAGGGTGCAGCACATAAGGGAGCCAACATCGTTATGTGGCCAGCCCGAAACAATTGCCCGGCGTGTCAGTAACACCACCAGTGTGTGGGAGGCATTAGGCCTTGGGTAGGGAACCTATGGCCCACAGGCCCGATGTGAGCCGCGACTTTATTTCACGCGTCCCACCGCCACTTCTAATCACCCATCGCCACCGCTGGCATCTTAGCCACGTCAATCGGTTACAAGAGGGGGAATATTGCTGAGCTGGCAACCCTGCGATGCTAATTTTAGCACACTCAATAGCTTGCCTTCGCAAGGGCCTCTTGCAATGATAGGTGACGAAAGTGTTGGTTCATGTGTGACCCACCAAAGTTATTTGAGGATCTAATTCAGCTCCCAGGAAGAAATGGGTTCTCCACCCAGCCTGGTATTTAGGAAAAGTTCAGTATTTAACGGTGTAGGCTCATTCACGAATTCACCAATTACGTCTTCTCAAAGGAATCACATGAACATGCAAAACAGACAGGAAGACAGAAAGACCGATGGAGCTAATGTATAAATGGTTCAACCTTGGTTGGAAAAAAAAATTCGTATTCAAAATTCTAAACATATTTTGTGCACAATTCCCCAATGCTCTGATTAGGGCCATTTGATAAGAAATGGTACAATTGGTCTCCTGGCATATGCGAAAAACTTCTAAAAGGCACGGCTTTGCGAAGACCAAATAATACATTCATTGCAGACAAACCTGTCCCAGGAGGACCATAAAGTAAAATGCATCTCCAAGGTTTCAGACCGTCTGAAATGCAAAGGAAAGATGAAGGTAAACATTAGGATGGGGCTTTAAAGGTCACCACCTGCGACGCAAAACTGATCTTAGAATATATCACGCGAGCACTGTAGAGTAGTGAGTCTATCTGTAGGTTGTGTACATTTTTGTGTACGCTGTACATTGAGTACGTTTCCCACTTGTATGTCTACGAGTCGTTAAGCCTTTATGGAACATGGTTCCTCTTCTTCCTCGTATGGCTAATGTTGATGTAGAAGAGCGGTGAGCAGCCTGCGTGCCGTGTGGCCACCGCCTGGTGGTGGCCTGCTCTATAGGGCAGCGGTGGCCATCGCGTGCCTCTCCCGAGCCGCACACGGTGGCTCTTTAATTCTATTTCGATTTAAAGCTTTCGTGACTGCAGGGATTCATCTTCTTGGTTCTTTCGGTAAAGTCACGTAGAAGGGAAGTAATAAAATAATAAAAATAAAACATAATAAAATATTATATTTTAAAATAAAATATTTTATTTTATTATGTTTTATTTTTATTATTTTATTACTTCTCTTTAATTCTAGATTAGAAGTTTTTGTGACTGCAAGGGTCCATACGCTTTGGTTTTTTCGGTAAAGTCACGTAGGTAAAAAATTTATAAAAATTAAAAAAACTAAATTAAATCACAAATTAAATAAATAAAGTTAAATTTTTTATTAAAAATTAAAACAACTAAATTTAATCACGATGTTTCGGAAGCAACACAAGCCTCCGTCTTCGGGTGGAACCGCCACAGCAAAATTATTTTATTCATTTAATTTGTGATTTAATTTAGTTGTTTTAATTTTTATTATTTTTTACCTACGTGACTTTACCGAAAAAACCAAAGAGGTGGCTCTTTAATCCACCACACGCGGCTCTATCGAAAGGGGCACAACGTGGAACGCGCTACTATCAAAGTCTCCCGTGCTGTGCCGAAAACTGTCAATAAAAACACACACCTACATACGTACACTCGGCTCTTTGCAGAACTCACGGGTACTTTTTTGATCTGGCTCTGTTACAGGTTGGCCACCCCTGGTCTACGGCGATGCGTGGGGGCGTCATGGTTATCGTGCACAGGCACGATGCCGAATTTCATTCCTCGACCATTTCCCCACATTTTTTTAATTTTTTAGTCTGGTTCAGCAATAATAAATGCCACACATGACTTTACAGACTCATTGTAATTATTACTGAAACATTGTCAAGATAACTTTGCAGTCATAAAACCTATCTTCCTTTCATTTCCCCCCCCCAAAAAAACCCCATCAGTTCACCGATCTAATCTGCTGGGTTTCTTTCCTCCAAAAAAGATAAAGGCACATTTAACTTTAGTAAAATCAATCCAATTCAGATTTGCACATACTGTACACGTCCACTGCTAGCTTTAGAGCGTACTCCACACCTTGTGGGTCACAGAGGTAACTTGACCATACTTCACCACGCTGGTCAGCGCAGGGTCGGGGCAGGCAGGGAGTCGTAGACGTTGCAGCTCCACAATGCAGGAATGTATTTCACTGCCCTCTGCTGCCTTACATTGGAGCACTGCAGCCCTATTCCTTTATCATGCATTGTACCGCATTGCCGATTATTCCACACGTTGTAATATATTCTCATTATGTTTGTGAGCCTGTAAAAAAATCGATTCACACAGTGCTTCTGAAAAATGTATTGTTAAATAAAATCCTGACCTTTAAAGAAATGTGGGTAAAGATCGGGGAAAGTGATGGCTTCTCGTAGGATCTGTTTGGCTTCGTTTAGCCCCGAAATGTTTTCGAAGGAGATGGTCTTCTGCTGTATGGCCATGCCTTCGATAGCCTGCCGCCTGGAATCAGCGTCTAGACAGAACAAGCGCCCTTAGTCCATGGGCGTCGAGCAGCAATTTGATACCACCTAAGGCAGCAAAGCTATCTTCCTTTTATTTCACAAAAAGAAAAACATCAGTTCATCGACCTAATCTGCTGCAGCCAATCTACATTAGGTGCGAATACGAGTGAATTAATGGACAACCCACTCACTTAAAAAATTGTTATCACATAAATTCAAATGTTATTGGCTGCATAAAGAAGAAGATTGCAACGACTATATCTGTGCAACCTCAGGTGGTACTGACAAGTGAAATATTCGGTCTGGCAGTCCTGGTGGAAGTTCCACATGTCTATGGCAGGGAAAAGCAGTCAGTGTCTGTAAGGTCATGTATAGTTCCAGACTTGTTTAACTTTATTTATGAATCCAGTCCTTCTAAATAAGTCAACAGCTATCAATGACAATACGTACAACGGATGCAGATTTTTTTTTTTACTTCATTGCCCAAATTGCATGTTTTTGTAAAAAAAATATTACCTGCACTTGTTTGTTTTGAGATGTCTTGCTTTGCGCACGGCTTACTTTTGTCGAGATTATCTTTCTTCGCTGACGTAATAGTGAGAATGTGTTTTAAGAATTGTTTCAAAACAACCAGGGACGTCTGAAGGAGACAAGTAAAATAAAGTGGTACGGTATTAGCGTTTCACGTTAAATGCTTCATACGGTACTTTTAAATTCTAATTCAATACAGGATTACTGAAGGTGAGAGGAATACGGATTGACACTTTGTTCAATGCTGGTCTCAATCATGCTGCTACAATAAAATAAAAAGCCCTACTCAATGCGAAATGTTCATGGAACTGAAAAAGGGTGATTGCCGATTCAAATTAGCACTTGCCGAAGGCTCGTCACTTGTGTGTGTGGTTACTGCGTGCATGGAGCTTAATGGGTCTATTCAAACCTTCTGGAGCAGGTGATGGGCAACATGCCCACATTGTGTCGTATACTCACCTACTGGTTAATACGGACATAAGTGAGGATGTGGGATTCAATCAATCATTACCTCCACTTGAATAATACGTCCAGTGCTTGCCAGGGAAAAAAAAATGTTACCCAAAGCGAACATCATTTTTAGTTTAGGGACGGAGCCTCAACCGAATGACTGACGTGCCTCTGATTAAAAGTCCCCGGTTTAAAATTGCCGTATTTTACAAGAGCAGTATCGGATGAAAATTGTTTGCCGATAGCCTAACGTCATATTCGCCTGCCATTTCGATGAGTATTTATAAAGATATACGGCTTGAAATATTAAAACAGCCATGCAGGCTCAACCACAGCTTGTGCCAAACCCACTGAAAGAATACTGCCGCACAGAAGAAGCGTTGCAACAGAGGTGTCAAGGTCAATTTGAACACATTCCTGCGGAGCGAGCTGGTAGGAACGTTGGGTTGCTCGGTCAATGGCCAGGGTCAACGGCGGCGTGGTGTATTCCGCAAATATGCCCGACTGTGAGGGCGGGCACAAGCCGGCGTGAGTAGGTTAAACGTTAAGTTTTATAAGGGCACCACGGGGTGACCAGCCCCTCCCCACCCAGCCCCACCCCTCACACCCCCACCCAGCCCCTCCCTCCCCACCCAGCCCCACCCTCCCCACCCAGCCCCTCCCCACCCTCCCCTCCCCACCCAGCCCCTCCCTCCCCACCCAGCCCCTCCCTGCACGACGGACACAATAATCCCGTGGGCTGGTGTAACCAGGAGGTTCCTACCAGTATAACCACCCCTGTGGTTCTCGGTCACGGCCAGAAGACGAAGACACGGTGGGCATGGGTTACAATAACGATATGACACCGGTGACGGCGTTCAAACAAAACACTCCTCTCGTCTTGCACTGAAGCTCACGGTAGAACGCAGCAGCGTCACTCAAAATCTGCATCAGACACCATGTGGTGGTCTGGAACTGTTGCAGCCTCACCTCGGCTCTCTGCTGTCGCCCCCTCGGTGTGGAACTCTCTACCCCTTTGCACCACCTCAACATCAAATGCACTCTGACTTTCAAGCAACACCTGAAGGCCTCTGTCTGTCTGGGTCAGGCTTTCGAGCAGCCCCCAGCTTGGCTCCATGCCTTGTCGATGTTATTGTTAAAAGACAAAAGAATAAAAATGTGCAAGTGTGTGTGTGTGTTTTTAAAACCATGTTTTAAACATCCTCAATGGAGTGGCATGTGTTCAATCGACGAAGGGTAGCGGGGTCATGCTATTTGGAAATCTGTAAATAAGAAGAAAAAAACCCACGGTGTACTCACTCTTCGTCCTGGAGAATGATCAGCCTCGATGAGGTTGTCAACCAGCTCAATCCCGACTTGACATCTGCTCAGCATCATGCTTCTGCTTGGAGTTGGCTTGTTGCATTCCTCTGCCACCAGAGCCATTCTACGATTGATTTCGTTGGGCGTGTGGCACAATTCGCGTTAAGGACTTGTTTTTCGTGTTATAACGAAATCTATTCTTAGGTTTTTTCGGTAAAGTCACGTAGGTAAAAAATTAAAATTAATAAATTTGAATTTTTTACCTACGTGACTTTACCGAAAAAACCTAAGAATATGAATCCTTGCAGTCACGAAAGCTTCAAATCTAGAAATAACGAAACCTCATCGCGCTGTTAACTTAGTGCAAACAGTGCCTCGTGAAGTATAATGCGTAAACAAAACTTACATTGAAAATTTTACACTGAAATACAGTACTGTGTACACAATCTGATGTACTAAGATATTAAAACATGCCCTTCTTCAGAAGAGAGAGACTGGGCAATTGACTTTCTATTCAGACTGCTTCAAATGCTCATCAGATGGGCCAATTCTCAACTAAAGAGCTCTTAGTCCATACACACAAGAGTACAGTAGAGTTGAATGTTGTCTCCAGGTTACCACGTTTACAACATATATGCAATGGAAATGTTAATATTGCTTGCATATGGTATTTCAACTTAGGTTTCTAATTAAGCGACTCTGAATTAATAATAATTGCAATGTTCAGAAGAGTTGCAAATGTGTGTTTAACTTACATTAAGTCGACTTCTGTTAGGAAAAGAACATGAACACACGTTTTAATTACACGAAGTCAGAATGTAGTATTGTAATCTCAGATATTTTGTAAAAAATAAGATACATATACAGTAGTGTACTACATGAGGACCGGCATGCTTTTTGTAAACAGTGGAATACAGTATACTGCATAAAATGTATTTATTACAAATATATACTATGTTGGATGCTTCTGCTGCCGTGCCCTGTACATCGCTTCGAGATCCTTTATGAAAAGCGATATAAACATGTCGTTATTGATAATTGTTTTTTAAATCCTTTATATTAAGTTCACTTGCTTGCGCGCTTACGACCGTGCAAATCTTTCGGTCGTTTTTTAACCCACTTCCCGTGATCCAATCGAGCTGACATTTTGCACACAGACTCGTTGTGCGTGACAATTTATTTTCGTGAAAAAAATTTTCCCAAAATTTCCCACTTTTTAGGAATTTTTTTTTCATATTTAATTTAAAATACCAATGTGATAAAAAATGAAACTCTTACTCAAGAAAAACAGAAATGAATAATAAAATAAAACCGATGCCACGCATATAAAGGATTTATAGTGAAAAACTTTGTTTTTACGGGTTAATTTTTTACCCTTTCATCTGGCAACAAAACTGACACCTTTTTTTTTTTACAAGGAGTCATGTTTGCATTGACCACAATACCTGCGGTCGGAATGCAAACAAAAAACACAACTCTGATGATATGCACTGTCCTTGAAATTGATTGGTCCACACCCGAGACAGCTTTTCCTAGAGCCTAGTCTCACATGGTGTTGGACCAGATGACGCCAAAAGGCGCACAACTCAAAGACAATGCACCATCAGAGTATGAGAGCTCGGGGTAAGCATTTACACCATTGGAACCTCCTTTGGCAGTAGCACAATATGATAATAGTTTTTTTAGCCTTTTATCTGGCAACAAAACTGACACATTTTTTTTAGACTAGGCCCTAAGAAAAGCTGTCTCGGGTGTGGACCAATCAATTTCAAGGACAGTGCATACATTATCAGAGTTGTGTTTTTTGTTTGCATTCCGACCGCAGGTAATGTGGTCAATGCAAACATGACTCCTTGTAAAAGAAAAGGCGTCAGTTTTGTTGCCAGATTAAAGGGTAAAAACCAATTATAATATTTTGCTACTGGTAAAGGAGGTTCCAATGATGTAATTATTAAATGTCTAAGTGTATCAACCATTTTTCTTATAAATGACATATCAACTCGTATTATTACACTCCACAAACAACTGCGTTTTTTTTAAAGTGGAACTTTCTAACACTCAGAACCACTCATTAATTACAATCCTACCTCGATATTTTTCCCGAAGCGTGCAGTCGGGGTTCATCGGCAGCTCCGCCATCTGGCCCACTCACAGACCGTAGGGGCGTGGCTCAGGGCGTTGCTAAGGGGCGTGGCTCAGGCCGTGACTGTCACCCAACGTCGCCTCAACGTCGCCGGAACGTCGTGGCGTCAATCGTCCGCTCCCACCCCCTACCGAATAATAAAAAAACAAAGTGAGCGCCGCGCGATTTCGTCCGGGCTGGAAACCAGCGCCCGCAGAGTTTCGTTCCGGGCATAACGAGTACCGCTCGACGTAAAAGTTCCGCCCTGCCAACTCGGCTAAAGTTCGCGCTCTCGCCCGTGACCCCGAGCCTCTTATCTCTCTCGGCGATGCTCTTAGCTCGGGGGGTCTCCGTGCCGGCAAGCGCGGGGTGGACTCGTCTCCACGCTGCAGGGATGGCGACGGCGGCGGCATCTCGGGGCAAGGAGGGCGGTGGTGGAGGGAGACTTGCGGGCAAAGTGGCGATTGTGACCGCGTCGACAGACGGGTGCGTGTGTGCGTGTGTCTGTGTGTGTCCCCGTGTCATCTAAGTCAGTCGACCCGTGGCACCTGCTGGGTCCGCCCCGTGACCTCCTGCCAGCGGGCGTTCGACACTTCACGTGGTAGCCTCAAGGTGCACGTGGCCTGGCACAAGTGTCGTGGTGACGTCACCGCAACTTAGTGGCGAATGGCGGTTGTTGTTGTTGTCCCCGTGTGTCTGTGTATCTGTGTCCGTGTGTCTGTGTATCTGTGTGTGTCCGTGTGTCTGTGTCTGTCTGTCTACTTGTGTGTCCGTGTGTGTGTCTGTCTACATGTGTGTCTACATGTGTGTGGTGTGCGTGTGTCTGTCTGTGTGTCCGTGTTTGTGTCTACATGTGTGTGACATGTGTGTCTATGTTAGTCTGTGTGTCCGTGTGTCTGTCTCTCGTGTGAGAGCGGTGGGATAGCGGTTAACGCGCTGCGCTACGAACCCGGCCACCCGAGTTCGATCCCTGCTCACGGCCAACCCCGGTGACAATTATCTGAACTGGTCCTGGGTCTCCTCTAGGTCGACTCAGCCTCAAATTAGTACCTGGTGTAGCGGTGTGTAAACACCCACCCCCTCGTGTGCCGTGCCGGCTATATGGGAGGTCCTTGTCTATCTGTGTCTGTGTGATTGTCTTTCTCTCTGTGTGCCTGTTTATCTGTTTATTTTGTGATGTTAACTTTCGCTTGGCAAACTCAAAATAAACTGACATTCATGACAACTGCGTACTGAACGTTCGTGCGGGGCTCGGATGCTCAGCCATCGGTGGAAATTCCACGTTACCATGACGGGACGCCAGTGCACTCTTGCGCAAGGATGTATTCAGGAGTTCAGTCTACAAGGGCACGACTGCTGGTTTCCCACAAAGTGGGTACTTGTACTCGTTTACCGACCACAGAGGGATGATGGTTGATGGTAGCCAGATCATAGAACGACCGCGGGGGCTGTCGTGGTGGTGGTGCAGTGATTTTTCTCTCGTAACGCGCCACGAACCCGGCCCAACAGACCACGGCTAACATCAGTGGCGAGAGATTTGACCCCGAGCCTCGGCCGTGTTCTCCCTGAAATCCACAGCGACCAGCGTGGTGAAGTATGGTCAAACAAACCCTCGCCCCCCATGACGCTGCATGGCGGAGGCCTTCATCTAGCAGTGGATTGAGAAAAGGACCGTGGATGATTAATTGTCACTCTAATTTATTACCAGATGTCGCACTTGCTGCATTTGCAGTGGTGCAAAAGCACAATACATAACAAATCAAACTCAACGGAATATAAGAAGGGCCATCGCCTGACACGTCGCCGATTATATATTTGTTTATTTTAAGGTCACAGCGTTGTCGACGAGTTTTTTTTATTTTTTTGGAGTTTTTTTGTTTGTTAATGGAGCGTTTTCAAAGTAAAATATAGGAGTTATCCGTTTGTTGTGTCTTGCGTTTAAACATAGATGCGGTGTTGCAATAACCACCCAACCGCGGACATGGAGCGATGGAATCAGCTGGTGTGCAGGTGTTATGTGGGTTGTCATGTCGTAGCAGTGGATTGATCATGGCCGACGACGACGATGATGATGATGGAGTACGGCTGGGTGTAGCTGTGGTTAAAGCGATGCGCTCAAAGTGCAAAGGTTGAGAGTTCTAATCTGGGATATGCTGGGGGATGGGTCGAGCACGTTATCATCTACATCTCTCCAAGGTCAATATGATGAAAGCAGCAAACTTTGGTTCAGCAGTGATCGTCCTACACAGACACTCAAGTCCACCATGGCATTGTGAGGTGTCCACCACTGGTTGAGTGCCACAAATGACGATGAGCTCCCTCCCGATGGCTCATGTCATTTGCTCTGCTGTATAACAATAACATCACTTTGCAAACGCATACTGTGAGAAAGTCAAACTTATATCCAAATCACCCGCTGTCCGCCTGACCTCGTCATATTTCAGAAGCTTAGTACGGCCCAACAGCTGTTGAACGAAGCGGAGACATTTCTTCGGAGGCCTCATCAGGCGCTCCTTCAGGCACCCGGCGGCACGTGGAGCGAAACGTCGGACAATCGCACCGAACTGCACGCGGCACAACCTGACAAAACGTGCCGGGGGAGCCGTTGCCGCATCTCTCGTTGGGTGCTCGCGAGAGAGCGACGTTTCGGCGTTCGCCTGTGCCCGCCGTCCCCCACCTCACATGCGCGCCGGCGAGGCGTGGATGATCTTTTTGATCTCTCCGGGTCCTCCGGTTCTTCCCTCCACATTTGGAAACATTGCGTCCAGGTCACTTAGATGATTTTGCTGCTGTGGACTTCCACATGATGACGAGGAGCCACTTTGTTGAGCTATCATTTGTGAAGGCCAGGGTCGAAGTGATTCTTTGCCTTGCCTATAATTTGCACTCCTGCCGTGTTTTTGTATTATGTGTTGACGTAACGTTCTGACCCCGTGCCCCGACTGGACACCTGTTAACAAAAGAGTTGTTTTTATAGCTCATCGGATTCCTCCTCTAATACAAATTAATATTCTGATTCTGGACCCACCGCCGTGACGGGTCAACAGCATCGGCTACAGCATCGCGGAGCGGCTGGGGCGCGAGGGAGCGCAGGTGATGATCAGCAGCCGCAAGGCGGACAACGTGGATCACGCGCTGGGCCGCCTGCGCGCTCAGGGCTTGCTCGTGTCCGGCACGGTGTGCCACGTCGGCAAGGTTGAGCACCGCTCGCAGCTCATCGCCAAGGTGAACGCGTCCTCGGCAGGCCTTCAGAGTCGGGTGGGGGGGTGCGGGGGAGAACCATTGATCGATGTAGACGATTAATTAAAGGGAAAAAAAAAATCGTAATCGACTATTTTTGCGGTTTACTGCTCGTGGGCACCTTTATAAAGCCTCCTGAAGGTGGGAAACCCCCCCCCTCCGCAGCCACACCCATTGTGACGCGGCTGATGATGTTACCAGGCTCCGCCCAACGCATTCCGTGCAGCGACACGCGTGGGCACCCAACGTGAGACTTTTTTTTATTCCAACTATCTTGGTGATTTCCGTTTCGTCGAGTGAGAAATGGACACGATAGAGTAATCGCATAAAATTTTGGTTCCGTTCTTCGTCTGACCAAATTCCTGTTGTGAGAATTAAAAATGTCGTTTTGATTGTCGTGCAAGACGAGAGACGTGACGCTGTGCGGGCCAGACGTCACTGGAAGGGATCTCGGAGGTAGCTCGGTGATAGCCACTTCTGCAGGTTGTTCTCATATCACAAATGGCTGCACTGCCCCGTGAGAGTTCCCGATTGGAATCCTTTGTCTCGTGACGTGATGCCGACAGCACGATCGCGGGATGGAGTTGGGGGGGGGGTGTGGAAATGACAACAACAACAACAACAATTTAAGACGAGAGGACACAAAATAAACAGGCAGTGCAGTTACCACAACGCTCACATCATAAAAACAAACATCGTACGCATATATGGCCCGGGTAAGTGAAAGGGTAAACATAGTTGTTTATTAATTCCAAGGTTCACTGTCCGTACCCTAACCCAGCTCCAATGACCTCTGTGCAGCAACAGCGGCAGCAGAAAGCGCCTGGCTAATGTCACGTAAAAAGAGCAGCGCATTGTGCTGCAGTGCCATGGACGCTGTTGCATTCTGCACTGCACATTACCGGAAGGTCATGCTTGCTATTAGAGCTCTCGCATCGAACTTGCTTTGAGTAATTCTGCACGTAATGGAGCGGGTCAAAAAACACTTTTGTCTCTTCCGCTGCTTCCCTCTCCCCGTGCGTGAACCACCATCACGCACACTCCCGGCTCTTGGCTCGGCCGTCGAACAAAGACGGTGGGCACCGCATCGCGCGCTTTCGGATGCGCTTCTGTTGCCGTCTGGAAAGCTCTTCCAATATTACGAAGCCACTGAGGCTGTGCATTTTTAAATCTAGATTGAAAACTAATTTGTGGAGTTGTGTTTAGTTTGTTGTCTTTCCTTGCGCCTCTGATAGGCAGGGTTGGCTAGGTACGGTGCGAAAGAAGTTTAACATACACACATTGGGATTTCCTACGGAGCCCTTTTTGCCAGTATCAAGATGATAAAGAAGAACATTATTTGCTCTTTCTGGCATTAATACAGGTTTTACGATTTTCAAACACCAATTAGACATTTAATCCGGTCGTACTGTGCTATCCTAGTACAGTCTTACTGTATTATGCTTCTCGTCTTCACCAACCTGCGCTGACTATCATGGTGAAGTATGGTCAAATAGGCTCCACGACCCACACGGTGTGGGAAAGCCATCATCCAGCAGTGGATCGCCAAAAGGTCCCTACGTGCACATAAATGGAAGTGCGATTGCATTTAATTTTGTGCACGTGTGTGTGTATCGTTATCTGAACCGGTCCTGGGCCTCCCCTAGGCCGACTCGGCCTCAAATGAGTACCTGGTGCGGTGTGTAAGCATCGCCACTCAGGAGACAAAGGCGGCCGGGCGTGGTGCTGGCCACCCACCCCCTCGTGTGCCACAGTGTACCTATCTTCATAGGTGCTCGCCAACAGCACTTGCCCCAACTGTGCGCTAACGCTATACGGGGGGATCGTTGTCTTTGTTTCCGGAGCAGACAATCAAAGAATTTGGAGGGATTGACATCCTGGTCTCGAACGCTGCCGTGAATCCTTTTGCTGGAGACATTCTGGACTCGACTGAAGAAGTGTGGGATAAGGTACCGCGTTTTGTTGACAAGGATTTGAAACGAGTTCAGTTTTTTGTTGCGAAGAGAACCGTTTTTGCCCCACGTTTCCGCGAACGCTACGAGTTCGATGTGTCCACTCCCGCCCGCCCGTTGGTCCGTAGACACTCCACGTGTTTTCACAGTCACTATGGAAAATCTGTGAATCGATTGCTACGTTCGTGTGTATGTTGAACTTTCTTCGTACTGTACATAGCCGACCGTGCTAATCAGGGTTAAGGTTTTGTGGGGCATTGCCCAGAACGGTGCAGTTTTGTGGGGCAAGATCAGCGATGAAACACCCTTAACGCCACATATCCCACTATTACATATCCACCCTGAAACAATTAACCGCTCGCACACAGTGCAGTATTTGTGCTCGTTCTGCCATGTTCTATGGATATTTACAAATCGGGCCTTTTCACCTATTCCTCCGTTTATTCCCGAGTGCGTCAGATTAGCAAAGTTGGTTAAGTACGGCGCGAAAGAAGTTCAACATACACACACGTGACGTACTGTTCCTACAAAAATATTAAAATTTGTATCTATCTATAAAATGTAGCATCATGCTGCTAACAGAGCTATGTGTGCTGGGGGGGGGGAGTGGGACAGAGGTGGGGGTGTTGGAGTGGGGGTTGTGTCGGTGAGGCGTTGACACAGATCGGTGGGAAGATACGAGCGGCCGGGGGAGTCGAGCGTTAACTGCCGACACATTTCTGCTGTCGGACTCGTTTGCAGATCCTGGACATAAATGTCAAGTGCATGTTTATGATAACCAAGGAGGTCGTCCCACACATGAAGACCAGAGGGTGAGATGTTTGTGGCGTGCACTGGTGCGTCGTCTTCGCTCGCAATGGCCCCCACCACGCAGTGTGCTTTGTGAACAGACGTGAAAGCGCAGCCGCGTAAACCTCCGCCCTTGTGTTCGTGCTTAACGATTGACTTCTCTTACTCTCCTGTGTTCGACAGCGGAGGCTCCGTCGTGCTCGTGGCCTCCATCGCGGGCTACCAGCCGTTCAGCGTAAGGCTGCTCCTCGCACGTTCACGGGAGTTGTCCCAGTGATGCCAGTCCAGGGGCGAGGACACGCATCCACTGCACAAACCGTGGCAGCAAATGTGGGCACCTGAGGATGTACAAACAGAAACATTTAAAACTCTGCAGTAGTAGTGTGCAACTGTGGTCATCCAGAACGGAGACCGTACAATGTAGAGCGACGCAACGCCCGATCCACGCGTACGAAGGAGACATCGCCGCGATGATACACTCCGCTGATCCTGACGCGGTTATCTGGGCTTGGCCACGTGAATGTCAAAATTGTAGCCGTTGCTCTGCATCCACATGAGCAGCCCGTACGAAAGAAGAAGAGACGAGAACACGCCCCTGCCTGACCCCGTTGGTGATCGGACAGAAAGCTGATGCCCCATCAGCAGATCTCACGCGTTGCACGACGCCCTCGTGAAACTGCCTGATAATTATAGCGGTCAGGGGAGGTGGGCCACCCGAGCCTATGAACCCAGAAGCCCGAGTTTGATTGTCGGCCGTGGCTAACATCGGTGACGAGCGATATTTAAACCGATCCCAGGTGCTCCCCCCCCCACCTTCAAACCCGCACTGACCCCATGACTGACACGGCACGGGGAGGCCTTCAACCACCAGTGGGTTGTGGAAGAGATGAAGATATGCAGTGAATACAAATAACGTGTGCATGTGTAGATACTGTGCTCGCAGCTTTGTTGTAAGAGCACTTGCCGAACCGGCGTGAAGTTTTCTGTCGGCTCCGCACAAAGTTGCGGGAGGCCGTACGGAGCCATTTGTCTTATGCAGCCGGCAGTGCAATCTCAGTTTCAGACAGCGGAAGGGCAGCTTAATGTTTAATGCACGTCTAAGGACAGACCTGTTTTATTCATGCGAACCGATTTGCCAAGTCGGAGCACCTCTCTCTCTCTCCCTCTCGTGCGAGCTGAGTGTGAAAGCCGATAACAGCTTCGAGCTGCAGCGCCACACAGAACAGGTGTCCAGTCTACAGGAGGAGGTCTCTTCAAAATGGAGTAGTAGTAGGATTTCTCGACCAATATCATCCATAATAGAGGGGTTTTTTTTTTGGGTTGGATCGCGTGAATATAAATGCGTCGTTAAACCCGCCACCACCCGACACGGCCAATTAGTAAGGTTTGTCACGTAAACAGAACGTGCAAATTCGTTACCAATGCAGCACACCAGTTTAATCTAGTTTTGAAGTTTTCGTGACTGCAGGTTTGTTGGAGAGTAAACCCGCAACATTTACAATTTGAACACGACGTTTCGCTGGTAATGATGAATCTGGTTCTAATTACCGGTGCGCTGTACTAGTAACGAATTGGCACGTTCTGTTTACGTGACAAACCTTACTAATTGGCTGTGGCGGGTGGTGGCGGGTTTAACGACACATTTTCGTGATCTAACCTCCCCAAAAAAAACCTCTCATGGATTTACAGGAGGTGCTTAACAGTAATCGCTCATTTAACATGGTAGATGCGTTCTTGAAGTGTTCAGCGCTTTAGTGAATTGCACTTGCACTGTGAAATCACGCTGCAGTCATCCCATGATGAACAGGAAAACGCAGGGCTGCCCCTTCATCTTTAAGTATCCGTATCATCTCCGGGCTCTCTAATGATCATTCGGCTGCCGTGGCAGGAGCTGGGCCCGTACAACGTGAGCAAGACGGCCCTGCTGGGCCTCACCAAGACTCTCGCTCCACGGCTCGCCCCCATGAACATCCGCATCAACTGCCTGGCACCGGGCATCATCAAGACGCGCTTCAGCTCCTTCGTAAGTGCCACAGTGTGTTTCCCCTCCGCCAGCGTCGCTCCACGCGCCACGCTCGCTCGCTCCGAACGGCCACGGGCCGAGATACCCGCGGCCCTGCGGGTGGACGTTAACCGGCCCGGCGACTTCGTTTCGTACGGCCCCACGGCCACCTTTGTGCCGGCCGTCGAACGAAGACGGTGGTTGCCGCATCTCACGGCGCTTGCGCACGCCCTACTGCGGCCGTCCGGAAAAACGCTCTTCCTTGCCGATATTAGGATGCCACTGGAGCTATTGCACCTTTAAATCATCTGGGGTGAGGCCTGGTGCCACTTTATCCGTCACTGCGAGCTAGAGGGGAATGCATTTGGGCTGGCGGCGTCGTGTTTCAAATCTTAGCGTGCTCGGTCGCTTGTGTCACTGCTCGAGTTGTGAGGAAAAATGTAGCCTGCCAAAGGTGTTTGAAAGTCTTATTCGTTAACTTTTGTAAAAAATACAACATTTAAATGTTTGCCGAGTCACCGCATACATTCCCTTTTTCATTTTATGCAGGCTGGCACATTTTTTTTTTTCCAGCAGACGCTGCAGCACCGTGCGCGCGACGTAATTAGTTTTACGCCGGCCCTGCCAGCGCATCGGCTGAGTTGCGAACGCAAGCAGCTCAAGTGTTTTGTGTAAAGCAGCGTAACGGGGAAAAACACAAACACGCACGCACACACGGCCACCGTTGTAACGTGACGCTTCAATGACACCAGGCGCTTTGCTCGCTCCACTCCAGAATTTGCTGAGTTTTTGACATTTTTCTCCCCACCCCCCTCCCCGTCGCACGCACCGTGTGGTTTCCGTAGCTCTGGGAGAACAAGGACATGCTCGGCGAGTTTGTGAAACACATCCCCATGGGACGGTAAGACCCGAGCCAAGTGTTGTGCTGTGTTGGCCGTTGGGGTAAAGGGGTAAGGGCGCAGCCCTGCAATTGCTCGCTCACATTACTGCCGGTGGAAGGTGCCCCTCCACTAGAGGGAGCTCTGGAGAGCCTCTCTGGAGGGTGTTTTTTTATCTTAACTGGCCGGACGCCTTTCACATTATTTACCGCCACTGCATTGCTCATTTGAGCAGTGGGGGGACTTATGCAACTTTAACTTATTCACTTTATCTGTTTTACATGTTTGTTTTTTGTGATTTTTTTTACCTTTGCTATGCTTTGCACTCTTATCGTGTTTTTGTACTGTTTGTTGTTGTAAACCTTCTGACCCACCCCTACTGCACATCTGTGAAAATTAGCTTCATAGCTCATCAGATTTCTCCAAGGGTAAATACAGATTCTCATTCGGAATATGATGACTTTTGACTCTATAATGAGCTGGCCTCCAGGGGGAATCGCCTTCATAATATGAAATGTGAACGGGCATCGCTGCAATTACTGGCCGAAGTGCCTCGAGAGTTTGCCTACGAGGGTATTTTGGCCTTCTCTTCCATGCCGGCAAGTTGTCTCGAAAGAGGTCGGAGTACCCACACGTGACCCTCACCACCAACACATGACCTGCCGACCGGCAAAGTGTGCTTTGCCAGATTTTGCCGCTGGATGGGCAGCGCCAATCGGTGAACTTGCTCAAATCTCTCCGTGTCCACGTACTGTACCTCAAGAGCAATGACCATATTCTTGGTTCTTTCGGTAAAGTCACGTAGAAGGGAAATAATAAAATAATAAAAATATCTAACAAAAAATGACCATGTTTGGTCTTCCTCGGTGCACCGCTGTTTCGAACGGCGTGAATCCGTTTGGTGTCGTCATGGCGTTTGCTCCACATTGGATGATGATCTTCATCCACTCACTGCAACTGCTGACTAAGATTCCAAAGAACACAGGATGAGATGTTACTATCCTTTGTGCAAGCACTTCCAAGAGTTCATGAACAGTGAGCCTGGTGAAATTTGGGGAGCGCATCGTCAGTAGTGACCCTTTGGTTCCTAGGGTGTTTCGGCCTTTCATACTATACACCCTCCCCAAAGGCGGCCAGCGACAGGGTGATCAATCCTACGCTTGCGTCCCATTCCCAATTGGTCATAGGAGTTGCCTTGTTGTTGGTAGCCAACATCCCATGGGACTATGCATGGCAGGGGCGTCCTCCTCCCTGAGTCAAGCATTGTTGACTGCATACCTCCTGGCCCTCTCACTTTGGGGCCCAGCTGGGGTCTTTCCTCTTCATCCAGAGCCACTGACTGCTGCCTTCTGCCGCCTCCGATACAGCTTTGATTGCCGAACGCTGGCTCTGGCCCTTAATTCCCAGGTCTCTAAGCAGTCTGGTTGTAGATGTTGCCACAAAACCTCTGCAGCCGACCTCCACTGGTCGGACTTCTGTGTTCCAGCCATGATGCCGTGCTTCGGCAGCTAGATCGGCATAGCGCAACAAAAAAATGCAAACGTTTTACGAATTCTTTTTATATCACAAATTTCGTAAATCTCCGCTGAGGTCCGCGGTTCAATTGTGGGGTTTTGGCCACGTGCATTGAACCACGTCTTCAAATGCCGTTAGTCTACGTCTTGTGCCTGACGGTGCCACATTTTTGCTATTGTCCGAATGTTCAGCCCACTGAAGTCTCGTTACTGCCTGCGCAACGGCTGTAGAGAGCGATAGTGAGCTGCAGCAACACCAATGACATTCACTGCGATGCAACTTCCCCTCTGTAATTTTCCACCGTTGCCACCCCCAGCTTGGGCTTGGACACCTGTGAACGAAAGCTTCCCGGCTCGGGGTTCTTCGAGCTTTAATGTGTCTGTGTGCGGCTGTGATTAGCACAAATGGCTCTGTGACAAATCCCCCCTCAACAACACTGCTGTAACCAGCGACTGCATCGGACCATTAACAGGCTGATGTGCGAATCTCATTTTTTTCGTGTTGAGTTTGTGGTCCTTCCCCCCCCCCCCCACACCTCCGATTAGTACGGTTGGCTATGTACGGTGTGAAAGAAGTTCAACGTAATATATGCATGGAAGGTTACTGACGCAAGCCCCATTAGTGCGACTGGCCATGCAATGCAAACTATTAGACCAATGTGTAGTGGTGATACGCGCTGGGGTAGGGATCGTGTGCCAGCGCGTAGTGATTGGCTGTGTATGTGGTGACGCGCGCTGACGGTGGAGGATCAGGGGTCAGCGCGGGGTCGTGGGTTACGTGGTGCTGATTGGCTGTGTGCCGGTGACGCGCTGAGAGGGAGTGATCGGGTGGCAGCGCGGTGTGATTGGTTGAGTAGTGTTAACACGCGCTGGGGAAAACGGATCGTAGAGATAGCGCGTCGTCATTGGTTAACTAAGGAGCGATGCTCACGTCGACGTCCGCATCAGCTCCGTCTCCCGTGAGCAGGGGCTATAAAAGGGGATGCACACAGGCGTAAGGGCAGTATGTAACCAGCGAAGAATGAAGACGGGGATGAAGAGATAGGGCCCTGCGGTACCTAGTCCCGCTGTCCTAACGGGACCGGGACTCTGTGTAACCCAGAGGCGAATGCATTGTGTGTAGCCATAGGCATAGGGTCTACACGAGTCGAATGCATGGTGTGTAGCCAGAGGCATAGGGTCTACACGAGTCAAGTGCATTGTGTGTAGCCAGAGGCATAGGGTCTACACGAGTCAAGTGCATTGTGTGTAGCCAGAGGCATAGGGTCTACACGAGTCAAGTGCATTGTGTGTAGCCAGAGGCATAGCGTCTACACGAGTTAAGTGGAGTGTATAGTCAGAAGAATAGAGACCACACGTTGTATTGTGACACGTCAAGATTTAATAAAAGTGTGTTACCCGTCAAGAAGTTCCTGCCGTCATTTCCAATACTTCAAATGTAATAAAGCCACTGTGGTCTGCGATTCTTCAACGGAGGAGTAGGAGGAACAGAAACACATTCCTGCGGAGGGAGCTGGTAGGAACGTTGGGTTGCTTGGTCAATGGCCAGGGTCAACGGCGGCGTGGTGTATTCCGCACATATGCCCGACTGTGAGGGCGGGCACAAGCCGGCGTGAGTAGGTTAAACGTTGAGTTTTATAAGGGCACCACGGGGTGACCAGCCCCTCCCCACCCAACCCCACCCCTCCTACCCCCCACCCAGCCCCTCCCCACCCAGCCCCACCCTCCCCACCCAGCCCCTCCCTCTCCACCCAGCCCCTCCCTCTCCACCCAGCCCCTCCCTGCACGACGGACGGACGGACATAATCCCCTGTGTTCCTACCAGTAAAACTACACTCTCTCTCTTGAAGCCCTCTCATCGTGGGCAGCAGACCTCGCATGCGATGGCGATGTTGTTCAGGAGCTAAACAATCCTGAACCGCAACGCTCCTGAGCCACACCGCCATCGTATGCCAGAGTAGAGTAGCGTGAATTTCGTCGACGGCGTTGACGCTGCCCCCCACTCCCCCCTCCTCCCCTCCGGCGAGCTGGCGCGTTGACGGCGCTTGTCCTCCCCTCTGCCCGCAGTATCGGCGAGCCAGAGGAGTGCGCGGGCACCGTGGCCTTCCTCTGCTCCGAGGACTCGGCCTACATGACGGGCGAGACGCTGGTGGTGGCGGGCGGGTGCCCGTCGCGGCTCTGAGGAGCGTCCGTGCTTTCCCGGTCGCGGCTCGGCGACCCCCCTGACCTCCGGGTACGCAACCACAGCCCCCCCCACCCCCCTGCCTCGCACTCTCCGAGTGGCGTTGTCCCGCACCTCCGATTAGCGCATTTGGCTACGTACGGTGCGAAAGAAGTTCAACATACGTACGTACGCACATGTGTTCCGGATAGGCCACGTTTTTTGAGCATTTCTTCTTCCTGGCTTTCGCCACGCACTACTGCTGGTATCTTTTCAGGCCATGGTAATGTACGTTGAACCTCGTTCACACCGAACGTAGCGACCGTGCTGATCCGAGGTGCGGGTGGATGGGGGGAGGACGCCAAACCCAACGCAAAAAGCAGTTCTAAAGAAATGAGGTTATCAATTTAGATTTAAAAGTGCATAGCTCCTTCCCCCTCTTCCTCTCTCCCCCCTCCCCGCCTCTCCCCCTGCTCCCTCCACTTTCTTTCCGATATTAAAGTACACGCGCTATCTGCTCTCGCGGTCCCCACTTGGTGGGGCAGCAGCGAGCCCAATCTGCCCCCTCCTCTAAACTCAGGAGCACTGCGTTTTGGACTTCTGTCCGTGGAGTTTCTGTACCCACCCCCCCCCCAGCCACCCACATCATGGTTTGTGATCTGCACCGGGCTTCAGTGGCTTCCGAATATCGGAAGGAAGAGAGCGCTCCAGACGGCCGCATCCAAATGCGCAGCGATGCCGGTGACCGTCTTTGTTCGATGGTTAGCCGCAAACCGCCGCTGCCGCTGCTGCCGCTGCTGCCGCTGCTGCTGCCGCTGCTGCTGTCGCTACTGCTGCTGCTGCTGCTGCCGCTGCTGCTGCTACTGCTGCCGCTACTGCCGCTGCTGCTGCTGCCGCTGCTGCTGCCGCCGCTGCTGCTGACGGTCAGCGCTTACCGTGCTGAGCAGATGCCGCGATCGCCGTCCGAGCGAGGCTGCAGTGAGAATCGGCACAACGGCGCACGTTTTCATAAACCACCCCCCCCCAGCTGCCCTATCCACGCAGTCGTATAAAATGGGTTCACCACGGCCCATTGGCAGGTTATGTGCGGTGCGGCAAAGTGTGGGTGTACTTCCACCGAGCTCTTCTCACCAGAATCTAAGAGGCTGCTTCAGGGCTCCCTCTAGTGCTGGCCTTTCTGCCAGTGGTGGCGTGAAGAAGCAATTGCAAGGGCTGCAGCTTTACCTTTTAAGTATATAAATCGTCTCCAGGCTCTTAAATTACATGCAAATTAAATCTGTAATTTCACCGCATTTATAATTGGTAATTGATAATTAAATTACACACTTGCAAACGTAATTGGTAATTTTCATCGAAATCACATGAGACACTGTTAATTGCTTGTTTTTTAAAAATCTACATGACATTACGAGAGCAATTTATAATTTTGAATGGATTTTGCCCGTCTCTGCCACAGTCTTAACAGCGCCAGGCAGCAAACTTGGCCCTTCATTCCTCTGGGGTTGGCAACACGGGGCACCGCTCTGCGAGACGTCAACAGTAGTTGTGCTGTGGATAGACTTGTCCCTGCCATAGAACGGTGGAGTTTCCATTTCCGGCTCAAGGTTAGCGGAGTCGAGCAGTGCCGGACACTTATTTGAACTTTACGATGAACCATCCGCCACCGTGACCTATCCGCTGCTGGATGAAGGCCCCACAGTGTCATTTCCATCCTCCACGGTTTTGCAGTACAACAATTCTATACTACTTGACTATTTTTTATTTTACCGGGTGAGGCCGACTGAGATGTGTAGCTTTTTCTTTTCTTTTCTAAAGTCACCTGGCTATCATAAATGATCGCTCAACGAAGTGGCTTATCGCGCGGAAATTTATAGCAGCCAAATACTCTAAATGCACGTCGGGGGAAAAAACCGAGGACCCTGAGAAAAATCCACGCGCCACAGGGAGAGAGACACGCAAACTCCAAATATACAGCAGCAGGCGTCAGAGTGGGGATCAAACCCACGACCTCCTTGTATACCAGGCGGTGTAGTTAACATCTCGTCAGCGCAGCGCCTGCACACGGGCTGATTTCCGTCGCTCCATCTACCCGCGCGAATGTCCCTTGGGACGCGTTTCATGAGCTGGGGGTCACTCCGTCGTTATTCAGGACTGTCGGACCATCTTCCCCCTGAGGCTATGACGCGTCCCTGCCTGAACCCGCTTGTTTTTCTTTACAGTTTAAATTCGGTGATGAACCTAAGAAAGAGAGCCACGGTGGCTAGCAGATGTTAACTACCTCGCCTGGTGTACAGGAGGTCGTGGGTTCGATCCCGGCCCTGACGCCTGCTGCTGTATATTTGAAGTTTGCGTGTCTCTCTCTCTCTCCCCACAGTCGCATTAAATTTTCTCCGGGTCCTCCGTTTTTTCTCTCCACATTTCGAAACGTGCATTTAGAGTATTTGGCTGCTATGAATTTCCACGTGATAAGCCACTTCATTGAACTATCATTTGTGGCCAGGTCGCTTCTAAAAAAAGAGCTATATATTTCAGTGGGTCTTACCAGGTAAAATAAAAATAGTTTATAGTGTTAGTTTAGTTTCACGTTCTGTAAGCCGCACCTTCTTCTCTCCGTCTCTCAGTGCAATGCCAGCCACGGCGTGTTCTGTTCCAAGCCTACTTTATTTTGTTAAGCGTTTGAATGTTGTCATGTACCTGCGTTTGTTCTCCAATCCGTGTGTTCCTCTTAATGCAATTCCAAGCGTGCATCTCTCTTTTCCTCCCCCTCCGCACTCCCCGGTTTTTGGTCGACTTTTAGGCGACTTGGGACTCAGATCTGAAGTAAAACTCAGAGTGAATGTGCACCTCGTGGCGCATTCACTTTTGCTCTCTAAGAGTCTGGCACTTTTTTCCTTTGGATACAAAATCTATCACGTGTATTTTTTAATCCATAACTGTAGTGGTCACGTGGGGAGTTGCTGTTTGCATCGAGGCACAGTAGTAACTTGTTACTGTGGGCTGCTGACGCATCATTAATGAATTCTCCAGACACGGCAAACACAAAAAAAAAATTAATGCTCTTGAATTATTAAGCATTAATTGTGCGATGTCCAATTAATATCAAATATACATCAGAAGGAAACGCTGCATTTTTAAGAGCCTCGAGCCCAAATTGTTCTACTGCTGGCGAAGCGGCAGCTTGCAAGGGACTGTCTCCTCGCACCCCCCTCATCCACCTCGTCTCAGCGTAAAACCTGCACAGAGCTCCCCGCGTGCCCTCCAGCGGACGTTGAAGAAGACCCCGTGCTAAGAGTGTCGTTCACTGGATTCGTTCGTTCGGTTTCGTTTTGTTGCTTTGCACGTGCGTTTGCCAGAGAGCCGTTGACGTTTGACGCGGCCTCAAAGTGCACCTAGCCTGGCACCAAGCGCTTTGGTGATGTGTCCGTTGCTTCGTGGCGAATGGCGGCCGTAGTTGTAGTTGTTGCTACTCTGGCCGGATCAGATGCAGCGTAGGTATGTGTGTATGTGGATGTTGAATTCCTTTCACACCGTACGTAGCCAAACGTGCTCACCGGAGGTGCGAGGGAAGGACAAGAAACAAAGCACAAAAAGCAGTTCTAAAGAAATGTGTTTGTTAATCTAAATTATTGAAAAGTGCGGAACCTCCAGTACCTTTCTAATATCGGAAGGAAGAGCATTCCACACGGCCGCAGAAGCAGCGCATCTGCAAGCGCGCGATGCAGCGACCGTCTCGTTTGCTGTCTTGTAACCCATAAGCCACGCGAGTTGGTCGGTAGCACTCGGGGTGGTCAATGTTACCAGCGTCCACCACCATGGGCTGTATCTACGCGTGTGTATGTTGAACTTCTTTCACACCATACGTAGCCAACCGTGCTAATCGGAGGTGCGCGGGGGAAGGACGACAAACTAGGCACGCACAAAAAACAAATTCCTCTGGACTCACGGACAACCCTCCACCCTTGGTCAATGACTTTATCCTGTGTGCGATCTCTCATGTCTCTCGATGCAATCCCAAGCGTGCACCTCTCCGCGCTTCTTTGTGCGCTTTATAGCTTTTTCGTTCCATCGTCTTGTTCATGCTGTCGGTGAATAATTAACATCGCTGTTGAGCAATGCTTCAGTTCTGCAATTCCCGAATTGTATATTGCAACGTAAAATACAAAACAACGGGCCTTCATTTGTATATGCCTCGCATGTTGCGATAATAAGCATCTATTGCGAGCAGAGAAAATTCACCGATTATTGTGAGGCAGTAATTGGCATGCAGATGATGAATGAATAAAGAAATGAATAGGTTGCACTTTAGCGTAATGCGCCATCGATGCGAACTTAATTTACTTGAGTGGGGCAATTAGAGGACATGGTGTGCTGATAGCAATAACAACAATAACAACAACAGGTAAGGAAAACCAGTGAAATCTTAAAACCAAGGAAGTTCTGTGTGAATATGGCTGTGCTGACTCGGAGGGCTTCATTTTAATAGCACTGAGGCCCTTTGAGGTTCATTATCTCTGTGCCAAGAGGTCCTCTGGGTAACCAATTTGTGGGTAAATCTCATGCTTGGGATGTGTTCCCTGCGACATGAGTACACAGTGGCCTAGGCTCGCGAGTAACGATACAGGCTTTGTGCATCCACATCGCAGGAATCATCATCGTTGTCATCGTCAGCCATGATCAATCCACTGCTGGATTAAAGCTTCCCCAAGTTGTCGCAGGATCTTTCATGATCCCGCGACGCAACGATGCACCTAGCACCCACCACACGAGCCAGTGTCATTGCTCCGGATACGTTCCATCTCTTGGCTGCGGTGGCTAGGAGATGTTAACGACCTCACCGTGGTATACAGGAGGTCGTGGGTTCGATCCCGACCCTGGCGCCTGCTGCTGTGTATTTTGAGTTTGTGTCTCTCTCTCCGTGGCGAGATGTTAACGACCTCGCCGTGGTCTGCAGGAGGTCGTGGGTTCGATCCCGACCCTGGCGCCTGCTGCTGCTGCTGTATATTTTGAGTTTGTATTTTCTCTGGGTCCTCCGGTTTTCCCCTCCACATTTAGAATCGTGCGTTTTAGAGTATTTGGCTGCTATACATTTCTACATGATAATAAGCCACTTCGTTGAGCTATAATTACGTGTGGCTAGGTCGCTTCTGAAAAGAGCTAAATAGCTCAGTGGGCTTTACCTGGTATAATAAAAAGCTGTTTATAGTTTGTATATCTTAGCTGCCACTATAATGTTCTTGACCATCAGCCATCACCCCTTCAAGAGTCGTGTCGTGCCTGAGCCCACTTGATATATTTTTTTTCCCGTTTGGGTTTTGTGTTTACCCATGCGCATGTTCTCGAATCCACGTGGTTCTCTCTGTCTCGCTGTGACTCTCCACTCGTTTTTGCACACTCTGCAGTGTTTGTTTCACATCACCATCAGCTGGCTAGGTTTGTGGTTTAAGGTCAAATGTCAGCACAGCCGAGGTGGTGCTCATCTTCATCGGTGGCCTTGAGTCAATGATGGACATTCTACACTCGTATGTCAGGGGGTAGGATGACTGCTGTAGCCATCTCACAAAGTGGCGCTCATCTTTAGATTTGGACAGTGAGTCAGATGAAGGTGAATCGTTGAATAAACATTGTAACCGACTTTCTTTGTGGCTGATTACTAAGGGACACTTTTAAAATGGTGGCCACCCACTACATTCTGCCCCCCCCCCCCTGAGGGCAGAGAAGCCTCTAAGAGCCACGACCAGCGTGACGCCACGGCTGACGATGCTGATCATGTCACCGAGCCCTGCCCATCACCTCCCGTCCAGTGGCACACGTGGCGAGACTGTTTTCCCAACTATTGTTGTGCTGTCCGATTGGTTGAGTAACCGATTGCTTAAATAATCGGGAGAGCCCAGCGCTTGCCGTTTTTATTGACCCCGGAGATGCCGATGGGCTGAACGATCCCTCCTGAAAAATTCACGGAAACTGACCGAGCGGTGAATGAGCTGTCCGCCGGTCTCCACCAGTGTTTTATTCTTGGCCGACAGTGAGATTCACGTCAATATCTCTGGCCCTTTAAAGAGTAGGGGCCGTCCTCTAGGGCAGCCAAATCCTGGCTTTGCGTGCATCGATAGGCCCCGCTTGGCAACGGCGGCGTAACAGTGCCACACAGAAGGTCGATGAACCGTGGCTGGGAGGTGATGATTGACGGGAGGCGAGGTTCCTCTGGGAGGCTGATGCAATGGTTCACATTCACAGCTCAGGAAGTAACGGATACCACAAAGATGTGGTTGGGTTGGCCTCGTGGGTGGTGGTGGGGGGGGGGGCTAATGCCGGTGTCGAAGTGGCCGAGCCAATAAAGATGAAACCCTGGGTTCAATTTAGGGTACAGCTGCGTTATCCAATAATTTGTGTACAATAATCGATCAATTCACATACCCCCACTATATTTATTAAAATTGCCTTCTTTCTTCTCAGCAGGTGATTGAGTATCGTGAAAGCGACCGCTTCACGTCGGACAGGGTGGTGGGGGGGCGCGGAGCCGGAGGGTGGCGGCACGGATGGAGATTCACCAAGGGCCGCGTGGGCACGGGTGGGCACGGGTGGGCACGGCGGCTCCCTCGCGAGGAACGTGGGGCGGGCACGCGCCAACGCCGCAGGAGGACCATTCGCAGATCGTGTCGCCAATTCCGTGACGTGGGTTCGATTCAAGATATCGGAGGGAGACGGACCAACAAGCGAGAATTTGGGGAGAATGTGTTTGCGCTGATATGGGATGCCGTGCCATCGCAGCCCTCAAATCACGATCGTCGTATAATTTCTTCCCATTATATTTTATTGTTGACGAATGGGGTGTCTGCAAATGGATCGCCCTGTGTAATTCACGATGGAATCCAAGTAAAGCAAGGAAGAAAGAAAACCACGCGAGTGCGTGGATTCTGGAAACGGTGTCAAACTCGTGGTTTGTCCTTGCGAGTAATTAATTAGCGACGATAACGGCAACCTTGACGCCAGGCAAAACAAGGAGGCAGCACCGTGTGTTGGCTGCGGTGAGGCAGCGGCGCTGCCACGAAGGGCAACTTACGCGTTGGTTTGTGTCTCCAAGTTTATGGGCAGCACCTTTGATCAATATGGTCGGCCTCAATCGAGTAAGTTGCTGAAGGGCAGCATAAATTTACGTGGAGAGTTAATTTCAAATTAGACATGTTGACGTGAGTTTGCCGTGATCCCACGTTATGGACGGACGGACTGGCAGGCAGGCAGGCAGATGGACGATCAGATATAATGCACAAACACTTTCGGTCATAGTTGCGAAGCATTAATAAAAAGTGAGAAAATACGACGGCTGCTTGCAAGGGTTGAGCACCAGTGATTGACAGCATCCCTGATTTTAATGAATAAGTAACGCAGCGAAGGCATAATTACCGAGTTACAGAGATGTCAATGTCACCATTAAAAATGTGCTCTAATGACAACGACCTGGAAATGCTTTGTTGACAGTGTAAACTTTGATGTCTAACGATGCATTAGCATTCATTAATGCAGCAGGGTGCTGCACAGTGATTTAGAGTCAAAGTTTTATTTTTTCTTTCTCCCAATTTAGAATGATCTGAATGATTAACGAGGGAAAGTGACTGCCACTATAATTGAACTACATGATGTCGCTGGAATAATGGCGTGCGATTATAGGGGGGGGGGGTAATAGGAGATGTGACTTGAATTCCAGGCTATGGCCATCGTCGGTGGCCAGCGATGACTGAAGCACATTCTGACCGTGCCTTGTTGTCAACCAAATTGACCAGTGCGGTGAAATACGGTGATCAGAATTGCGTGGCTGAGACCTCCATTATCCAGCGATGGATTGACAGAATTCAATGAGTTTTATTCGGATGACTGCTTCCAAGTAAATATACGCAGAGTGTGTGTTTAACAGTTATGTATTTGAGATTTATAAGGGCACGGGGTGAAGACAATCTAACTTTTAACATATCGTACACGACACCGCGTCTGCAGTGTAATATCCGTTACACTGCTGCGTATCGTTACTATATGCACATTTATACTGGCAAACGTCAAAGTTAATAAAAAATAGCGGTATTTGGGGAAAATGGTACTGCTTTGTTTGTCTCGATGAAATGTTCGCTTTTCAAAAGTGCTGTGAACACCACAAAGGGAAGGGTGGCGCAGTGGACCGGTGACGGCCCCTGACTGTAACTCGCTCCCCTCTCGTGTCAGAGGTTCCCGGTTCGAATTCAGCGGCCGCCCTAAACCAAAACGATTAAACTTTGTTTTACCAGCTAAGTCCCACAGAGCTATATAGATATTTTTTTTACAGACGCGACCTGGCGACATTCATACCTGTCAACCACTCAGTGCCTGCCTTATTACAGACCAATTCAGACCTTATTGGTCACCCCCGTGCCCTTATACATCTCAAACGTTCATCCTACATAGTTCCATCACAAGGGAGAAACGCAAACAAATATATATTTTTTGCTCGTATTGAAACGGCTCTACGCCGTATGGACCTGAAAACTCAATTTCTCTGTACAATAATATGGGTAAACCGTGTGGGTTGACGGCTATGCAAATGATAGCACAACGAAGTGGCTTTTGTGGAAATTTCTAGCAGCCGAATACCCTAAACGCATGTTTGTAAACGTAGAGGGGAAAAAAACCGGAGGACCTGGAGAAAAATCCACGCGACCACGGGGAGAGAGAGAGACACGCAAACTCCAAATATACAGCAGCAGGCGTCAGGGGTCACGATCGAACCCACGACCTCCTGCATGCCAGACGAGGGAGTTAACGTATCGCTGCTGTGGCACCCTACTTATTGCTGCGGTAACAACCGTGACGATGCTACGCGCCACCTGCTTCGCTCACAGTGGACGTTAAAGACCCCCTGGCGTCGTTCGCAAGAGTAGTGCCACTGTGTGCCGGCATCCGAGTCCAAATTTGCCACAATTCGAAAATGACACCGCAGACTATCCAATTGGGTCTAGATTTGAAGCTTTCGTGACTGCAAGGATTCATACTCTTAGTTCTTTCGGTAAAGTCACGTAGAAGGGAAAATAATATAAATATATAATATAAATAGTATGTTCCCTTCTGCGTGACTTTACCGAAAGAAGGGGAATACGTTCCATTCATTGGCTACCACATTCTGATAAGCCCCCCCCCCTCTCCTCCCCCCTTAACTTGTATTTAAGGGCTTGCATCTTGAATCCCTGTCTCACTTGATGCAGCAAATCTGGCTGTGACGGGCCCGCCTGATAATGGAGACTTGTGTTGCCTCCGAAACGTCGTGATTTTTATTTTATTTTTATTAATTTTAATTTCATTTTTTACCTACGGGACTTTACCGAAAGAACTAAGAGTATGTATCCAATTGGGTTTATATCCGGCGGCATTAAACACCCACCACTGCCAGGCCAAGTCCCCAGGTCACTCTTGCATTTGAGACCCACCCTGGTCTCTCCCCCCTTGTCACCTGGTTCACTAAAATTCTACTTGAAACTGTGAACCGGCCCGACCTGAGTTCGATTCCAGGCCACGGCCAGCATCTCTGCCGAGTGACATTTGCACCGGTCCTGGGGACCCCACCCCACCCACCCCAACGTCACCAAACCCCCACTGCCCAGCGTGGTGAAGTATGGCGAAACAACCCCCCCCCCCTGCTCCCCCCAGCCAGCAGCGGCGGACTGACAGAGAGCCGCATACTCTTGCTGGATTGCAGCGTTCTTCACTAATGTTCAGAGGTGGGGGTCACTTTGGCCGAGAAGACATCATCAGCGTGAGGACTGCCACACATTTGGAACCAACATTGGGTTTGACAGCAGCGCCACCACCACCACGACCATCATGATGGTGTTGATGATGATGATGGGAGTGTTTGCTTTCGCTGTTTGTGTATCGTCAGGCCCCCAGGGGCCGCACTAAAGGCCCCCAGAGGAAACCAGTGACCCACGGGCCTTGCAATGAGGAACACCGCCGGCGAATTGAATCCTCGACCTTGACCACATCGGTTCAAGCAAGAGGCGAGAGAGGGCGCTATGAGAACGTAGATTCGGTAGATTTGTTTTGAAGCACCCTGTGATACTTTTACGGGACTATCGTTTTTAGTGGAAAAAAGAACGGATAATACTACACTGTAACATTATAACAAATGTAACGTTAACAGCTTCAAAAAGTCAAAGAGTCTTCACTTGTTCGCCATCGTTGTCAGCGCATCTCCCAGGTGGTCTACAGAGCCCGGGTGGCACATGTCTCCTCGTGGTTTTGTTGCAAATTCTCAGAAGTGCTCAAACATTTCACTGTTTTATTTCAAGCGTTGGGGTGACGAGTCTCTTGTGGCGGCTTGCACAGGCAGGGGCGGTGACTTGGCCACCTAAGCGGCCCCCCCCACCCACGTGGCCCCCACCCACGTGGGGTCCTTGAACAGCTGAGAGCGGCCAAAGCTGGCGGCGGTCTTCGTGTGCCCGTGTCTCGCACGAGTCGCATCGCGCTGTTTTGTTGAGAGAGGAGGCCCCGGGTTGAACCCCAAGTGGCGACGAGAGAGAGAGAGAGACAGTGTGAGAGAGCACGCGGCTCAAGGTGACTAAAGCGCCGTCGGACACACACGCGGCACACGAGCCACTTGCGAGTGCAGTTTGTTGTGCAGCCGAGTCGAGTAGGCCGCAAAGCGCAATTCTAGATTTGAAGCTTTCGTGACTGCCAAGGATTCATATTCTTAGTTGTTTTATCGCTAAAGTCACGTAGGTAAAAAATAAAATTAATAAAATAAAATCACGACGTTTCGGAGGCAACACAAGCTTCCGTCTTTGGTGGAACCGTCACAGCACGATAGCTGTATCAAGTGAGAGAAATTCCAAGAAAACAGTCCTTGTATATATAGGCAAAGCGCAAGTTGACTAACGCCAGCTACTACGGGGTTGAGCTGTGTGGTAAGTGTCGGGTTCTTTGTTGTTTATAACATAGGGGTTGTGTTGTTGTTGAGGTTAGATCGCGTGATTATAAATGCGTCGTTAAACCCGCCACCACTTAGTCACTTTAAGATGTTTTCTTGTTCATGTTTTTGTTTGTTGCGGTTGCACCCGATTCAAGAGCCGAATGGCTCACGGGGCTAAACCTAATAAATGAACTTGAACTTGAACCCGCCGACACAGCTAAGTTAGTAAGGTGTGCCAAGTCAACAGAACGTGACATTTCGTTACTAGTACAGCACACCGGTGTGTTGGAGTACTCATTGTAAATGTTGTGGATTTGCTCTCCAACAAACCGATATGCTGCACTAGTAACGAATTGGCATTTTCTGTTTACGTGACAAACCTTACTAATTGGCTATGGCGGGTTTAACGACACATTTATATGCACGCGATCTAACCCTAAAAAACAACAACCTATATTTGTTGTTGGTGTAATTGTACCGCGTGCCACGTTCACAAATCGAGGGCCTTCGATACGGGGACTTGGGTTGGAGCAACCGGTGCGGGACACTGCGGACAGCCCCAGTTCGACTCCCGGTCACGCGGCTAACAGCCTGGGGGTGGTGGTGGGGGTGGTGGTGGTGGTGGTGAGCAGCGATGTCTCGAATAGGCCTTTAAACGCCTCCATATCCCTTCACCACCACCAACCACCCTTCACTCAACTCGTATTGATCAGCGATGGTGAAGTATGGTCAAAACAGCCCCCCGCTTTTGATGACAAGGCGGAGTGTAGGCATTCTTCTAGTAGTGTATTTGACAGAGGTCTGCATTGTTGTTGTTGTGAGACTTATACCATTGGCCTTTGTCGTGGGACTGGCGTCTAAAGTTAGTTTCATGAAGGGGAACTTCCTCATGGCTGTACTGTACGCACAGTGCCGAACGATAAAGTCGCCCACAATGTTGGCTTTGACGGTGCATGTGAGGCTCGCAGGTCATCGCCTGGGTTACCATCACCTGGGTTACCATCACCTGGGCTAGCATCACATGGGTTACCATCACCTGGGTTACCATCACCTGGGTTACCATCACCTGGATTACCATCACCTCGGTTACCATCACCTGGGTTACCATCACCTGGGCTAGCATCACCTGGGCTAGCATCACCTGGGCTAGCATCACCTGGGCTACCATCACCTGGGTTACCATCACCTGGGTTGCCATCACCTGGGTTGCCATCACATGGGTTACCATCACTTGGGTTACCATTACCTGGGTTACCATCACCTGGGTTACCATCACATGGGTTACCACCACCCGGGTTACTCTCACCTGGGCTAGCATCACTTAGGTGATAATCAAAGTTGCGAGTTTAGATTGAAAACTTATTTATTGAGAACTGCTTTTTGCGTGTTTAACACGTTAGCTTTCGCAACCAATATCTATATGTTTTTTGTTTGTTAGATTGCGTAAATATAAATGTGTCGTTAAACCAGCCACCCCCCCGACACAGCCAACTAGTAAGGTTTGTCACGTAAACAGAACATGCCAATTCGTCACTAGTACAGCACTAGTGTGTAGTGTATAGTGTAGTGTATAGTGTAGTACACTAGTACAGCACACCGGTGTGTTGGAGAGCAAAGCCGCAATATTTACAATCTGAGTTCGACGTTTCGCCAGTAATTACAACCAGCTTCATCAGGCGACAGCCAGATTTGTGGAGATATCCTCCTGTTTCGTTCCTGAGAGGGATAGATGTGAAGACACCACGTATCCTTCCGTTCCCCGCATCTCCGTATCAGCAGGGCTGTGGCTACGTACGCTGCCGCAAAAGAAGTTCAGCATACATACATACATCACTGAATAAATGTGTAATATATAGTACCGCATTGAAAGCACAACAACAACTGACGTCAACAAATCGACGGCCGAATATCACGACAAAGATTGCCCCAGGCCTGGTCATCGATAGCAATCACGGCCCCTCCCTCCCTGCACTTCTCATGGCCAAAGAACAGAGAGTGGCATCGTCAACAAACGACGGATGTGTATCGCTCATATCCATAAGAGAGGGGTTTTGTTTTTGTTGGGTGATATCACGTAAATATGAATGTGTCGTTAAACCCCGCTACCAGCCGACACAGCCAAATGAGTAAGGGTTGTCACGTAAACGAAACGTGCCAATCGGTGACTAGTTCAGTACACCACGCCCCGTGTGCTTGGAGAGTAAAAACCCGGAACCGTTTTCAATAACCAATTGACAGGGAGAAAAACAAAATCTCAAAGTTAGTTAAATAAACAGGAAAAATATACAAGAGGTAACATTTGGGCCAATATCCTTCATCTGTACAGTACTATGATGAAGGCCCATTGCCTGAAACGTCACCCATTATAATAAATACACATACTTTATCTGTGTGCTGTGAAGAAGGTGTGGGGGTCGCTGGCCCCCGAGATCCCTCACTCTGTACCGCTAACGGCCGGGTTAACCTCATTATTAACCTCATTACTCGCCCCCTCGCTACTAGGCGAACCGCTGTTGGGTTCTTCGCCCATGGGGTGAGAGCCGTCGCTCGAGGATTCCCCTCCCCCGCGGGTCCGCGTAATAGGCATGGTTAATTACGTACGCGCACACCCACACACAGCTCTGCGCGGCACTCACTCAATACAGACCACTCACGTTAGGATCGCGCACCTGTATTATACACGTAGTGAACGTGCGCGCACACGCGCATACAGCTCCACACGCGATACCCACTCTTGCGCCGCTCTGCGCAGCGCTCGCCGTCTGCTGGCCGCTTACGTTATGATCGCGCACCTGGGGTACGCCGATTACGCACGCCGCGAGCTTACGCACACACAGTACCACACGCGTTCCCACACGCTCACACTGCACGACAAGATCACGCGAGACCACGCTTCGCTATTAATGATTTATTACCTGGTGACTAATGTTCAATCAGTGAGTCGACGAGGCTGGCCTATTCCACTAAACCGGCACCTATTCCCTATTTATCGACTATTATCCTACTTCACCTCCCCACTCACTGTTTGGCGCCCACGGAGGTTCGCTGCTCCCTGCGCTAACAACGTACCTCGATGCGTCTCACGGACGTCCGGGTCGCTGGCTGGAGCTGCTGTTGGTCTGCTGGCCTGGAGAGAAGAGAGCTATTTCCCCTCTGCGCCCCTCTATTTATCCTCCCTACCTCAAAGGGGATGCTGCGCTAAACAATGGGCTCGCGATCCTCTGGCACGCGCACGGCGGTTCTGGGCGCTGTTGATATGCTAATCAGTGTGCTGCGTGCAAGGCGTAAATCCTAATTAATCCCTTACCCTCCCTAACAATGGGGCCTGCGCGCTCAAGCGCAATTATCCCAACCCTCCATGACTATGCGCAACAGCCCCTGTGATCCCGCTATTCATGCTGTCCCGTGCCTCCCCTGCTTGCCCCGTCGACTCGTGGGGGTGTGTGTGGGGGGAAATGCGCCTCAACCGCGGTGGCCGAATGCCCCACGCCGCGACCACACCATATTAAGGCCGGCCGCAGCACCGCGGTGCCACGTAGCACGGGGGAGGTCATCCAATTCCCTGATCGCCGGAAACCGTGAGAATTAATCCCGATAAGGGTCTCTCGGATAAAAACCGGTCGGCCAGGCGACCTCCCCTCGGAGCTCTATGGGGGGGGGGGGGGAAATGAGTGCGGGTGTGTTCATGTGAGGTGAGGTGAGGGGGACGCGGGGTCGGCTCCGTTGCTTGGTGGTGGCGAGGTCGGGGATTTGGTGCCTGCCGAACGGCTTCGCGGCGGCGGCATCACATAGGGCCATTTCCTATTTTTTATATGTTCCCAACAGAGCATTGCTCTTGACGAATGTGTTGATAAATTTTTATTTCATTAATTCACGTTGCAGCACGTTCCTCGTCACTGCTCTCTGCCCAACGCGGCTTTGTTTACATTTTGTCCCTTTAACCCACCGTTTTGTCTGCGCACTAGTTAGTTTACATGCTTGCTTTGTACAGTGTATTGAGACACACTTTGAACTTAGGCGCTTCCTAAATTTATAGCACTTGGTATCGTACGTAATTCTTTATTGTCAGGGCATGTAGAGCTGGGCTGTCCAATCACTTAAGTAATCAATTACCCTCACCGTTATCGGTCCAGTTACTCAACAGGTAAGTGAAGTTAACCACTGGGGTAGACGGGCAGACAGCTCATTCACCGCTCGGTCCGTTTCCATGAAGGGGTTTTTTTGCTGCTGCATTTGGGATTGTTCAGTCCATCAGCCTCACCACAGAGTCAATGAAACGACAAGAGGCGGGCCTTCCCGATCATTAAAGCAACCTATGATGGGTTCGATTACTCAACTCATCGGACAACACAGAAATTGTTGGGGGGAAAAAAAAAATCTCGCCTCTCCTTTCACGCGTGCCGCTGGACGGGAGGTGACGGGCGAGCCTTGGTGATGTCACCGCAATGGGCGCGGCTTATGGCGGGGGGAGGGGGGCGGTTTCCCACCTTCGGGAGGCAGGGGAGGTCGCGGCGCATTCGGCGAGATTTGGCCATCGGTGCGAATCCGGCGTAGGTCATGCCGCGGGGCGCGCGGACTTGCCGCGTGCGGCAAGGTGCATTAATGTGCGTCCCCACGCGCGTCAACTCTTGGCCAGCGGCAGCGCGCTAGCGCAAGGACGCTCGCCGGCCCGGCGCCAAGAGGCATAACGGCGACAAATCCCACCGCCCTTGTGCGCCAAACCCCACAAATAAATCTTGGGGCGCCCGTGCCAGGGCGGAAATTCTAATTTAAAAACAGCTCCCAACGAGCGGACCGTTTGGGATTACCGCATTCAAATACGTGCACCATGATTTAAGTCCTTGGACGCATTAGGAATGTAAAAAGGCTGTTTTGTTGATAAGGTGAATTCGTCTTGTCTAATTAGAGTATATTTTATTTAAAATTTACGCGCTCGTACTCGCTTTTTAACTTGTGTTGTTTTTTTACGTTGCACGAGATTATTATCCACTGAAGTGAGCAGTATTTCAGATGCGTGCAAACGCTCGTATGTGGTAGTTTGATGGGGCGGGGGGGGTTGTGAAGTGGTGGCGCAACGGGTAGCAGGCTGCGATATGAACACGACGACCTGAGTTTGCCACGGCTAACGGCGATTGACATCCCAAACCGTTCCTGGGTACCCTCCCCTGTGCAAACCCACACTGACCAGCCTGGTGAAGTATGGTCAAAATGTATGCCATGGCCGACGGGGCATCGGGGGTGGGGGGGGCCTTTGTTCAGCAGTGGTTGGCAAAGGGATGTACTTGATTATAATGTACTTTTATTATTTGAAATTAACCAAATCTGGAGGTTGTTGAATATGTTTGGAAATGTAATTCAGGTCGATTGATACAGAGCGCGGTTCGCAAACCACTGCGGCACCACTCTCTACACTGTTAATTTGGTAGTTTGTGTAAAAAATAATTTTAAGTACATATTTTCTATTTTAAATACATTATGTAAAGTATTTGTGATTTCTATTTCAAATACATTTTCCCAAGTTTTTTTTAAGTGTTATGTCCGACACATTGGTAAGAGTTTCTTGTCCACATCTTGCTTATATATGCATGGCATGTATTTACTAAACGGCCAAAGTGTGTCCCCATACGAAGAGAAAGTGTTTATTGGTGCTCAATATCCCAGCCAGGGGTCAGCCTTTCCCATTATCCCTTTGGGGTAAGAGTGGTTGTTCAACGGAGAGACTTGTCCCCATCATAGAAATGTGGAATGTCCACCACCGGGGATCAGTGCTGTCAACAGAGATAGGGACTCCCGCATGATTTTTTTCTGGCAAAGACCCTTAACAATTTTATCAATCGCACAGAGAAACACGGCCGCTGATGTTCGGTGGATTGTCACACGGCGGGATTGTGAGAGGTGGTGATGACGGCATGGTGGGGCTTTCACCCGGTAGTGAATTGATGGTGACTGCTAGTGGCGATGAAGATGACGGATCCAAATTGTGATCTGAAACATTTTGGCAGTGCCACAAGAGGCACCTGCTTTAAACAAGAAGCCGTCACGCACATGACAGCGTTTTTTGGTGCCACCCACAGGGGTTAATGGAATATTGTTACTGTGCCAGTTTCATTACACTTGACGATGACTGATGGCCGTTTCTTTCTCTGTGAATGCAGATCGGCCGCAGGGATGGATGCGGATTTTGAAAGACTCCGTAAGTGTACGCCAACGCCAGGTCACCAGTCTTCTCTTAAACTTGCAAGTAATAATTATATAATCATGACAATTTTCATCCTTTTCCCCCGGAAAGCCTTCATCTCAAGACTTGAAGATTTCTCCTTGTTTATTGGCACACTGCAGTGGTGTAAGGGGTACCACACTGAACTTGCAATACGGAGGTCAATAGTGGTCATCACTCCACGTGCCGGGAGCATCTCCAGTAACTGAATTTACTTTCTCTTAACAATTCACTTCCCTGCAGCCGCCCCCAGCGCGTGCTAAATGACGCACGGCACACACAGCCAGAAAAAACACAGACCGCAGAGCTGTGTGCGTCTCGTCAACACAGAGGTCCCCCACGCCCCCTTCATGCCCGCATTGTCTGTCCACGGCACCGCTTGATTCAGGCCCTCAAATTGTGGAGCTGGCCAAAGCTGTGAGTGCCGGAAACAAGGTGGAGGCCATGACGCTGGCAGCTCTCCTGGCACGTTCCAACACCCCGCTGGAGATTCGCCCGCAAGACAGCGTCTACCCGGCACAGGAGATCAGGTGAACGCCGGATCAGCCTTTGTCCGCTTGTTGCCCATTGTCCACTGTGTGAGCGTCGCTGCAAGGCTGCAGTTATAGCAAGCCTTGGCGACGCATTTCTGTATGCCGGTGGTTGTCCAAGCTGCGGTCTGTGGGCTACTGGTGTTGTGCAAGGCCATGAGGAAACTGGTGCAGATAGTTTTTTTTTATTCCACAAAACACCATATTTTTTTACTGCAAGGTGGTCCATGGAAAATATTTGACGGTGTATGAGTGACCACCACGCACACCAAATCGTCACAGGCAGCAGCTGAGCTTTGCTAGGGGATGGTTAGCATAGGGCGGTGCAGCAAAGGCTGTTGTTGTATCATACTTCCATGCTCCCCACCTTCACCAACGCACACTGACCAGCGTGGTGAAGTCCGCGGGTCGAGGAAGATTTTGAACCCGTGCCATGTGCTGTGTTTCTAACCATGTATTGATCACGGCTGCTACTGCTGATAATGATTCATCCAATGCAGGAGTCCTCAGAGAGTCTAAATTCCGGAGGCTCAGCGAGTCTCTTATGGATATAAAATGGCATCGTTATTGTTGTAAATGTTTTGAAAATCAGTGGCGACGTTCAACACACGAATCCCCCAAATTATCAAGATCTGGATAATAATAATATGGATGTAGCCATCCATGATTCATCACGATTCTGGGTCAATATTTAATTGGTTATTCGATTGTTTCTGTTGCGAAAGATGTAGAATCAATCATTTTCATCATCATCGTCGTTGTCTATTCACTGCTGGTTGAAGGCTTTCCCACGCCGTACCTATTCCCCGCTGCCTCCTGCGATGCCACAGTCCATCTTAGTTCCGCGAATTAACTGACCTCGCCTCCGCTCAATCTCAATAGCGGTCCTTCTCTCAGCCGCAGTGTGTAGGATCCACAGTGGTATTAATGTCTACAATGTACCGTGGTATAGACACTTGTGAATTTAAAATAATTGATTATTGCGTGCCATGTTAGATTTTTAATCTGTGAATTATTATAGCTCGACTGGATACATGTAATAGCAAAAGTTTCACATTTATTGTACATCTTGTCTTCTTTACAATATAGTTTTATCCCCATTAAATATTTTGAAATCTGGGTCTCTGACTTGAGCACACAATGGGCTGCTTGTGCGCAAAAAAAAAAGATTGTCTTTAAAAGTAAAGTGCCGTACTTTTCTGCAGACAGTGTGCTTTAGCGATATCCTCCAACAAGTCCAATCAGTGGCAGGAATCGAACTGTCATTGCCCAGTGGACGGGTTCAGTGGCGAACGCTCCGGTTTAATCCAGACGCCCCCCACCACCACGTGGGTTAAGGCAAAGCGGGCGGGGGGGGTAGGGGTCACGCTTGCGCGTTACGTTGGGGTGGGGTTACATATCGGTGGAACAAAGTGAGTGTGCCTTGAGCTTATTTACGACAAAATGAATGTGACAAACCGAATGAGATAAATTGAACTGATAGAAAATCCCCACTGAATTACCCAAGCGAGTGGCGGGGGGGGGGGCAGGAAGAAACAACTCGTAGCGCAGATCGTCTGGACTCGTGCAGTGGCAGCAGGAATCCGTGTGCTTGTACGATAATGAACAGCGTCAGACCTCTTATCTGAATTCCTCAAAAGCCATAATTTCTGTCATCCTCGGCTGAGAATAGACGCATAGATTTCACCAGTTTGAGGGTTTCATTAAGCTATAGGTGAACTTTGAGCCTTTGTGTCATTCGATGATAATATATATTTTTTACACCGGAATATTAATAAATTGGCTGAATGTGGAGGGAGAAAAATTAATGAAACGGCCATTGGGTCTTGGCGGCTACATCACCGTGATCATCAGGAAAGTCCTGCCTGCGGCTGACTCTGCAACAAAGAATATAAATTAAAAGTTAAGTCCGTGTGATTGTCCAAGTGTGAGAGAGGCTCTGAAATCTAAAAGCCATTACGCAACAATGGAATACGTTCATGGGAAGTTTGGAGGACATTGAAAAAAAAATTGGTTAATCAGATCAAAAAAAACTTAAATTAAATTGGTTCCTTCCAATCCAAATCGTGGGCGTGTTTTTTTTTGTTTAAAAACTGCAGCGATGATTTTGAATCGTAGGTCATAATGTATTATTCATTGGCCATACCTTTTTTAGATACTTCCCGATTTTAAGTCTTGGATGTGTTTACAGTAGTAGTTGTTTGAGGATCTGATTTAGAAGGAACTTTATTTGTCCGTCTTTGAATCAGCCTGTCGGTTACGACACAACTAACAATGACAATAAATGTGTAGGCCTTTGTTCATCATTCGACTGCGGGGTCGAAGGCCTTCACTGCGCCCTGTCGCTCGTGAGAGTTGTTTGGCCTTGCTTCACCACGCTGGTCAGAGTGTTGTGAGGGGGTGGGGGGGGGGACAGGACCGGTTCAGTTATCAGCTACCTTGCCAGGTATGCAGGAGGTCGTGGGTTCGATCCCGACCCTGACGCCTGCTGCTGTATTTTTCAAGTTTGCATGTTCTCTCTGTCTCCCCGTGGTCGTGTGGACTTCTCTCTGGTTTCGCCACCCACATTTAGAATCAACGTGCGTTTACAGTATTTAGCTCCTGTAAATTTCCACATGATGATAAGCCACTTCGTTGACCTTTCATTTGTGGCCAGGTCGCTTCTGTAAAAAGAGCGACATAGTTCAGTGGGCCTTAACTGGTGAAATAGAAAACAGTAAAAAAAATGGTTTAGCTCGCCACTGATGTTAGCCACGGCCAGTTTTATAGTGCACAATGTTAACCATTGCACTACCACTCCACCCCGACTGTGTATTGTAAATAATAATCTGAATAAATAATACTTGACAGTCCACTGTCAATCCACTGCTGGATGAAGGCTTCTCCAGGCCATGTCATGGGCGTTGTATTGGACCACACACATCATCACACTGGTCATTGTGGGTTGGTGAAGTTCAGTTACCAGCGTGGTGGTGGTGGTGGGGAAGTATGGCCCAGCAATGTTTGGAGAGGCCCTCATCCAGCAGCGTGTTGACAAACATGGGCTGTAGGTGTACTCGTAGAACATCGCACGACTGTGAGCATTCTCGCAATGTACGTTTGTATGTTGTATATATGTTATATGTATGTATTTTGAACTTTCATACCGTATGTAGCCAAGCGTGCTAATTGGAGTTGTGGGGGGAGGACAAACTAAACACAAAAAGCATTTTTAGAGAAATTATTTTCAATCTAAATTTAAAAGTGCGTAGCTCCAGTGGCTTCCTAACATCGGAAGACAGAGCATTCCAGACGGCCGCAAAAAGCGCATCTGAAAGCGCGCGATGCATTGACCGTCTTTGTTCGATGGCCAGCCAAGAGCCGCTGCTGTGAGGGTGACCGGAGTTCGCGTGATGGTTTATGCTCTTGACGAGATCGGCAAGCTATTGTAGTTCATTTGTGGCAAGCACCTTTGTGTGTAATGGGTGAGACCCTATAATGTATCCGGTCAGCAACCGGACACAAGAAGATCGTGGGCCTAATCCATGTGTTAGTGGGAAGGAGGTCATCGCTGCTCTTTGACAGAGCAATTAGCATTTGGGAGGAAAAGTGCACCCTGTCAAAACATCAACCACGGTGGCTGTGCGTGACGTGTCGCCGTGTGCAGGATTCAGGTGCGCTTTGAAGATGCCCAGACCACAGTGGGGCCCATCGCTCTGACCGTTCATTCACATTGGACAGTGGCACACCTGAAGAGTGAGGTAGGCATGTGCTGGCCCAAGTCTCAGAATAATAACTTTACATTGTTTTATCAACCCAGTCTGGATGACGACTGGCTAAGTGGAGACCCGACGGGGACGTGGACTCGCGACCTGCCGCTGGCGTGTCGTGAGTTCCAACAAAAACTTCATCCACTTTGCAGTCTGACTAAGAAAAATTAAATGGTGATTGCGCAGCCCTTCGATTGCTCTCTCATGCCACTGCCGGCACAAGTGCCTCCAGTAGAGAAAGCTTTATAGTGGATATTTGTCCACGCTGGCCATACAAAGCCGCGTTATTATTATCATTGTAAATCTTGAACGGCGGAAGAAAACCCACGCTTTACCCCACCACGCGCGACCTTACCGATGGGCCAACTGTGGGGCGCCCGCTTTCACCGCTGGGTGTACAGAGGTGGTGGCTGTTTAGAAAGCTTGCCGCGTTGTTTTCACCGCCTCGCCTGGAGATCGAACCGCGACCTCTGCATTGCAATATCAGCGCCCTTAGAATTATTGTTTAAGGACGCTTTATATATATAAAAAAAAAAAGATACAATGTTTAATTATCCATGTGTCGACCATCGCACCACCCCTGCATCCCTAATTGTCCCTGTCCCATTACATATTTTTCCCTCCCCCCTGCTGTGTTAGGTTTTCCACAAGTACGGCTTCCACCCATTGCTGCAGCGGTGGGTGTTTGGGGGCCGACTGGCCATGGACTGTCACTCGCTTCACTTCTACGGCATCAGGACAGATGGAGACTACGTCTTCCTCTACCTCCTGAAGGTGCCGTCTTCCAGCAGCGATGTCGCAGAGAGACACAACGCAGGTACGGGAGCGCGATCCCCCCACAACGCCGGAAGAGAGGTCACGCCGGCAGACGGGAGCCTTCAGCTTGCCCGAAGTTTTGCGAGAAGAGTAGAACGTGGGAGTCAAACGATAGAAAAGCGGGTGCATTACAGTTTAGTTTAGACCGTATATTTTTTAATAACAAAATGACATCGAAAACTCTCTGTTGGCTCTGGTTGTCTCTTGTTTTGTTGTTGCTGTGACAGGAGAACGGTTGGGTGGCGGTGAAAGGGCACGAGCCAACAAGATGAGTCTACAGGACATCCTTCACGTGATAACCGACCAGCTGGGCTCAATGGACCCGGCTCCTCTCCTATCCAATCCGCCAGCAATAGCCGCCGTGAGTGTCATTTGAACTGTTCGTTCATTTGTCAACTTCCTTTTGTAGATCCCCAACGAACTAAAGCGGCACGTTGGTCAGTGGACGGGTGTGTTTGGTTGTCCATTAAAAACCCCTCCGAGCCAGACTTTAAGAAGCCAGAATTCGGGGTAAGCCAGAGGGTAACTTTAAATAATTAAATAACGACGCAAAGATCATTCTTGATAACGAAAGAACCCAACTGATCCGAACACTTGCTCGTGCGCCATTTGGCCGGCCTGCACATGGTAATTTTTGTGACTTGTTTACCTTTTCTCTATTTGACACTGTTTTTGGTAACTTGCTGACCCCCCAACCCGAACTGGAACATCTGCGAAAAAGAGCTTCATAGCTCATCGGGTTCCAGTCTAAATAAATATTCTGATGGAATCTGACTGCGAGAGCAATTCTACGGCCGTTTTTTCTCGCTATCGCGTTCCATTTGGTGAACCCCTTTTTGGGACCTTGCAAACGGGAGCACAACGGGGGGGGGGGGGGGGGAGGGGTGCAAAATCCAGCGGGGTTTGAGCGCGCGCGTTGCTCTCGCCGTGAACGTGCGTTCAGGACACGACGGCCGAGTGGTCGTGTTCGGCCTGCACGCTGCTCAACCAGCCCAGAGCCGCCCGCTGCTGCGTGTGCGACACCCCTCGACAGCACGATGCTCCCGAGCAGGTGAGGGAGTGGTTTCAAAACCCGTGGGACAAGTCGGACAACCACGTTTCCGTTCTTTTGAGCTGGTTGGTCTGGACGCACCGCTGCACGCGGCCTTCGCGTGTTTGCTAGCCCCAGCAGGTGGAGAGAGGGCGGCCAGGAATCGGCGCCTCGCACGGATCTCACGCCAGCGGTCGCTGGCTCCTCTACGCCGTCTGGTTTATGGGTTGGTTGTTTATGGCAGGGCGGGGGGGGGAGAAACCTTTTAACGTTGCACGCTTAATTTGTTTGTGACGTATTTGTACACACTTGTAACAGGGCTCGCGGGCCGTTCCGAGAACTATATACCGGACGCGGTAAATATATTCTTGGGCTGAGAGATCGTAAAATCGAGCACCCGTTGTTAAATGTCGTCGTGTAGCTGCGTGTGCCTGTACACACGTGCACATGAAACACGTGCACGTGCGTCATGTGCACACGTGTGTCATGTGCATGTGTGTGAGGTGCTCACTAACAGCACTTGCCCTAACAGTCTTGTTAAGACTATACAAGGGAATATTTCTCTTTGCACATGCATCGGCCCTTCTGACAATCCACTGCTGGATGAGGGCCTACGCACAAATACGGAACATTGTACTGGCTGTGGCAAAAACAACCTACTTTTTAAGTGGAATCTAACTTACGTGTTAAGCCGACGTGTTGAACTGGAATCCTAACTGTTGACACTCAACAGTGGCTTAAGTGGTCAGCTTGCCGACTTCCAAACTGCGCGGCCACTTGCGTTAAGATGTAGTCTCGCTGCGTGCTCACCGCTGTGTGCGCGCTTTGTGCCGCTGGTGAAGGCATTATTCCTTTCCGTGCGAGAGAGAGGGAGAGTTTACTCCGTGTGGCAATAAACTCAGTCTGCCTTTGAGCGGTCGAGGAAGCAACTACTTAGAGGTAATATTTTTTTATTAAGTCGAGTTTTATTGCGCATTACTTTGAAAGTGCAACAACAGAAAAGCCTAAATCCTGTGGGAAATATTGGTTGCTAATTGTATGATTATGTAATTTTTTTTACCATTTTATTGATAGAATGAGTCGATGATTCATTTACAAACAGGATTTTTTTTGGTTCCCAAAGTAATTCGTGTCAAGGTGCGTTAAACATTCAATATAAAAAAATTACACAATTAATTTTTATCATTAACTGTTTTGTGACAGGAGTCTGTAATTCTTCAAGTCAGTTTTGTCTTTCTTTTTTTAACAGAATTAATGAGGAATCGGTCCACAATCGAGGTATATACATTTTTTCCCCCTTGCAAACAGGTGAAATTTATTCTATGGGCCCAGGGCAGATATTTCGCTTGTGGCTACCACTTGGCGTGACATCACTTTAGCGGTTCCGTATTCTTTACGTGGCCAATAATGGTGTATTATGTGAGAACCATTTTAAATTAGCGGGGTTATCAAGTAGCATACAATTCACGCCTATTAGGCATTTAAATCAATTGGAACCACTGAAGTTTTGCAAGCCGGTGGTGGCACCACGCCTTTAATACAGCACTGTCGAGGCAGCGAGGCGTTGGTGGCTTCCCGCACCAATGTTGCGACTCCCTATCCCTTGGGTGTCGAGGAGGTGCCAATCCCTGGCTTGCCAGAAGAGGGCGGCACAGCAATTGTGGAGTCCCATCTGTTCCATCTGCATGGTATTAGTGTTTCCCCCTTTGCACGTGTTGGTCTTCTCCAGGTGCTGCAGTTTCCTCCCACATGTAAAAAACTCACTAATTGGCTGTAAACATCTTCATATATATAGAGGAACGTAGAGCTTAGGCAATTGCTCTCACAAGCTCACTGTGGTTCCCTGCTGCGCCTCTATGAGCCGTTCTCCCTCTTGGAGAGCGAGCCAACACTTTGCGGTGCTTTGCAACTTGAAATTATTGTATTTGTTATTTTGCTACATCGTGTTATAGGAAATTCTGCTCTGGCCCATGGACTAACTTTGGCAAGGTGATTTGGTTTCAACGGCCGTTTCCCACTTCTTTGACAGTGCCCACAGGTATTCCCTCCGGTGCAACAGATTTTACTTCTTTCTAAACGCATGTCCAGACCTGAGCATCCGTTTTTGCACACTTTGGTTGCATGCAACTGAATGGTTTCTATGCGGTCGTCTCTGCAACAAAAGGTGGCTGAAAGTTGCGCATTGTTGTTGCGCAACTTCTCCCCCAGGTGTGCACCCTGCGTAACTGTTGGGGTGGTCATTAACTCTTCAGGTGTGACATCTGGTGCAACATCATCATCATCTGGTGCAACATCATCATCTGCTGCAACACTGCCCTCCCCCCCCCTTTTGTTTGTGAACTATAAATATATGAGCGATTGTAATTTACTGACAGGTGTGCGCGTGTGTGCGGGTTTCCGTGTCGTGTATTTATTCAGGGGAGACGACGCAACTCCGTGGAGAACTTCATGCGACAGATGTCCTCGCCACATTCAGACCTACAGTCCGATTTGCTGAAGGCTCTATATAAGATTTAGCAGCTTTTCCCGGAGCCAAGTCAGAATATTTCTGACAATATGACCATGAGAAGTTTGCACTTTGAACCACTACTGATATGCTTGCACTGTATTACTGTACTGCTTTTAATGGTACATCCTACAAAATTGTTAACGACTTTTTTTTTTTTAAGCAGCCAGCTGGTTCGTAGACCGATCAGCCCTAGATCCGAGATGATTATCACGACGATTTAATCGACTCAACGTTGTGTCAAATCAGCTTCTCTTCTTTACGTCACTTGTGGAGCCAATGGAAGCCGCCTGGTCATTGCTTCCCGCAGGTGGGAAACCCCCTACAAGCCGAACACCGATAATTGGGCGGGTGGGCGGGCGAGCGAGTGAGCGGGTGAGTGAGTGAGTAGATAGGCCGGGGCGCGCCGTATCTTGATATCTCGTGTTGATGCTTTGTTTACCTTGTACTGCCGACCACAGTCGATGGAAACTGCCGTAGGCATGGTAACTGGTACCGCGTACACACACACACGCATCGGCCGGGCAGGACGGTGCGGATTGATGTAAACGCTCGTCGATGAGAGCTCGCGACTCGCGATCGATCGTCTTGCGGTACTGGCGACCGGTGGGGCTCGTGGAGCCACTGCAACGATGCGATCGTTCCTGCGTTGCGCTGACGCGGCGAGTGTGTGGCGGCGGCGGCAGCAAGGGCGGCTGACTGGAGGGGGACGAACGCACGGACCGAAGATGCCGTGACGGCAGTCGGCGCGGCTGGTGGCGACGGCGGATGCGCAGACGGACCTCCCCCCGGTGTCTTGGTCGCAGCGTCACTGGCGTCGTTTGCCTTCATAAGTGTTCGAGATCGCGGCGATTAGAAAGACTGTTGGCTGGCTTGTGTGGAAATAAAGTGCAGTTGAAAACCGTTCAACGTCATCAGAATCTTTTTATATTCTGGAGAAATCCGATGAGCCCATGAAGCTCTTTCACAAATGTCCAAGTTTGGGTGGGTTCGTCTGCATTTGAACTAAAAGTGTAGCAGGTGACAAAAGTGATGCCATTTGCACTGCAGAGTTACGGGAAACTGATCTCGCGACGATGGCCATATATCGCGAAAACTCAATGCTGTCGCTCATCCGTAATGTGGCAGTTTTACGCGATAATCCCGAAATCATGAGCCGTGTTTTTTATGGGGCTGTATACGGCTTGTTCGCAGATGAGCCGCTCATTGGCAAAGTTTGCGTCGATTCGCGCCAGCGCAGATGTTAAGCTAATTTGCATCAACAATCTAAGTGAATCGTACAAAATGATAAGCCAAAAATAATCTCGATGCTAAAATGTTCCACTTTGTACTTTGTGAGCTACGTTGAGTCCAGCTCGTTGCGGGTAATTCCGGCAGCAAATTGGAAGTGCGTTTAACGGCGACGTTGAGTATTATTAATCTCGCCAAGTGTTCCGATTATGTAAAACATGCTGCCTGGGCAAATCAATTGGTGATTACCAAAAAGAAAAAAAGGCTTCTTAAATTAATTCCAATTTTTTTCCTCTCTGTCGCTGCTGCCAAATCTTTTCTGCCATTTCGTTTTTTGGGTTTGGGGTTTTTAACCGAGAGAATTCGAATTCCGTGGTTGATTTAAGTGAACGTGCCGTTTGTCAGCCACGATCGATCCACTGCTAGGGGAAGGCCTCCCCGAGCCCCTGCCATATCTGACGATGTCACGATACAATACACAACAACAACAACTACGTTTGGGGATTCTCTCTCTACGTGTCGTGTCCTGTTTAAACGATCTCGGCGAACATGGCTTCCCCTCCCTCTGGCTCTCTCCGTGATATTCGCTCAACAACTTGGCAATGCGTTCTCCTCCCAGTCGCATCCAATTGCTTACGCAACAATTCTCTGTCATCCCAGGCTTGTGGTGGTACCACTAATGTCCGCGGCCAAAATCATATTTACGACCGCGCTCTGCAGAGTCCCTCTAAAGAGTGTTTTTTTTCCACGACTCCTTCAAGGTGACCAGACACCTTGGAAGAGGTGGAAGTACCCACACTTTACCCCTCTGGATCGTAAGTCTAGCGTGCTGTTGACCCCTACACACCGCGGTGGCTGGCGGGACTGTTCGCAAGACATTGAACGATTGCCGGCATGCGACGCGACTGTGAATAACCCCAAGATAAACACGCGCTCTCCACCCGAGTTTGTACGTCTGATTTAACGACGTGCAATTCCATTCAATACACATTTACGCATTAAAACACGTTTACTTTAATTGATAGCTTTCAATAGTCAGTTCCGGTTGAAGTCAAGCTGCATTTTGTATTTTACACCATCGAGTTATTTTTTTTTTTTTGAAGCCGCCGCTGATGCCTTTTAGCCGGCTTAATTGTGGGCGGCTTTTTTTGGCAGACAATGTTGTGTGTGGTGCTCTGTGTATTCATTCCCAAGTGGCGATGCGCGCGCGTGCGCTCATCTGCTCCTAGATTCGCCGCGCGCTCTCTCGTCAATTCCAATCGCTCGTCGCCACCTTACCCGGCCGCCGTGTTCCGCGACAGCCGACGAGCCACTATTTTTTATATATTTTTTTGTGTTTCTTTTTCTTCTTCGCGCTCTGCGGTTCGCGCTTTTGAGTTGTTGTTTTTTTGCCGCACCGAGGACCCGGGCAAAAGTTGAGTTTTTGTTGTTGATGTCCCGGTAGGTCGTGGAGGGCGTCATCCGAAATCGGTCTTTTTTTGGTTCAGTTTACTGCTCTCGTCGATGACAGCCGTGATCAATCCACTGCTGGATGATTAATGCCTCCCAACAACCCCCCCGAGCATCATCGCGGCCGCTTACGCAGGAAACGGTTTTACGTGAATCAAATCAAGACGATTCATCAAACCGCCGTGTGGGTTGTAGAGCGAAGCGTCACACGGCTAAGTAAGTTGACTGACACGATGGGACATCCTGTAGCCACTGGCTCAGCCCCAGGTCGCGACTCGGCCTCACATGAACGCCTCGGTGTGGCGTATAAACATCAGCGCTGGGAGACAAAGGCGGCCGGGCGTGGTGTTGGCCACCCACCCATCCCCTCGTGTGCAGGGCCAGCCTTCATAGGTGTTTACTAACAGCACTTGCCTGTGTAGGCTAAACGGGGGTTCTTTGTGCGACCGACAAGGGGGGGCTATGTTTTTGGTTCTTTCAGTAGTCACGTAGAAGGGAAATAATAAAATAATATAAATATAAAACTTAAATTCTCACGACGTTTCGACTGCAACACAAGCAATCATCATCAGGTGTGAAATCAACAGCAAGAACATTTTCTTGTTGTGGATTTCACACGTGATGATGAGAATTTTTTATTGTTTTATATTTATATAATTTTATTATTTCCCTTCTACGTGTACCGTTCCGGCCTTCAAAGGTGCTCGCTAACAGCACTTGCCCCTACGGTCTGTTAAGGCTACACGGGGGATCTTTGCCTTTGTCTCTCTACCAAGGTCTCCCACCCATACCTCTCCACCCTTCCACTCACCCTTGAGCTACACCCATTTCAAACCTTCTAAAACAGTCTGCCTCAGCAGCAGACCGTGCTTTACCACCTGATGCTGGACGCTTGTGTTGCGCCCGAAACGTCATGATTTATTTGTCTACCTACGTGACTTTACGGAAAGAACCAAAGAGCATGGATTCCTGCAATCACGAAAGCTTTAAATCTAAATTTAAGGGGGGCTACATTGAACGATGACACAGACACACTCGCGTAGATGTCTGACAAGTGTCAAGATTTGTCGTGTGGGCAGTCGTTAGTTTTTTTTGGCACGGGCGCGGGGTGATTCTCATTGGGTGTTCTAGAATGGAACGATCGTATTGTTTGCAAGTCTGGCTCCCGCCCACAACTGGCGTGACACGGGCACATCGTTCTCTTAGGTTTTTTCGGTAAAGTCACGTAGGTAAAAAAATAATAAAATTAAAATGATAAAAGTAATAATAAAAATAAAATAATAATAAAATCACGACGTTTCGGAGGCAACACAAGTCTCCGTCATCAGGTGGGACCGTCACAGCTAGATTTACTGTATCAAGTGAGGCAAAACATTTCAAGATACAAGTTCTTAAATACAAGCATCTCTTGAGGAAGGCCAGCGTCTCGAGAAGCTGTGACTTCTTGTCTCGTTGTCTGTTAAAAACTTTCACAGATAGGTGAAATTCCTCCCCGTAGAGGGTATTAATTCTAGATTTGAAGCTTTGCACATCACTCACAACGAGGGCGCGTCACGGAATAATCGAGCGGCTAACAACTGCACCCCGTTCCCTTTGATCCTCCCTCCTTGCGCACTGAACGAGATCGCGGTGTGCGCGTTGTGCGTTGTGCGTCTTCAGCGAGTACGGCCCCTGCGCGTGGTGCCTGCAGCCCAGAGGTCGCAACCGGGTACCCGATACCCGGCTACCCGTACCCGGCCGGGTACGGGTAGCCGTTTGCGACCCTGGTGCGGCCGGGTACGGGTACGGGTAGGCCGTGAGTCACTGGTGAGTAACCGTTTGTCACTCATTTCGGGTAGGGTACGGGTAGGGAACGGCTACCCGTACCCAGCCGGGTACGGGTACCCATTTGCGACCCTGGTGCGGCCGGGTACGGGTACGGGTAAGGAATCAAAACCCGTTTGCGACCTCTGCTGCAGCCTTCGGCGGCATCGCTTCAGCACACAAAGCAGCACACGCGGCAGCCGCGGTGACATCCTCGGTGTCTCGGCAGCGGGGGGGGGGGGGGGGGGCTCGCTCGAGGCAGCGCTGGAGAACTTTGCCGGGTGTGTACTGTGTGTGTGTGTACTGTGTGTGTACTGTGTGTACTGTGTGTGTGTGTACTGTGTGTGTACTGTGTGTACTGTGTGTGTGTGTACTGTGTGTGTACTGTGTGTACTGTGTGTGTGTGTACTGTGTGTGTACTGTGTGTACTGTGTGTGTGTGTACTGTGTGTACTGTGTGTTGTGTGTGTACTGTGTGTATACTGTGTGTGTGTGTGTACTGTGTGTGTGTACTGTGGTGTGTGTGTGTACTGTGTGTGTACTGTGTGTGTGTGTACTGTGTGTGTACTGTGTGTGTACTGTGTGTGTGTACTGTGTGTACGTGTGTGTGTGTACTGTGTGTGTACTGTGGTGTGTGTACTGTGTGTGTACTGTGTGTGTGTGTACTGTGTGTGTACTGTGTGTACTGTGTGTGTGTACTGTGTGTGTATGTAATGTGTGTGTGGTGTACTGTGTGTGTGTACTGTGTGTGTGTGTGTACTGTGTGTGTGTACTGTGTGTGTGTGTGTACTGTGTGTGTGTACTGTGTGTGTGTGTACTGTGTGTGTGTGTACTGTGTGTGTGTGTGTACTGGGTGTGTGTGTACTGGTGTGTGTGTACTGTGTGTGTGTGTGTACTGTGTGTACTGTGTGTGTGTGTACTGTGTGTGTACTGTGTGTACTGTGTGTGTACTGTGTGTTACTGTGTGTGTGTGTACTGTGTGTGTACTGTGTGTGTGTGTACTGTGTGTGTACTGTGTGTACTGTGTATGTACTGTGTGTGTACTGTGTGTGTGTGGTGTACTGTGGTGTGTACTGTGTGTGTGTGTACTGTGTGGTACTGTGTGTGTACTGTGTGTGTACTGTGTGTGTGTACTGTGTGTGTGTACTGTGTGTGTACTGTGTGTGTGTACTGTGGGTGTACTGTGTGTGTACGTGTGTGTACTGTGTGTGTGTACTGTTGGTACTGTGTGTGTGTACTGTGTGTGTACGTGTGTGTGTGTACTGTGTGTGTGTACTGTGTGTGTGCTGTGTGTGTACTGTGTGTGTACTGTGTGTGTGTGTACTGTGTGTGTGTGTACTGTGTGTGTACTGTGCTGTGTGTGTACTGTGTGTGTGTGTACTGTGTGTGTGTACTCTGTGTGTACTGTGTGTGTACTGTGTGTGTACT